TAACGAGTCGGGTACCCGTTACCCGCATACCCGCACGATTCTTGCGGGTACCCGTTATCTGCGGGTAGTGAGAACTACCCGCACGGGTAACGGGTAATTCAGTTTTTATTTAATTTTCTGTCAGTTCACAAAGAAACTTAGCAAACAGTTAGTCCACTTACCAACAAAAGCGCAAATTTATAATTTATCCATTTTAAACTTTTCCATTTGCCACGAACTAACGTTTTTAGCGAGCGTGTCTTTTCGCAAGCCTACGCTACGGCAGCCCCAAATGCTTTTCACGTCCCGAGAATGAGGAGAAATTATTGTTACTCAAGTAGATATAATCTGCCTGCTTTAAGATAGCAGTAATACTTTTGATTGTATCTGCGTGTATTTATGTAAGACTGACGAGATTTTAATATGTGCTTTGAAGGTGAAAAATCTGAATCCGATTGAAAGCAAAAATTTTATTTGTCGACATTTTTTTAAATGAAATTTTCATTTAAATCAAATTTTGAAAAGATCAAACTAAAAATTAACCGTTTTTCAAGCACACCAACCTAAACCAAGATAATCTAAGGAGTATATCAAAAAGTCAAGGCAAAAATTAGGAATCGCGTGATAGGTACTTTCCGTTGAATGTCTACTTTGAAGAAAAATATTGGCGGCAAGGTTCAATTTTTAAGTAAATGTTCTGTAAAAGTTCTGATTTAAGTAAATCTTTTCCTCCACCGGAGGAAAACTATGATGGACTTTGAACTCTGCCCCCCAATAGTTTTCGTTCAATGGGCTATTCAACGGAAAGATAAGTGATAATTCCTAATTTTTGGCTTGATTTTTTATACAATTCGCTAAGAAATTCCGGTGTATTTAGCTTGGAAAAAGGTTCCATTGTAAGGCAAAGAGTTTGGTTTCAGAAATATTTAATGACATCTAGCACATTATTTATGGCATTCGTTACTTGCATAACATTATCTCAAACTACTTAACAACCCAAATGGTCAAATACTTGATTAAATCAAATTTATTCTGAAGGTTGGTTAGTTTTTAACTTAGTTCTCATAACGGGTAGCGGGTAGCGCCTAACGGGTACCCGCACGGTTACCCGTGCGGGTACGGGTAGTTGTGCTGCGGGTAGCGGGTCGGGTAACGGGTAGCATTTTCGCTACCCGCGGCAACCCTAGTTACGATACGTATGAATGTTCATGAATTAAATGAGGTATTTGAAAGGACACTAAATAATTAGCAATCAAATTGTTTAAAGCCTATACAATCGTAGGATACTTATGATACGGTCTAATATAACCATATTATCATTAGTGCTAGCATTAAAAAAAGAGTCCCTTCTTACATGAAAGGCTTATTCCGGGTAGAGCTCTACATTTAATTCTCACACAATTGGCATATTTTTCTATGTTTGTATTTACAAACTACTAGTCGTGTACATAAATCGCTAAATTAAAGATTTTGGAGTCGGGGTAGCTTTGTTCGCAACTGATATAAATTCCTAATAACCACGAAATATAGTCTAAGGTAAAATTGTCATATCCAAGCAGCCTTGCTACGGAGTATTAACCCAAGCTTGATTCCTCTGTGCAGAAATAATTCTACCTTTCAATCATAGACTCACGCAAAGTACACTGTTTAACGGTGGCGGTGTACATAGTCGTATTTCTTCCGCGTCGTCTTACCCTGTCGTATCTTATTGTCAAAGCACTTGTAAAACTTGAGAAATCCTGACCGGGTAAATGATTTAACGCTAAGATTCCTCATACCGCTCCTCCATCGCACACGCCCTTTTTCGCAGATGGTTGCCTCTGCTATAAACAGGACTCCGAACAGGATTAAGGATATTCCAGAAACGTAGAAGAAGGATGACAGCGTATTCGTAGATATGTATGGTGATGCCACTCTCATCGGTGTTAATTGCATCGCCTTCAGTGTGACGAAATGCATTATTTCCCCATCCCACAGATTTGGAAATCTCCCCTGATCCAGAGCCTTAATCCTATAACCAATCTCAACTCTCAGCATGTTCTCCGCCATGGCAAACCAGCCGTCGTTTAAGGCGACATCGTAAATCAAAAAGCATTCATACTGTCCCTCCAAGAGTCCATGTTGTATTTCAAGATGGTAAACAATTGCCTTAGCCTTTGCTTCAATTAGGATGACGTTTCTTGGGCTGTTTTTCGCAACATATAAGATCAATTTTTCCCAGTCGTGCCTAGTAATTAAATGAATTATTTATGAATTATTTATAATTGAACTTCGTAGGGTAACAAATTTGAATTTGGTGAAACGTGCTAAGAAACACCTGTTTGGCATATTTTATTAAAATATGTCCTGATAATTTTGTCAAATATGTAAAAGTATTCCAATGATTATTCAAGTTTACTGGCTCACACATACCTTATAACTATTGTTTTATCGTGCGGGAATTCGCCCAAGGACTTCCGAACAAATTCTTCCTGCAGTTGAGCTCGAACCGACATCAAATTGTCACCTTCTTCCGACTCGTAAACTAGGGTATAACCGTTGGCAAAAAATTCGCTCAAAGTGCGAAATATCTGATAACGCGGTGGCATCACAAGATTAGCCGTCAAGTAAAATTCATATTGTGCGATTAGCATAAAGCTTGTGAACAGCGTGGACGCAAAAATCCATTTTGAAACATACTTCCTCCTAGAGGTTTGTCTAACAAACGACGCACAAATTGTAAAGACTACCTCTCCTATACTTCGGATTAACTCAAAATCAACCCAAATTTTTTCAGGTTTGAACGAATCATGTTAAGGATCACTATAGCCACCACTATTTTGGCGCAACTTAAGTACACCTCCAGGATAAATGGTAAAACCCGCACGGTCAAATCCGAATTTTCTGACCAAACGTTGAAGTTGCAGTATATCGCGTGATATCCGGAATATCGAAATGAGTTTAGTGCGCTCACGTGGTGATAATTGTATACATTCAATCGTAGATCTTGGTGAAGATACCGCCACTGATGAGTTAGTGTGCTAGGAACTTGAACAAAAGTGACGTTTTAAATGCCGCTCATCATCCAAAACAGCCGCTCAGCGGAGGGACAGACTATCCTGTCTGGGGAAATGTAGTACTGGCCTCTGGCACAAATCTCACCTGGTATAAATTGGGTTGGTAGATGTGCGGCGATCGAAACGTCGTCCCGCCACCCATGCGCCTGAAACATCGTTATTGTTAACGTCTTAATCATTGTGGTGTAGCTTATTGGCACAAAGTTGTTTTTGCAGAAGAGACACAGAAAAAACCATTCGATATCGAGTGGCAAGAACGAAGTTGGGATTCGCGAATTTAGTTTTAGATCAATAGCAAAAATTCTGAACGGCGCATAGTAACCAAAGAAGGTTGCTGCAAATGATAAGTGTTGCTGTAGACTTTGCGAAATTAGAATAAATACGGAATGTGTCAAACTTCTGTGGGCGTCCCGGGTGGAAAATAAATATGTGAGGGAAAATTTATTATCCTCAGTGTCAAATTTAATGAATACCGTGATCGTGCAAACCTCATAGAATTTAAAATCAAGGGCTCTCTTCTCGTCTTCTACAGTGAAGTTGGAAAAATTGGTCCGGCCATTGACAGTGTAGATCAAGTTGGTTGGATTGTTAGCATGGATTAGGTGCTCCGTTAGATCGACGTATTTCAGGTCATCGCTTAATCTCAAGAATTTGATTACGCAGTTGCCAAAGTGTCCAAAATTCCCGATAGGGAGGTTATCCATGGTAAACACTGATGGCACCGTAGTTAGCAAGACTAGTACGTGGAGATGTGCGAAAAACATTTTAGCTCTGACTTTTACGAAATATATTTGTTTTATGTCTATAACCCTTGTTAAATTTATGTAGTATGTATTATTAAGGTCAAATGCCTTCTTGACAATCAATACGCATGTGTAGATCAGTGGGTCCTGAAATTATCTTGTTATTGCTGTGGAAAAAGTTTTAAAAGCACTTTTTGATGTGAGTCGAGTATCTTTAGTTCTGGGGTGATTTGTCTTTGCCACCCTTCAGTTAGAACAGTTAGAACTGTATCTATATATATATATAAGGGCATTATATGTATGTACCTTCTCAATTCTGAATGTTTTTAAGTGTATGACTAATATCTATGGATTGTTTCGAAATTCGATTTGTTTTTAAATCAGGTAAAACTGTTTAAAACAGTTTTAAAAATTTTAGAATAGGTCATGCATTTTTGTCAAGTGATATTTTTCCAAGCGTGGAATCTATTGCGACGCGATATTTTTAAAAACTTGGATAAGACGTCCAGTTGCCTTGATACGCATGTACATACATAGGTTTGGAAATAATTAATGTCAAGCGACGAAAGTGTCCGGGTAATATTTTAAATACATCCGGTCCAATAATAATTTCCGGCAAGTAAATCATGAAAACTAGGGAATTTTAGCCGGAAATGAATTTACAGCCTCGTGGAGAAGGTAATTGCCTAGAATTATTTATGCCACTGGTAATTAATGTTTGCATAAATTTAGTTTTTACACGCGACACACTTAAGTTTTCTTATTACATGCGTATGTATTTACTAATTAGTCTTTTTCGAAATAAATGTATGTAAAATGATTTCATGGAAAGAACAATAAAATACAGTGTGTAGTATGTTTAATTAGTGTATCAGTAGCATTCTTCGGGAAATTGTCATTGTTTCCATGACACCGGCTAAGGCAAAATCCTAAGATTCCACTACTTTGTAAAATTAATGTACGTACATATGTATTTTAGCAAGATTTACCATAAAACTTCGACGCAAAATGCCAGGAACACCTCGAAAACACTGGACGGATACCCTCTGCGTGACCATTGTAATGCAGTTTAAAATCTTAATAGATATGAATTTTGAAATTCATCAAATTAAAATAATGCCCAAAATTTCATGAAAGTCTGAAATAATACCCTCAAAGCCATCCTGACAGCATTTCATGGATTTCTCTTTGTTCAGTTGAGTAAGAAATTCAGTCTCACTTTCGCACGGCTTATTTTTGGCACGAGTTTGAGTCCACATGCTCAACAAATTCCTTGTCAACATTTTCCTCCAGTCAGTTTTTTCTTTCCAGTTTTCTTCTGAAACAAACTTAATTAATTATTGATGAGTAAAATTAACTAATTAACTAACTAACTTTAAGGTGAGTTCTGTGTACAAATTATTGATCGCTCTTTTTTTACGTTTTTTTAAAGACAATTAAATGTCTGACTGATAGTCTTCCTGTCTTCCTGTCTGAAAGACAGGAAGTTTATCTTGTAGTCTTTGATTAATAATTTACGTTATTTTGTAAACAATGCAAAATTCAATTCCTCAATTTTTTAGTGTTCTTTGTGAGGTCTTAAATAATTTCGAAACGGGTTTAAAACATTTATGAAAAACATTTACGTTCAACGTTTACGACACATTTGTAAAATTTAGAAATCAATTTTTCTGCAAATTTTGATTATTTTATTGAAAAATTTACGATAAATTAAATTATAAAGGTAAACTACGCTAATAATAATTTAATTTTTGTACAGATACTATCTGTCAGATAGTCGCGAACGATGGACCATGGTCAACAGATGGACCACGTCGCCATGGAATTTGGTAAGTTATCCGGCGAGATAAGCGGTGACGATGATAAGCCTCCCCCCAAAAAAGCAAGGAAACCTCGCCCCCCAGAGGTGAAAGCGGCCATGCTCGAAAAGCGAAAAAAGACCGTTCCCGAACTCCTCGGTCCCCTCGTGGACACGCCGGACGGGCGGAAAATGTACGAAAATTTTGAAATCTCACTTGAAAATGGGATTTACACCTGCGTCACGTGCGGGTTTTTTACGGGGCCGCAATACCAGCAGAATTGGAGACGATTACAAATTATTAAGATGCACATCAAGGCGAAACATTCAAGTAAGAGGGGAATTTATTGAAATTTCAAGGATTTTTTTTACTAAAATTTTTTTTTAATAATTTGGAATATTTATCTCCAATTTTCAGACGCGTATCGATGTCATTTGTGCGAAAAAAATTTTACGACGCATAGATTGTAAGTGCAAATACACGTTTAAAAATTCGGTCACGTTTTTGAAAAGCTAAACAGTGGCCGCGGAAGCGTAGGGGCGGAGGGACAATGTCCCCATCACCTGTCCATCCTCGCTCCCCTAACCTATATATAATATTCATGTGCCCACAGCTTCCGCGGCCACTGGTAATGCTAAAGAAATTTCCAAAATACATAACTAAAATTATTTAACTTTTGCCTTTAAAGCCACCAGCTTCACCTCCAAAAAATGCATCCCCCCACCGAACTCGTCTCCCTCCAGCTGTGCAACCTCTGCGGAAAATCTGTCGCCAGTCTCGACGCACATTTCTGGAGTCACCACAAAACCCCCGAGGAAAAAGCGGAAGTCATCCAATCCGGAAAAGGCTTCGCGATCTTACCCTGTCCCAAATGTGGCAAAGAATTCGCCGGATTCGACAAACTCGCAGCCCACCAAACGATGGGATTTCGCTGCAAAGGGAACCAACTCGCCAATTACCCGACCGGAAATGCAAACCGGAAGTTGCCCTGTCCCACTTGCGGGAAGATGTGCTTCCTCGTCAACCTCGCCCAGCACGAGTGGACCCATAAAAATGCGGCGGAAAAGGAGGAGAGTCTGCGCCTCGGGACGGCGCCCGTGGCGAGGTGTGACATCTGCGACAAACTCGTGGTTCATTCCGGGTTTAAGAAACATATGGAAATTCATGAGAACAAAAAACCGGAAGTGGAGGAGGGGACGCGTTTCCGGTGTGAGTGGGAAGGATGTGATCGCACTTTTTCGAGGGAGGGGTATTTACTCCGGCACAAGAGAGTGGATCATGAAGGTGGTGGAATTAAGGAGAATGAAAGAGTTCGGAAATATGAAGATGTCGATTTGCTGCGATGTCCGGGTAAAATTTTCAAAATCTTCACATTATTAAGGGGTGAAACACCTATAGAAAGTCAGTCTGTCCGTCTGTCTGTCCGTGTCCGGCTGTAACTTCTCAACGTCATTGGGTGGACTCCAAAGGTCACACTCCTGATGGTCTAAAACCGTCATCAAATATTCTTAAATTGCGAAAAACTTGGGACGTTTCATTTTAACGGAGTTTGGAGAAGCATTAGCAATACAACATTAATTAATTAATTAATTAATTAATTAATTAATTGGTTAATTAATTAATTAGTTCATTAATTAAATCATTAATTTATGTATGTAACTCAGATGTATACTCGTTTCACTTCTTGGTTGCATCGGTTTGTAAAATTTTATTCATAATTATTTATATATCTGCCTTCCAGACCCGGCTTGCTCCTCGCGCCGCTTTACGTCCAGAGCCCACTTGCAAGATCACATCGGTCGTCGCCACAAGTTCAAGGTGCGGGCGGAGCGCCCCTTCAAGTGCGACATTTGCCAAGCGCGCTTCCTCATCAGGAGCGACCTCACGAAACACACAAAGAACCATCCCCCTCGGGAAGCCTTCACCCTCACGTGCCCCCACTGCCCCATGCTCTTCGTCAAGTCACGCTTGTTAAGGATGCACTTGACTCTGGAGCATAGTGCGCCACACGAAGGCGCGACGGAGAGGGCGCGCCGAGTTCGGGAGAAGCAAATATCAGAAGCGCAAAAGCTGGGTAAGGTTGCCTTTTCCTTGTTGCAAAATACATGGCATTTTTCCCATGGCACAAAAGGGAATGTCCATACATTACGTCATCGGTGGTCTAGCTCTTCCTATATTTCCCATGTTAAAATTCCCTATCCTTTAATGTATAATACCTTACTGTGTACGTTATGGTAGGTGGGGGCTAAAATGGAAAATGTTTGATGGCGTAATATATGGATATCCTCAAAGTGGTTGTTACCCTTAAAATGGGGAAAAGTGGGACCGAGGTTTTTACATCAGTATTTTTGAAAATTGGACTTCGTTTTCGACACTTCGTCCCCAACTTTTGAGAATTTTAAAGACACGTGCACGAGGTCAAATTTTGAAAATATTTCGATTTAAAATAAGGTGGGAAAACGGTATTTTCCTATTTCCCATCTATTTTGGGTTGGTAGTAAAAATAAAAAGTGCCCTTTTCCCTAGGACTATATTCTGCCGGATATTTATGTAATAACGAGAATTTGAGATATGTAAAATAAGAAAAAATGAATAATTTTGAAACTCAGGGGATCGACCCTTCAAATGTGCCATCTGTCGAGCTGGCTTTTCTATCGAACCGTATCTCGCCCTCCATTTAAGGAATCACCGACCACGTGAAGAGTACACGCTCACGTGTCCCCTCTGTCCAGTCCTGTTTGCGAAGAAACAACCCTCACGGTTCCACCTGACCGTGGAACATGGCGCCCCGAAGGAAAGCAACGCAGCGAGAATGCGAAGATATCACGCGATGAGGAAAAAGGCCAAGATGAAGGCGGACAATAATTACGACGACGACGAAAGGTACGTAAGGGGCCGTTCATAAATTATGCAAATAAATATTGCATCAAAAATCGGGATTTTCTTTCTAAACCCCCTTTTACATAACATCAGTGAAGCCTCCCGCTTTGCATAATTTATGAACGTCCCTTTATTTGATACGAAATTTAATAATTTTATTTTGGTAATATTACCATGAAAATCTTTTATTTTTCCAGGTATGCAAATGACCCTGGCTGCTCATCAACCCGGAGGGTGACCAGATCGCGGTCAAAACGTGTCCTAATTGAGCATGATCCGGACGATGAGATCGAAATTAAGGAGGAAGACTGCGCCATTCGAGATGTCCTATCGTCCTCTTCGGAGGGGGAGGAGATCGACGACGACCCCGACTATTTTGGGACAAGCGATGAGATCAAGTCGGAAGATGAAGAGTCAAACTGTGACCTGGATGGTAATGATGCCAATTTTATCACAAAAAAGATGCACTGTGATAAAATTTGCGATTTGCGAAAACATTTTGTACCGTCTCGTCGCTCAAATTGCACTACTAAAATTGGTATTGTTTGATTAAGAATTGTTTTTTTTAATTTTCCAGACAACACGATGACGAAGGACAACGAAGACGAAGTTGAAGAGGCGAACAGAGGCGCAGACTTGGATGACGAAAAGGTCAAAGTTGAGCAGCACGCCGGCGACCTGGGCGAAGGTACACAGCGACAAGTCGTTATTTTTGCCATTTTATGCAGGAATTTTTAAAAATTATTCATTGCAGACACCCACACCACAATTGAGGGTAACGACGAGATCAAAAGGGAAAAGGAGGAGGACGACGACGGAGAAGATGATGATGACAATTTCGACCACGTGGATGACCACGTGGACTGGAGCGAATTCTCCTTCGACTATGGCGACTCCTACTCCCCGTCCGCCCTGGAAATGAGGGACCCCTTGCAACAAAATGACACCGACGACGGGGACGAATCCGCCTTTGGCATAACTCCACACCCCCCAAAGACAAGAAGAATGGGTCCCATTGAGAAAATTAAGGCTGCCCCTCGGTAAGCAATTCGCATTGCAGATTGAAATTGCAGATTTACATACTGAAAATAAATGACTACACATATCATTATTTTTGCACGACTTGCACGAATAATATGTATGTACGAGACAATTCATTTTTACCAAATTTTATAAAAATTTTTATTTTTACCAAAATAACAGACGCGCTGGATCTGCACAAGGTTACAAAGATGTGTAGACTACTAATTTCCCTTAGAAATATAAACGTTGGCGAGCTAGAATTTACGAATTTTGCAATGTTTCCAAGAACTTTGTTAATTGCCTCAATCCTTTAAAATGACTTCCAATAATTCATTTCTTTTTTCCATGTAAGCTTAGTAATCTGGATGATTTTGTAAATGTCCAATTTTTAGCCCGAACCAGGGCTTATGTAATTGTCATGTCTGTCTGTCTGTCCGTCTGTCTTTCGATAGCTCTCGAACGAGTTGACCGATTGACTTGAAATTTTTACCACATGTGTATTGGACAAAGTTAGGAAACGAGTTCGAAGATGGGCCAAATCGGTCAAGTGGTTGACCGGTGGGTGTCATCGGAGTGGGTGGGGTTTGATGCACCAAAATTTCAGAATGGTCGTATAAAGCTGAAATTTGGTACAGAGGTTGCTAATGGCTCCAAATGAAATAATATGAAGTGAAATTGGAAAATTATTCAACCTGAGGTGGCCGAGGGGGTGACCCATACCGATTTTTCAAAATCGTCCAATCGAGCTGAAATTTGGTATAGAGGCTGCTAATGGCCCCTAATGGAAGAATATGAAGTGAAATTGGTAAAATTTTCACATGCAGTTGGGGTGACCCATACCGATTTTCTAACTTGTCGCAAAAAGTTGAAATTCGGAGCGGTGATACTTAATGGCTTCTCATGAAATTATATGAAGTCAAAGATGAACAAAAAGTAACCAGAGGGGCACTAAGGGTGCCCATACCGATTTCTAAGAGTTTATATATTCAGCTAAAATTTAGTGAGGAGTCAAAAAATAACTTAGATTAGAATTTAGGACGGTTGAATTTCGAAATTTTTATACGAACAGCTTCCACTGCTCGTGGTATTTGGTGCCAAGCAATACTACCAAGTTACGCTAGTTAATGCAAGAATTAGTGAAAAATAGTACAACATTCTGACAAACATGAGTTTACTAATCAATCCTGGTTCGGGCTAAGCAAAGCTGTACTGATAGGTTTTTACCAATATCCTCTTCTCTAACGATAAATTATTTCCTTCCAGCCCCCCAAAAACACGTGACGAATCGTCCCCTCCGGGAAAACAGGACACGACAACAACCTCATTCTCAAGAATTTCAAGTTTCAACCCGCACTCCTTCAAGTGCCCCACGTGCAACAGATCCTTCGCCAAGGAGGTTACGCTGACCCGCCACGTGGGACGGGGCCACCCCTTCGCCTGCACCGCGCCGACGTGTTCCTCCATCTTTGAGACCGAGAAGGCGCGGAACGTCCATTTGAAGAGCGCCCACCCCGGCCTGACCGCGTACCAGTGCGCCATCTGCGCATACAAGTTTATCCACGCCTGGGCCCTCGCGAGGCACATGGTCATTCGCCATGAAACTGGGGAAAAGAAGTTTCCTTGTGACAAATGCGGGAAGAGTTTCGCGCTCGAGGAGAATTTACGACGCCACGTGGACCTGCACAAAGTCGAAGGGGAGAAACCCATCGTGTGCGACGTGTGCGACTCCCGATTCGAGGACGACGCGCGGCTGGCGCGCCATGTCGAAACGCACGCGGTAAAGCGGTTCAGTTGTACGGAATGTGTGACATCTTTTGCGTGTAGTGAAGGCTTAGAGAGGTAAAAAATGGGGGTTAATTTTTTATGCAAACTGTTAAGGGTTACTGTTAAATTAGTTTATTGAATGCGGGTTTTGAGTTTAAATTGTCTCAACTTTCCCTTAAATAGAGGATTTTCAAACCTGTTCATCGCGTGCGTCTTTTACGTATGTATGAAGATCTTGATTTAATGCATCTAAAAGGCGATAATTTTCAACTTTAGGAGGTTAGAATCTTGATTTTTTTCTTCCATGAGAAAATGAATATAAAATAAGATACAAAAGAGGAACAAAAATTAAATATTTTCTCTAAAAAAAATTAAAAAATTAGTTTGTCAATTTTTCACAATAAATTTCCTTGAAAATGAATTTTTGAATTTTTGTCAAATCGACTTGTTTGCAGTACCAAAAATTAGCTTTAGATTAAGCTATCAAAAGTTAAATTTATCTCAAAACTCATGGAGTTGATTCGATTTTAGAAATTGCATTTGAAGACATTGGATAGGGTCAGAGTGAGATTACGCGCCAAAGCGTCATCCATGGGACCCTTAAAAATTTCTTATTGTGAAAAACGTACGGTGATGAACACGTTTCAAAATCGCTTTTTGAAGGGAAAGTTGAGACAACGATTCAATCAGACTCAAAACCCGCATGCAATGTCACCTTAATCTGAGTATTTGAGGCTAAGCTTATTATATTTCCTTCAGACACATCCGCCTCCGTCACACGGGGGAAAAACCGGCGAAATGTGACCTCTGTGAGGAATCCTTCATCGACCGGCAGGCCCTTCGGAGGCACGTGGCGCAAGTCCACGTGCAAAGCAGCCACGTGTGCGAAATTTGCGGGAAAAGCTTCTGCTTTATCGACGGCTTCAAGACGCACCTCAAACGACACGACGAGTCCAAGCGGCACACGTGCGAAACATGCAGTGCAAAGTTTCTGGATCGCGACAGATTAACGACGCACCGGATCCGGGAACACGGGGCGGACCCCTGGGTGTGCGAGCAGTGGTAAAATATTGCGCTTTTCCCCCTCTGACGAAATACTTCTGACGGTTTTTTGAGAAAAAATAAGAAAAATTTGTTGAATATTTAGTGGGGCGACTTTCACCACCATGTCGGGATTCTACCTTCACAAGAAGTCCCACAGTGGCGAGAAACCGCACAAATGTGATGTTAGTGACAAAAAAATAATTACCTCTGAAATTCAATATTCATTTTAAGAATTTTATCCTCAGTGTTCCACCGGTTTTGATAAAAATTAATTAATAAAATCTCAATCCCAAATTCGGAGCTAATTTAGACTGAGGGAATTTTCCTTTTGCTAAATTCTCCATTTTAGCGTGATATTTAAACCACATCTTGCCCGAGTGGGGACAAATTGCCACTGGGAAATGTTATTTAATTAAACTGTAAACGAAAATTTTCCATCAATGTTAATTGTTTCAAAAATATGATTTAAACACATCAATATTTTATATATTTTGCAGCTTTGCGACGCCCGTTTTCTGTTGAGAAGGGTGATGCTCGATCACCGCCGGACGCACACGGGGGAGCGCCCCTTCTCCTGCCCGCACTGCGAGTATGCCTCCAAAACCAAGAGAACGCTGCGCAACCACGTGGACAAGATGCACAGGCCCGGCTACGTCGCCCCGCGCAACTTCCGGTGCGCCCAGTGTGAAAAAAGGTACCCCTCCAATGTGGAGCTGGAGGCGCACGTGCGACAAGTGCACACGGGGGAGCGGCCCTTCGTCTGCGAGCAGGATGGGTGTGGAAGCGCCTTTGCGCAGAAGAGGTCGCTCGTCTTGCATTTGAGGAACACGCATAAAATAGGCGAGCGGAAGAGTGGGTTGAAACTGCCGAGTAGGAAAAGACCCGAGGTGCGAGAAGAAGAGGGTGGAAATGAGTAGTGGGGGATGATTATTTAGCGGAAATTTAATTGGGGTCTTAACTTTGATAACATACATAATATATGTTATATCTGTGTTAAATTGTTTAACTTCATGGAATAAATTGTTTCCATCGAGAAGTATTTGGAATTACAAATGTCCACATGTTTCGTGATTCCTTTTTATTATGAGGGTATTTATATGTATTGGTCCAATTTAAGTGATCATAATTTAATCCTTTTTCAATATATACTCTACTCTCCCTCCACGCAGGACTGAACTTTTATAGAAATTTAGAATTCTGAGAAACTGCATACGCCACTGTTAGGTATATGTATGCCTACGTAGATATGCATATGTAATTAGTTATGAATCTGTACTCACTCCATCTTTAACTGTCTCCTAATAAATACTCTCCTCTGTCTCCTCTCACTGTGTACCACTTATTTATGTATAATCATATATACATAACATTGGTGTACCGTCGAGTACTTTCTTTCGCTCCTCACACTCACAATGGATTTTAAAAATTTTAAAAATTCTTCAGAAGACATATCTCCTACCAAATTTGCTACGACGGCGACAACTAAGCAGCTTGACCACCGCCCCTTAGAGCTTGTCATTTTGCTTCCGATAGGGAAACTTCCCAAATCTCTTTTATCAAAATCTTGTGCAAACTGTGTGATTTTCGTGTGAAACCTTCGTGTCTTTTTTTTGTGAATTTTCGTCATCTGGTCTGTAAATTGGATTATCCTCCCGGATGCTATCAGGTCTGTAAATTGGTTCTAAACCACCCTGACAATCTTCCCCCTTTCTTAAAATTTCCAAATCTCCAGTCCAACATTTACATTTCATAATTCGAGCAAATATGCAAAATTCAAAATTCCGTTATTTGTTTTAAACACGTCAAAAAAATATATGCAAAATTGTCCTTCCAAATTGTTAAAAAATCGTAAAAATATTGTTAAAAAATTCCATTTAATTTCTGAAAAATTTTCATCAAAATTCGTTCAAAATTTGCAAAACTTCTGCAAAATATATGCAAAAAACTCATTTTTATTCATTTCGTCTGGAAAATTGTCCCAATTCTTTATCAAATTTTGCTGCAAAAATGTAATCTGATTCACCTTGTCTCAAAATGCTGCTGAACTTTTATGCTCGATCTGCGTTGTCACCACTTTCCCAGGCTCAGAATGAAATATAACGCCGAGATTAATGTTTGTAATGAGCAACGTCTACATATTATTTGCGTGTTCAAGTATGGAAATCCACATTGTACATAGTTCCCTTTTTTAACGAGTCACGGTTATGGGTCACCCACACAAAACCCTGCGTCTTCGAGTTGTCAGGTTATGGGTCACCCCGACAAAACCCTCATAAGTCTGCGTATTTATGTATCTCCGATGTCCCGATGGACCACATACCACAACCACAAAAATGTATTTTTCTTTGTTTATCGTTTTGTCCCAATCTGCAAGTTTTATATGAGTCAACCACCACCACCACGCCTGAGACGATACAATTCTACCACCGATTGCGAGCCATACCATCTTCTCAAGTTCCAGCCCGTCATAATTACGATGTCATTAGTTATGTGTATTAAATTGTTCAATGTTATTCATGCAAAATATTCGTTCATGTTTGTTTTCCGGAGTCATTTCATATTTCGTTTTTCCATGAATTTTACCTATGTATTTCTCAAACCACCAAAATTTCTAATTCAAATTGTTAGTTTGCAGACCTACACACCTTTCAGACTATTTTTCAGGAGAAAAATTTTTTCGTGAGAGGGTAGTGTTAGGTATATGTATGCCTACGTAGTTATGTATATGTAATTAGTTATGAATCTGTACTCACTCCATCTTTAACTGTCTCCTAATAAATACTCTCCTCTGTCTCCTCTCACTGTGTACCACTTATTTATGTATAATCATATATACATAACACCACTGTGAGTCTCAAACTCCCCCGTTAGCATATGTAAAATTCCTTTGAGACTGACAGTGGTGTAGTTTCTCAGAATTCTCAATTTCTGTAAAACTTGAATCCTTGATTTAGAGCAGGTATTTAACATGTATATAAATATACGACTCTACGAGATTTTTAACCGTGTATGTAAGTACTTACCATGTGATTTCTAATTTTTGCCTTGATTTGTTATACATACGTATAACTCGCTAGACAATCCCGGCACAGCGTGAAGAAAGGTTTCATTCTAAGGGTAAATATGTACTATTGTGTACCCACTGATAGAATTTAATGCACATACATAAAGGAAACAATGCAACCATTGTTTATGTAGAATCAGGACCCAAATTCCAAGGAGTTGACCATAGCTGGAAAATCTTACCTACCTACGAACCTGGTTAGTAGTACACTTGGACCGCGGGCAGCACACTTCGACCGGCCGAAGGCCGGTCGAAATTATTCTAGGGCAAATATATCATGATCAGCAGAAAATACACAAGACCGGTTGGAAGTACATTATACCATACCTAGTATAAAATTGATAGAAAATGCACACCAATCGTTAAAAGTAGTACATAATGTGTACTACAAATCTATAACTAGGTTATAAATAGAACATACACCTGTCCTTGATAAGGTAGTACACCTCGGCCGATACAAAATGAGTAGAAAATGCACATGACTCGATGAACTAGTACACTTATACAAACAAGAATCTGGGGAAAATAAATTTACGACCGAATGGAAGTACACTTCGACCAATCCAAAAATTGGAAGAAATGCACGATCGAATGGTAGTACACTTCGACCAACACAAAATCTGGAAGAAATGCACGATAGAATGGTAGTACACTTCGACCAACACAAAATCTGGAAGAAATGCACGATAGAATGGTAGTACACTTCGACCAACACAAAATCTGGAAGAAATGCACGATAGAATTGTAGTACACTTCGACAAATACTAAAATTGGAGAAAAAACACGATCGGTTCGAAGTACACTTTGAGCAATGTTAAAACTGGAGAATATACATGATCGGGTCGAAGTACACTTCGCTCATGGCGAAGTGCACAAATGAATGGGCGAAAATGTGGATGCAAAGATACATGTATGCGTACTGCATCAATGACTGACACTATAACTTCTTTGAAAAGAGTATTTCGTTGATATTTTCATACCTGCTCACTTTCGTTCACTATACTGATTATAATAGTGAACGATAATGAATAATATTCAAATTCCTGTCATTTGAATGAAAATGACTGAATGAGTCCGTCATTTCAGATGAATGACTTAATGAAAGGATATTCCATCTTCACCCTATACTTAATAGATGGGGCGAAGTAAGAAATGATGCCCGATGAAATGAAATGCAATGAATTTGAAAGAAAATGACTGAATTTGGCCGAAAATCTTCAGGCAGAAATCGGGATGACTGACTTCTGGATGAAAACTAAATTTTTGAACAGGTGTGGATATTTTGTTGACAACGGTTAAAATTGTATTTTTTCGATACTTCTACACACTAAGAAAAAATGTACAAATTTTGCCCAACCTTGAGTAATATTTTGATCAACCCTGAGGAAAAAAGTGATGGAAACAAGTCTTGGTTAAATTTTCCTCAAGCCACTTGAGTGATTCATTTTGACCAATGTTGAGTAAAATTTGATCAACTATAATGAGCGTTCTCTACTATTGAATTGGGCAAATTTTAATCAACTTGCTGACAAAAGTTTACTCAAATGCTTGAATGAATTATGCTCAACTCACTTGCAAATTATTTATGCAATTAATTGGATGAATTTTAGCATAATATTGAATTAAACTTCAACAACGTCTGATTAATTATTTTTTTAGTGTTTTTATTCCGAATTAAATATTCAATCTTATACAAAAACGAATACTGATAAATTTAAATACATGAACACAATTTAAATTGTAACTAATTATTACACATACATGCAAAATTAATTAAACAATAATATGAGATCCTAAAGCTAATACTGATGCAGGTGGAGATACAATTTCGTTTATCTGGTAGACCGTGTGATCAAAGAAAGACCAGACCGGGTAACATTCATCGGGGAACTTAAGTTTTAAAACATGGAACAACTTAAAACATAAATCTACGGCAGAAATTATCGTCGGCGACTTAATTAATTTTCGCTCAAGCATAACGTAAACATCCTTAATTATAAGGTTTGCCAAATCTCCAACACAAACAACAAACGGTTGACGTCGCTCCGATTCATTGGCTTTGAACGACTCCAAATCAAAAGTTTTCTGAATTGAGTCAAACAAACGCGTATTTAAGAAAATGATACAAATTTTGCTTCATGTTATACATATTAAACAATATTGCACTTACAGATACAAATTGAATAAAAAAGTCAGCAGCTGATATTTTGACTTTCTTTGCTCCTCTCTTCTTATAAGCTGATGTCGAGGTCAGATACGGCAACATCACAAATGCAGCAATTGTAATCTCATCTAAATAATTAATTGATTAACTATATAAATATATATTATTGCAAATATTAATTATCTAACAGCTCTGACACTTACCCAATGATAATGTTGAAAACATTTTTTTAATTCCTGACTCAGCTATTGCTTTGGTTTGAGACCTCTCGGCGAATTCGCAAATTTGTTTGGCGATGCTAGGCCACTTCCTTAGCATAATTTCCGATTTCCCGGGATTCAATCTTTCAAAGTCCTGGTCAATCTAAGGAATTTTAAAGGAGCAATATCAATGCTAACTTTCAAAGCTAACCATTTATTATTTTATTTCTATTATCCATATTATACTTACCACACCAGATGTCTCAAGAAGATGTGGCCACTCTTGTAAAGTGTTACTCAAATTGGTTGTATTTTTTAATTCTAGACTTCGCAAATTAAAGGTGTCCTTCATGTATTGCAGCACCTGAGATGCAGGTGATTTTGAGTTAGACAGCCAGGATTTCATTTCGTATTCCTCAACAGTAGGATCTGTCAAATATTTGGATTATTATTTATAACAAAAAGGTATACAACAATTTTAGTTTGATGTTAAATTTACCATTAGTAATAGAGTCGAGGACTCTTGGCTTCTTCCGAATTGAAATACAGTTTTTATTTCGCAAGTATTTTAATCGGTCCTCGATCAATCCTGTCGCTGGAATATTTTTGTAAATGATTCGCCCTTTCTGGTCCATTTCCTCTGTGTCAATTGACTTGGCGTCACAATAGAATAAGCTCTGCAAAAAATATATTTTAATATTCATACAAATTATGTTATAGATAAATATAATTTGGTTTTACTTTAATATCAATCTGCTGCTGTTCGGCGAGGTGCCCAAACAATTGTGAGGAGATGCACTCAGCTAGATTTTTCTTAACATGGCGAGGTGGACTATAAATAAAATAAATTACTATACCTACTAACTAAAGAATCAATTTTAACATAAATGTATGTAGACACTTACTAGTTGGAATAGTTTCTGATGAGATAATTCACTGTGCGCCTCTTAATTAAACTTTTGACTTGGAACGACGCCATCCCTTGGCTAATAATTAGTTGCAACCTTTCCTGTCCTTTGGCCGTACCTTTTTCACGATCTGATTGGACTATAATTTCTTTAACATTCTGAAAATACACGAAATTAATTAACTAATTAAAATTATGTGACCATCCAAATTGTTACTTCGTTACTCACAAATAACTGATCTGACAGTGACAAACATTTATCGCCCTCAGAAATGTTTACGGAGCAAATAGATTCTTGCTCAAAATTGTTATTGGATTGTGAGCATGTTTCTTCATTATTAATCTAAAAATAGAAACAACCAATATCACCATACTATATTACAAAATTACAATATATGAAACATATAAGATGCCTTTCTTACCAGCACTAATTTGTACATATTTTCCTCGTCTCTCGATGCCAGCTGCTGTTCACTGGATTTCTATTATTGTACAAAAAAAGCTAAACAACAAAATTAATTTAATCCTAAAATTAAATTAAAATTAATTTATGCTAAAATTAATCTAAACTAATTCTATCGGGCAACATATTACGTCATACTCCGAGCTCGTATTTGCCACAATCAACGGGTGCTCCAAATCTAATAATTCAGGTTTAATTATTATTGCCGTTTTTTTACCAGTTACTTTAAAGAGATAAGAATTGTGAAGCAATTCCACGCAAGTAATTGGAGAAACACAAATATAAACTTGATCATCGTGCACAAAACAAAGTTCAACTTGGCAGAATTGAAGCTGATTCTCATTACTCCCTAGAATGAAATATTTATGACGAGAAATTATTGTACCTTTCGCACTTACAAACTCGATTGATAAAATTATTTCCTCGCTACCTATATTTAGTAATGAAAAGTCAAAATTTCCTTTTAATTCATCCAACCTTATTCTAACTCCTCCACCAAACTTAATTTGCATAATTCCGTCACCTTTCGAAGAATTAATGGAAAATGCCATATTCAAAGATAACCGTTTTGCCACAGATTTTGCTATATTTTTGAAGTTGTAAGAATTTTTCCCCACAATTTTGCTGAAGCGATGCTTTGCTTCCAATCTCATGCACCAAAAATTTTTTAACGGACCCAGCTGCTCAATTGCGTGAGGGTAGTGTCAAATGTGGTGAAATTTTGGAGTTAGATTATTACCAGTCAAATTAATATAGAGCTGGTGGTGATCAGAAATTAAATATCGCAAAAGTGATACACCTTCACGGGAAATTAACGGTGCCATAATAATTCGTATAATTCTTCTTAATTTCAAAATTAAATTTAGCATTTTGTCATCGTCAAAATAAGCCAAAAAAATTGCCGGAAATACAAGAAAAAAGTTGTTCATTTCTGATGCAGAGAAACAAGATTTCTTTTCATCACAAATAAATTGTTGACTTATTTCAGGAAATTTGTTTACTTTATGACTATTCTTTTTGAAACAGGTAGAAATCTGATGATTAATTTGTTGCAGAGTAATTTTCTTGGTCTTTATCAGATAGTCCAATGCTAATTTTAACTCAATTATGCATATTCCTTCAAAAAAATCATGCATAATATCTGGGGCATAATTTTCAGTGACATGAAAATAGGAAATTTCATTTAAAATTGACCCCTCTCGTATCCCGGTTAAAGAAATGTCGCCAAGCACCAAATCCGAGCTATAATTAGCAATATTCCGACGTAGTGATATCTCTTCCTCCACAGCGGTTTGGGTAAAATGCTTGTTACCTTTACAAAATCTACACCTGTAATTAGCATTAAACCCTTCCGTGTATCCCAGTAGGGAATGTAGGCCTAAATTGTCGCCGCAAACTTGGAGCAAAACTACGTGTGTGAATGGCAACTCTAACAAAATATCTTGTGGATTAATTACAGACAATTTTTTAAATTCATCGACCATTGGTTTCAATATGTTGTTGATACCATATTCCTTCAATAATTTTGACTTTACAATTAAAAGAGGAAAAATGGTTGACAACTGAGATTTGAAGTGAGGTGGAAAGTTTGCAATTATAAAATAAAACATTGCCAACTTATGTATTTTAGCCTTGGCACCAAGTGGATTGCAAATTTCTATATCGTCGTAGTAAATTTGCAAGCAAAGGGGATTTCCGTCCAATTTTCTAAAGTATTTTCCAGATTTAAAATTTAAGAAAAGATTGAAATTATTACTGTCGTCTAACACAAAATTACATACAAGTTTATAATGAGACAATATTATTGGCAAGCTTTTCCGCAAATCAAAATAATACATGAAATCAAACTTTTCTATTACCGACCCAGCTACCACATCGAATTTAAAATGTGACCCAAGTTTAATTTCGGTTGCCTCACTATAAATTTTTTGATCTTTCAAACTCTTCTCAATTAAATATTGAGAGCAGTTTGAGTTATGAAAAGGATCTTTTAGTGTACTCAGCTTAATTAGCAAATCATCTTTCTCAGTGGTATTATTAACAAAATTTTTAGCAATATCGACAATGCTATTTACTAGAGAATTTGCAGATGATAAAATTTCAGCTGACTTTACTAATGAAATTGAACCCGACATTTGTAGTGTTTTGACAAAAGCTAATTTATAGTCTGTAGTAATATCTGCCAACAAATTAGGTCCAATTTCCTCTTCAGTAATTTGAGAAATATCCTGACGTATAGCTAGATTTGAATTTACTGATCTACTTCTATTCTTTGGACAAAAGAGTTTTACATGATTTTTAAGTGTCTCGGTGCTAGTAAAAATTGTAGAACACAAAGGACAATTAATTCTAGCCGTTCCTTTACTAATTTCGTGAAAACTTATTAAATGATTCCAATATGTATTGAATTCTTGGAAATTTGATTTGCAAATGCTACAATTAAACAGTCGTTTATTTTGAAGGGTACTTACGGCGGCGACTTCCCTGATTGCATTAATAATTTTTAGCCTCCGTCCAATTGATGGAACGATATCAGCTAAAAGACGCTCTTCAAGCGATCCGACTTGGCAATCTGGCAGTTTGCGAAGCACATTTTCGTCCACGTCTTGATCTGCAAGATTGAAAAAAAATATTATTAAATTAATTAATACTGATTTACAATTAAGTTTTACCTTTGAATGTTGCGATGAGTTCCACCAGCCCTGCAATCTCGAGAACTTTTTCAACAAAATCACCCATTTTGGCGTAAATTTAATTTTGCAACTCAAAATGGCAAAATTAATTCTTTTTGACTGGTTCTGTTGGTCTCGTGCTTCCAACTGACAAAGACCGCCGCAACCGGGCTGAACCACCACAACATTTGACTGAATTTTGCTCAATGTGTGGTATGATTTTGCTCTCTTAATGAGTAAATTCTCCCCAGATTGAATGAGCGTTAAACAGCCAACTGAGTTGGTCAATACTTCCCCAATGTTGTACAACAATTACTCAGGAATTTATGCAAAGTTTTTACAACATTGAGTAAAATCATGATAACTAAACGTTTGAATAAAATTTGTCCAAGACTGTGTAAAATAAATTTTGTACAAGCTAATTGACTATTTTTTATACTTCATTATAGCAATATATCATCAAGGTTGGGCAAATTTTCCACAATTTCGTTTTCCTCAAGTGGTTGTATACATCATTATTTAGCGTGTAAAAATTGTAATCTTGCCTACATATATCGACCAATTTGAGAAAGTGGATTTTAGAAAGTGGAACTTAGAAACTGGTAAAAAATTTTAATTGTTTGGTTTCAAGTGTAATTACGAAATCAACGTCGTAGGAAATTTAATTAAAAAATCAGTAGTGCAAAAGAGGTTAACAAAACGAGGAATCAATATTTTAAATACCTCTTACTTTATGAATTACTCCTGTTTCCATTTTACTCTTTCAACCTAAAACTCATGGGTTAAAGTTTTACGCGTCTAACAACGCGATGACGATCTCGCTCCGATTTTGACGAACCAGGATAGGTAATTATGTATGTAGCATTAGATACATAAATAATTAAACACGTGTTTCAGCATTTTCCATAATGCTCAGTTTAAGCGAAGTTGTAGCGCAATCCGTGCGCGAAAATTTCCATTTAGACCTTGACATTTTTTTGCGAGGGGGAAGATTACAGATTCCTAGCCTGCAGATACCATCACAACTTTGTGTGAACTAAAAATGCATGGGCATAAATCGGTTTTCCCCGATTTTGGCCAGACAAATTTTAAGTTTTTCACATAAAGAAATAAGCGGATCCCGATTTTCCCATTTTCTTCAATGCGAGCGTTTTCACCACGCTTTCACGTGGCAGAATTTTTTAATAAATTTGCAGCCAAAATAACTGTTTTACGAAATACTGTAAATTTTCAAATTTTATCTGATTTTAAAAATGAAAAATCACTCTTGCACAGAATTAGATTGAGCTCTTTATGAAAAATCTACTTTCAAAAGTTTTGATTTTTCAAAATTTCTTGTTTGTTGCATTTTTCAAAATTCAGAAATGCATGAAAATTTCAAACTATAGAGGTTTTTATTAAAAACACAGTTTTATATTTGGACTGCCAATGAGTTGAGCTGAGTTGAGGGATAACTCAATTCATTAAGAAAAATCGTCGACTCATACGCAACTCGACTCAAATACGTTTCAACTCAAACTCGACTGAACTCAAATGTTAACGACTCAAACTCAGCTCATATTATATGAGTGGACTCATTTTTTTAGAGTAACATGTTTATTTAAATAAATACGTCCAAAAGGGTTAAAAATCACTTTTAAATTAAATTACCGTTGAGAACGATATTGGCAGCCACCAATTACAATTTTCATGACATTCCTACACATGATGATGAATTCCTTGAGAAATAGTAAATGCAAATATAAAATTGTGTCAGTAATATATAATTCGGATAAGCTAACAACAAATATGTAATGACTACATGTATGGGGACGGTGTATTAAAAAAAATAACAGGATAATTTTTCATTTAAAGGATTGCAAGATTTAAACAATTACATACTTTTTTCGACCAGCCCAGTAAATACAAGCTCCAGGTACTTGGATAGAGAATGCGATTAAAAGATTCGGATAATTTTATCACAAATCGCTGACTTCTGATTTAATAGTTGGCTTTCATGAATGTGAAAATATCGAATACCCGGCAGTAAACAAAATCTTTAATGAGTTGACTCATGAGTCAACTCGAACTAATTTTCCATAACTCAACTCAAACTCATTATTTTGTAACTCACTAATTTCAAACTCAGATGAGTTATACTCTCGACTCAAACTCAATTCAACTCACTAATTCAATTGAGTTGACTTGAACTCATTTGCAGTCCTAAATTTTATGGAATTAATTTTGAGCAAACATATTCTTACATTTTCTAAATAGCTTTCAAATTGCAAAAGTTACACGTCTTTTGAATTAATGAATTTGGGTTAAAATATATTGAACAATTCCGCCACAACCGAAAACACGCGCCTTTAGGAAAACTCAAGAATCCGGGACGGGTCGGGTGATTTCGGTGTGTCATCAATTTAAAATAGGAGAAAATGACTTCATACCACGCATTTCAAATTCAAACGAAATCATGATGGAATCCGTCAGCGAGAATTTTTCTCCCTCGCGAGATATGTACATTCCACGGTTAAAATGGAAATTCTCTCTCACAGGTTCCATCATAACTTTGTTTAAACTGAGCATTATGAAAAATCCTGAAACACGTGTTTAATTACTTATCTAAGGTTAACAATTATCGCGGTTTCGTCAAAAGCGGAGCCAGGCCCCTGGCGTCATCGCATTGTAAGTTACTTTTAACTAAAATGCAATACAATGTGTGAAGTATTTATCGAAAGCTACTGAATTGGGGTATAAGGATAGGACGTTTGTTTTAAAAAATTCGAATATTTTGTCAGCAACGCCCTCAGAGAAAATTGTTTATATGATGTGGTGGTCATCTTTACATTATTTATCAAGAAAACTCGTAGTATAGTGAAAATATTGTGGGCGTAATCGTGAGCGTACATATATTAAAGAGGCACCTTCTCCAGGTGCATTGTTTCTTTCTTTTAAATACCATCTTTTAAATACCATACCTTTTAAATAACATTGTTTCTTTCTTTTAAATAGTTACAAGATTTTTTTCACGCTAGTACACTTCTGAAGTGTTAGTAGTACACTTGGAAAATTTTGTAAGATTTTCCAGCTATGGAGTTGACCCAACCTACAGCAACTCTCTCCACTCGTTTATGCATCCCACATAAAATCTTAAACATTTGCCTGGAAATGTTTAAGACTATTGTGGATGACGCGTTCGCGCGCAATCTCACTCAACCCGTGTTAATGTGTTTAAATGCAATTTCTATGATCGAATCAACTCCATGAGTTTTTAGATAAATGCAACTTTTGATATTTTAATGTAAAGCTAATTTTTGGAACTACATACCCCGGTGTTTTGAAAAATTAGAAAATTTATTTTTGAAGAAATTTAGTGTGCAAAAATAGTAAATGAATTTTCTAATTTTTCAAAACACCAAGGTTTTGTAGTACCAAAAATTAGCTTTACATTAAAATGTCAAAAGTCCCATTTATCTCAACCCTCATGAAGTTGATGCCATTTTAGAAATTGCATTTAAAGACATTGAGCACGGGTTGAATGAGACTAAATACTCTATGAAAATGAAGTGGAGCCTTAAGAATTAAAAGGGCTGTTAATTTTACTCCTTTTTCCGTCCCGTGTTGCAACTGAGAAAAATAGTTATTGGTGAGTTTAAAAACGTACATAATTTAAGAGGCAGAACACAAGCCAAAAGTAAGTTTGGTTTATTATGACATATGTTATGTGAATCCATCGACTGATAAGCATAATAAAAGTACAATCGTGATTTTATAGACGTCATCTACAAATATTCCGACCAGCCGGCTGGAAGATGGGATCCATTTTCTCGAAATGGCAGACAACACCATCAGATCAGGTAGTTATAACAATTTGGTCAAACATTTGGTCCTACCTACGCCCCCCCTTGCACGAGGGGGAGGGGTCCATAAGTCGAAAACCCCGCAAACGGGGAAGCGAATTTCTCGATGATGGGGTAAAATATCGCGATGCGCTACAAGGACAATAAGACTCGTACTTTTTTCCCTACAGTCTGAATCGAATGGTTTTTTAAATTCGAAAAACTGACTCAAATAAAAAATTACCCAAGAATTTCATGAAGTTGCAAAAAATAAGAATTTACATGAGGAGTTAGTTTTGCTATAGACAGAAAATAAGTAAAAAAAACTTGAAAGGGAAAATTATTAAGTAATATTTTTGAGCCACAAATTTGGAATATTTACGTACTTGTGATAATTTAAAAGCTTTCGAAACTTCGCATTTAGACTTTATTAGAATACGATTATATTAAAAATCATTTCCTAGGCAGACATTTACGCAAATAACTGCAAAATGCAGAATAAAAAAGCCCGCAGGAAATTGCGGGCCGCCCTGGATTGCACAATTTGCCTGGATTCTCCTGCCTCACCGATTAATCGGTGTCAAAATGGGCACATAGTTTGTGGAATTTGCGCCGGAAAGGTGGGGGAATGCGGCGTTTGTAAAACTAAGTTGCAAGTTTCCGTCATGGCGGAACGATTGTCACGGCAGGTTAGAAATTCAAGACAAATTTCAGCTTATAAAGATTTATGTTAATTTGGATTCTAAAATTTGGCAGCTCGACCTGAAATGCAACTGCCCTTATTTTGAGTCCGGTTGTGTGAACCCGGTGGCTGCGGCGGATGTGAAGGATCACCTGGCCAAATGCTACTTCAGGTGAGAGGCCGTCCATAAATTTTCTAACGCGACAGGAGGAATCGAGATTTTTGCGTTAAGTAATTTATGGACGGCCCATAAATACATGTGTATCAGGTGCTTAGACTATAACTTTTCACTTAATTTGCGTAAGAATAGTACTCAGGAAGGATTTTTGCGTGAAAAAGTTTAGTCAAATTGAAGAGAAATTTCGGCCACATTTTTCACTTGATTTGTAGAAATACTCCCATTTGGTGTACTCATGTAATTCCAGGGAAGTAGTAACTTAATAGAAATCTATATAAGAACCGGTCGTTTCAGGTGAATATTCCGTCCTGAGAAACATGCTTAATTAGCGAAAGCAAGTAATACTGTATATACATACACACTCCTAAAATTAATGTTAACCTTTTGAACAGTAATTAATTACAGTATGATTAAATCCTAAATTAAGAAAAATATACAAAATTTAGAGTACCGTTAACTCAAAAGCAATGTTTACTCTGGATTTAGTAAACTTTTCTTAATTAAGAATTCAGGGTGAATTTACCTTTAAAACAACATTACCCATAAAATTCTGCTACGACTTCGAATTCTGCTATTCAGGGCCTTAAAGTAGCAGTATTTTTTAGCGTGTACCTGAAACCTATTCCAGGGACGTCACGTGCGAATTCGCAATGAAACAATCTGACTGGGAAGACGTGGAAACTATCCTTCACGCAGTGGTCGGACTCCTCATCGATACAAACCACGATCCAGCTAAGCGACGTGAAGCATTGGACGATTATTGCGGCAGATATGGAGGCAAGATTCCAATCAGCCTTCGTGATTATCCTGCTCACTTGAGAAACGTTCATCAAATAGAGTTCCACGAAATTGTGGATGGGAAATGGATAAGTATGGATTATCTGACTGAAATGGATGGAGCTCGGTTTGAAGGTAATTTCCTGCAAAAAATGTATTGTTTTACATAATTTGGTTTACGCATTGTTCCATTTCGTGTCTTTCACCTTTTCCACGCTTCTTGAATTGGACCGAATTGAAGGAAATATGCATGCAGCTTGTTTTTTAAATTTCTTGTGCAGGACAAGAATAATTATTTCAAATTTTGCAAATTTTTCAATTGTTTTGCATATTTTTGTATCTTTTCCCGAAATTTCATAAATATACCACGTTTCTTGCGTGTTTTCCACATTTCGTCCATCCTTTTCAACGTTTTGTGACCCTTTCCTTCATTTGTTATGCCCACAAAAAAGTCTTCCCCTAATTTTTTCGTGTTGATTTTATCACTGATTTTGTCCAACTTCTTTTGACCCACAGCATCACCGACACCACATGTGAATGAAGTCATGCAGAAAAACGGTCACATTTTTCTCTTCCATTCCTGCAACGATGCCGAGCTGGAAAGAAACTGGGTGACGATCCTCGGAGATGCGAAGGAAGCCGAGAAATACGCATTTCAAGTAGAAATTAGCAGCCTGGCGAATTCTGGAAGCAACGTATGCAAATTTAATTCCAATAATGATATGTTTTGAAAAGTAAATTTGCTCTTAATCCTATACTCACAATGGGGGTCTCCCAACGTATGCTCACAGCTTTGGACCAAACTAGTATCAATCGATCACAAATATAATTAGTATGAACTTTGCAAATGGAACTATCTGCCAATACGCAGGTTTGGCGGAAATATTTGCGTCGAAAGTGGGGAAAATGCGCAGCAACTTTGGAAAATGAAAAATTTGCCAGCCTTAGGGTGCGTTTTCTCCTCTTTTTATGCAAATATCTCCGCCAAACCTGCGTATTGGCAGATAGTTCCAATTGCAAATTGCATACCAATTATATTTGTGATTGACACTAGTTTGGTCTAAATCTGTGAGCATACTTTGGGAGACTTCCATTGTCAGCTAATTACTGGGGGTTCTCACGAGCTTCGCAACTTGCTATTCGTAAAATTATATTCCTAAATTTACGTCATTTAGGGGTGGTCTATAAATTATGTCACGATGAAGATGGGGGGAGGGGTTCCAGGCTTCCGTGACAAAATGTGACATATGGGGAGGGGGGGGGGTTGGGCCGGTCCGTGACATCACGTATCCCAGGTCTGACTTAATGCAAACTTTAACTCATTTTAATTCTTCGACTAGGACCAAACTAGTTTCGCAATTATTTAGAAATATATGTCCATCCCAATATATGAAACCTTTGATCCAAAAAATCTCAAATTTCAACCAAGTTTTAGATTTTGAAATTTTCAGCCGAGTTTCTAATTTTGTTTAAACCTTCAAATAATTTTCAAAATACCCAATTGTTTGTAAGTTTAAAAAAATGTGATCACTACATTTTTTTTCACTAATTATCATTGCATTACACGAATTACACATCAGAAAGGCTGACTAACAAAGGAGTCGTACATTAAAAATCCCTAACCTGAATAAAAATCGTAGAAATCATAAAAAAAGTCAAAATAAGGTTAAAAAATACATTAAAAATAATACACCTCTTCTAATTCTTTGCCTTCTGGGAGCGTCCCTAAAATGGAGGCTACGTTTCCCCGAGAAAAAGATTAAAAATTCATGAATGATGCCATAAAGTTTGCTTAAGTTGAAAAAAATCGTAATAATTTCGCAAAAATGCATGCAACAATAAAAAAACATTACTAAATCTCCAAAAATTTGCACAATTTAAAAATTCGTCCGAAAGAACCTTATTTTTCATAGTTTCAAAACTGTGTAGGGATTGGAGACAACTGCATGATTCAAAAATGTTAACAATTAAAAAATGTGTAGCAATAACACAAGAAAACTGAAAAATTTAGGGTTTCTTACAACTTATTTGAAATTCTTGCTATAGGAAAAATTCAGATTTTAAGGCGTGACGTGACAAGAGGGGGGGGGTCACGACGAGCGTGACAAAGGCGTGACAACAGGGGAGGGGGGGTCTTAAAAAAGGGCTTTTTTGCGTGACATAATTTATGGATCTCCCCTTATGATGGGTTTACGTGAATGAGAAACACTCTCTAAAAATATTTCTCAAAAATTGTTTCTAAGCTTTCCTTTCCTGATATGGTGGGGAAGTATGATGTTTGAAATATCATGCTTTTTTAGTTTTATGTCCGAGACTTTTTTCTGAACGAAAAAAATAGCTCAACTTTACGTTCGTATTTTTAAAAAGTTTCGAAAGCATGGAATTGAAGTTCGTATATGTGAAATTACGTTATTTACGAAGGTGGCGTGTACAAAAACCTGTAATAAATTCAGAGTTGCATGACTTTCATAAAGGGTAAAGCTTACCCTGAATTTCTTATGGTCAACTTATTTTAGAATTTAGGCCTTATTTACTTTTCAAAACGGGAACATTACTTTTTAGGAGTTTGTTTTTTTGTGGAATGCATTTTTAGAAATGAAGTATGAACTTTTCGATTATTTATTTAGATGGAACAATCCTTCACAATTCCCGTGTTGGCGTATCATGACCACACAAAGTTAAGCATGGCGGAAATAACGAAGAACTCCGTGGTCATCCCGGCCTGTCATTATGCGCAATTTGGAATAACAATGGATTCAGAACCTAATAATTGTTTGTGGCTGCATTTTGAATTTACAATAGTTGAGAAACCTTAAAAAATGGAAATGTTAAGAAAGAAATGCAAATCTTTTTACATAGTTGCAGGTAAATAAAATACACTTAAAAATCCGGTAGAGTGACATCTTGACTCCGTACTGGTATTGATTTTGTAATAATTTCCACCCGAACTGGCAGTTGTTTGTTTTCGAGTTGTAAATTTTTCATTATCACAACACTTATCACGGCTGTTTAATCAGCAATAAAATTAATTTATTCTTGGTTACAGCAGGTGTACACCTGATTACATGTAATTATTAATTATAATTACGTCACAAAAATGAAGTTGATTTTTGATTAATTAATTAATTACTAATTCATTATCTTTTATCAAATTAATTAAACGAAATTTCCTGATAACCCTTCGACCACAAAATTCATGGTTTAGAGGTTGGCTTTTTTGCAAGTTTTATGGATGCAGAAACCTTTTCAGTGTTGTGAGTCACTCACCTAGGGGACCCTTTGATGAGGGCATCAAGCTCGGAGAGGGACATGTAGCATGATAATATTACGAATACATTCGGTCACGCACGGTTTTCCCTGCCCAAAGAAGAGTATTTCTTGGGAGTCCCAATTTAGGACGCAATATTTAAAAAAAATCTGGCATGGTGAAGAAAGTTAAGCAAATGGCATCCATTTAATACTGGCTAAACATGGTAGTCATAAGGGCACTTATGACTCAGGCCTTATTTTAGTCCCAATCAGATGTACATGCATTAAGGACTTCCAACTATGTAAAAAAAATCGCTTGTTTCGCTTTTTCAAAAACTTTTTTTCTCAATTCGCTATGCGATTTCAAAATTTTTTCTAATATTTTTGCTCAAAAATCAAATCAAGGTTATGACGATTTTATTTTTGGATCAAAAGAGTGAAAAAAGATCGGAATCACATCGCAATTGAGAAAAAAGGGGTTTTGAAAAAAGCGATTTTTTACAAAGTTGGGAGTCCCTTTTGATTAAAATGGTATTAAGGAGGTGAGCTTCACCGCTTGTCCGTTTTATCTGGTCTTGATGCCCTTTCGATATTATGTTGTTTGTGCCCGCCACACCCACTCAAGGGGCTCGAAAACTCAAAAACGAGTCTTCAATCACACATTTGAGAGAGCAGCAGGTTTGTCTCTCTCGGGATTATTATTTTTCTTTTTAATTTTTTGTGAGTTATTGACCACTACCAATCGTCGGGTTTGGGGCATTGTCATACTCTTGGACTCCGTTAGTCAGTGGTAGATGAGTTTTGAAACCTGGACCTCGGCTGACCTTTTTGTACGACATTGTGATTTGACGTCAGCCGGCCTCCCCTGAGTTGTCTGAATAGACTTTTCCAAGTTTTTGTTCGTGCTTACTTCAGTCAGCTCCTCTTTCATTGGAAAGGAGACTCGGGGGGCACTCATATACTGCAAAGTTTCTTTATGATTCTTGTCCCCTCCCACAACGTTGTCTCGCCGCTCTCCACATCCGTTTTGGAAGAATTTTCAAGCGGTTTAATTTGCCCTTGAACAAGAGCGCTCTGACCGACGGCGCTATACAAATCTCGATCCTCAACAGGTCTATTGTTCCAGTTTTTAAATTTCTATGGCCAACTATTAATTGATAAATTCTGTCCAGTAATTTCAACAACGGTGCTACAAAGGAACAGAATTCTGAACAACATCAACGGATTCGAATAAGAATTCAAACACAAAAAATGGATCTGATGCATGTCGAGGATGTAGTGAAGCTGGCACATCCGATAACCAATTCAGTGGTCCTCTCTGGTAGTAGAGGGGATGATAAATACAGGGAGCTACATAATCTACTGGAAGGTCAAATATGATACGACGAGTGACTTATGGGACCAGAGTGCCACCTTTGTGGTGAAGATGTATATGATTATACCAACCCTATTACGTACAAAGACTCTATTATATATATTATGTTCCAAGATGATTTAATTGAAGATTTTTGTTGGAAGGACGGATTGCTTCAATGTGTTTATTGTTTTAATTATTTCCACAAAAACAGGTGCAATTTGTCCATGTCGGCCCAGTCGTTTTTTAACTGTTTTCTCTCTAAAATCTGGGCGTGTCCTAATTGTATTCCTGATTTTGAATGTAAACCAAAAACTGCTAAACCGAACAAATACCTTAAACTAGTAAGAAGGTTGATTCCTTTACGAAACCAGTATGATGAAATGTACTCTACAATTAAGCTTTTTAGAAAAAAATATGACTTATTTATGAACACATTTGAAGATTATGGAATAGGTTAGATATGTTTCCCTTCATAATTAATCGTTTTTAAGGTTACAATTTGGATTCCTGTGTTGATTTTACATACAATTTTTATGGTTTGATATGGCGAATGGATAAGAAATGTATAGTAGATTTTGAATGTTTTAGTTAGTTACATATTTGTTTATATTTTATGTGTCACTTGTGGAAGAGCATGGTTTGTTACTGTGAACTTGGTAGACACTTGAATAAAGCTTAATTAATCAATCAATCAATCAATTCAAACGCGCGCCTGGACATATCTAAGTGGACAAACAAATTAACATCCATGATGACGATGACAAGACATGCAAAATAGTTAGAGTGCATGTAAAACTTGTTGCCATAACGAACTAAAATAATTGCCAAATGATTCGCAAAGAGGTAAATTACATAAATTAAGTATTATTTTTTTGAAGACGCTATCAGTACATAAATCTTATTGTTTCTCTTATTTTATTTTAATTTCTTAGTGAAATCAATAATTACATCTAGCACGTACATCTCCATTTGCAACCTTCGCATTTTTTCACTAAAAAATGTTGCAGATTTATCAGTGTTTGTAACGTCCCATTCGTGCATCTTAACGGATTCAGCGGTGGAACTTTTCCCATCTGAGCGTGTCCCAGCGTCCAATAAAATATTACTATTAGCCGCAAAGAATTCCTCATTCAAAGACATGGAGTCATAATAACTTTTATCATTACTACTTGTACTCATTTTGAGTTTCTCAGCAAGTTCCAAAACCGTTAGACCATCTCCGTTTTTGCAATAAAATAGTTTTTTCCAAATTATTTGAAACGAAGAACTCCAAGAACTCGGTAATATAGGGTTTCAGCTTGAGGAGACCATTGCTGATCAGAATCGAATGAAAGAATGTACGGCCCTTCTTATCTAATAAATCTGATGAAACCTCATATGCTAGTAAGATTTTGAGTAGAGAGAATAATAATTCGGGTTTTTCTAAATTGCTCCAACTAATTGCATAATGCCACGCATTCTCTAAAGTGTTAGGATTTATGTAATGAATGTCTGCTCCGTGCTTTACCAAAACCTGGATGACTTCCGAAATTGGTCCCCCATAAGAACTTGGTCCCCTATTTTTAATGGCAAGTATCAGAGCAGTATTTCCATGCTTATCGGGACAATTAATGTGAGAATTTGGGTCTTCCATATTGCTCAGTAGAAAATCGAGACCATTCAGATTTCCATGCTCAGCCGCTGTCATAAACGGCATTTTTCCAAAGTGATCCTTTTGGTATATTAATTCTAGACATTTTGACACAATTCGGGTTGCCAGGATATTCGCCGGTTCCGTTTCCCCATCATAAAGCCTACTTGCCCAAATGTGTAAGGCAGTTACCCCACCTGTGTGTTTGATACATGGATTTGCATTCTTGTCCAATAAATAGTTCGCAATGTCCAATTTCGCGTTAAATATAGCTAGCCAAAGTAAAGAATGACCTCGGTAAATCACATTTGTGAAAAAATCCTCGTCTAATGCGAACTCCTTCTCCAAGAAGGTTACCACATTAACGTTTGTCCATTCTACGCAAAAACCTAAATTCTCTGTTATCACGTCGGTCAAGAGTGGTTTGGCAATATCACCTCGGTTGTCTTTTAGTAGTCGTACAAAACCACGTCCAAGTCCATTAAAATCCATTTGTAAGGCAAATTGCAATCCATTTCGACCGACTACCCCTTTCTGTATTATTTCCTTGGCTGCGCTTTTTCCTCCTAGTAATTTAACTATTTGTTTGACTTGGCTAAAAAGACCGCGGGAAATCATAACTGGCAACGATCCTTTATCCATGAAATGCTTCCTGAAATAAATTAAAAACAGTGCATTTTTTAAGCATATCATTAGTAGGGTAGGTCATCCGGCGAATCGGACCCGATAAACAAGTCATCGGATAAGATAGCCTATGATGATGGATAATCGGATCGGGTACTATGGCCAAACCGACCCGAATCATCTAGTCCAATGGATATCCGGTCGGATAAAATAATTCAATATGCGAATCAACATATATTTACAAGGCCGTAAAATCCATGCAATCATACATAGATAAATACGTACATAATTAACTTATCTCAATAAATCATTGCAAAAGCCGGATTTGACAAAGTAGCGAAATCATTTGTTACATGATGTTGTTCAGATGTTGCATTCTTCAAGAGGGATGCCTATAAATTATGCCACGGGTATTAGGGTACAGGTTTTGCGTCACAGCCCCATTCGCGCGATATGTTACCGTAGGTTAGCCAGGGGTGTAACTCGTGACAGTTGGGGGGAGGGTCTGGAAAATGCACATTTTTGTGCCACATAATTTATAGGCAGCCCCCGATAATAATTTAGCAAATTTTTGAAATATTGTGAGCATACGAGATAAAGTTGTCAGACCTAATTTGTTATGAAGACAGAGATTTTATGCCCCCCAACACCAGTTATCGTTTACAATGATAAGCTTAAATTGCCCTCTTGTGTTGAACACAGACGCACGTGAATTATATTTTAAGTTACAGTGCAGGCTTAATATAGCCCGAGACAGGCCAAGTTGTTGCTATCGCGCAGCACATATTTTCAGGAAATCTCTCTCTTACTTCTCGTGAATCGATGTCAATAAAAACTAATTTTTTTCAATCCAAATTCAATTTTGACCTTGGTAGCAAATGACAGGATATTTAATACAGTTTGGTTCGTATATACGGCGATTAAAAAGTCTGTATGGGTCGCCCAAATGAATTTTTTAGATTTTTAATTCACACTCTTCCATTATGAATCAAATTACCAAATTATCGACCATGTTTCAGCTCAATTTGATGAATTTGAGAACTCCACAGGGTCTGTTCAGACGAAGATTTTCTAATTTGAAGTTTCATTTGAATTCCTCCATTATGAGTCAGTAGCAACCTCAACTTCAGGTTTCTACGACGATTTTAAAATTTTGGTGCGTAATACATCACACACCTACAAATTTGTGTGTCATATTTACATGACCCAACCTGTCCAGTTGGGTCATAATATTGTCCAGTTGGGTCACGACCGATTTTCCAATCTTCGAACTTAAATCCACATTTGCCCCGCACTATATGTGCACCAAATTTCAAGTCGATAGGATGAGTTTAACGAGAGTTGTCACAAGACAAACAGACGGACAGACACACGACATGACGGTTGACAGTTGCATAAGCCTCGACTAGGGCTAACAACTGACATAAACCTCTAAATTTAAAATTTACAAAATGTAATTAAAATATAAAAATCACGAAACTCTATGCTATTTGTTAGTAAGATTAGAATAAAAATTAATTTTGCTCAATTGCAGTCAGTTATGACCATTCGAATATTCCAACGCGGTCACCGTTAATACCTTGTAAAATGATAACAAAAATCGGATGGCCGAAGTATTCGGATCGGATTTATCCGGTCGGATGAAAGTTTAATATGATCCGTTTCGGTAGTATTCGGATACTACCTTTTGTTATCCACTCCGATGATTATCCGATTCAACATGACGGATACGATATTTTCGTATCGGATAGATCAACCCTAATCCTTCTCGTTAGTAAATAAATTGCACTAACCTGACCAGGTCTGCATGGTTTGCTGCATGGGACCAAAGAATTGCGATGGGAGTAGAGTCAAAAAACTTGTCTCTCAGGAAGTTGTATCCCCTCAGATTCACGTCTGTGCTAAACTTATGGTTTGGAAAATCCTCACAGACGATGAGTTCCTTAATTATGGCGTGGTCTCGTTTCTCGTCCTCCTGTATTAACCTCAATGTGCTGTGAATGAGGCGATGTATTTCTACTTTAATTTTATAGTTTGAAAAGCGAAATTCGTAAGGTCGGACGTTGACCAAAGATAATGATGAAAGAAGATGACTGGCATTTTCTAGCATTTCTTGTGGTTCAAGACGCACCAATGCTTTCCTTGATATCTCTTTTATATCTTGTTTGATAGTGGTGACATGATCCAGGAAATAGTCAAGATCACACTCATGAGAGAAATAGGCACATCTTTCAATAAAATGCATTGCAAGGGTAGCATACTCGTGGTTGGATTTTTGTAATTTTTCCAGGGAAATCTTGACACAAACGTACAAGCTTTTCTTGTATTGCAAGTTGAGATCATCTTTGGTATTGGGGTCATTTGGATATCTAAGATGAAGACTTGATTTATCCTTCATTTCTTGCAGATACTGGGTTATCTTGTAGGCAGAGCCTCTATGGTTACAAACGCTGGCGATGGTTCCTGCCATGACACGGATAATTACTGGTATTCTTCCAGACTCTGAGACAAGCTGAGAAAACTCATCTAGCTCGCAATCAACTTTATCTGTAAATAATTAATTTAACCAACTTAATATAAAAAGTTGTACTCCAAATTTTTAACTAAATACAGACATTAGGAGAACAAAATGATGCATTGGCATTACCATTGGTCGATATTTATCTATTCCTATGTAGAAAATTTCTAATTACCTTGTAATATTTTACGAAACAGTTCCTCAGCTTCAGCTTCTTCCAAAATGTCCACCCTGAACGTCTTAACTTCACCCATTTCATCTTGAATTATAATTTTCTCCACCGATGTTAGTAAGACGGCAACATTATTCAAATCTTTGTTAAGTGGTAAGTATTTCTTGATTTCTTCAAATGACTCGACATTGTCAAATATGACTAGGAATTTGTGTGGATTTTTTGAAATTAGTAACTCGTAAAGTTTATTGGCAAGTAATATCCCGTCATTTTCTGTCTTTTCGTCTTTAATTCCTTGGTTTTTTAATTCTCTTGTGATTTTATCGATTATTCCAGATTGTTGTTCGGCATCTATCCAGATCACGCCAGAAAATAATTTTTGTTCTGCACATATTAGTGCGATTTTCTGTACAGTTTGTGTTTTTCCATGACCCCCGAGACCGTGTATGTCGACAAAAGGGAAGCCGATCTGATGACTTGAGTTTTCTGTGCTCCATGACGTGAGGGATTGGATTATTTGACTCATAAATTCAGTCCTACCTGTGAAATCTTTATCAGGTTTTGGAACTGGTAAGAACTGAATTTCGTCTTTAATTTTCGGCTGTTGAACTATTTCAGCTTGGTTATTAGCTTTGTATCTTGCTTTTTTCCTGGCATCTTCTAGATCTGGAAAAAATGGTATTGTTGGTAATTGTTTGATAGACTTTAATTAATACGTCTGCGGAAGGGAAGTACATATGTAAACTCATTACCGTGTCCACTAAAGCTGCGTTTACGGTTTCTTGGGTCTTCATGCTGACTTTGGGGTCCGCCTGTGGGAGATTAAATTTTATTTTTTAAGGATTCCATATGTGTTATATGTGAACATTAATTGTTGTTCTACAAATTTCTAAATAACAATTTAAGGTGGAACTCATTTTCATATCCAAGTTGATGCGTCATGATTTCTGTGTAGCCTTCGTATCGCTGAGTTGCTGGATATTATTTGCAGATAAAAGTGTATATAGATTTTGTGATTAAAAGCATCAAAAACACAAGATTTTTATGAAACGCAACTAACTTCTTGTTGCAGAAAATATTTAAACTGGTTTATGAAAGTTCGAACATGTTGGTGTAAATTGTAGAATTTGTTCCATCCTCCGAGATAATGTTGGTGTAAAGTTTCTTCTTTGCTAATCTAAAAATAAGTTTCTTAAAACTTCCCGTTTTAAAAATTAACTTTCCAAAAATTCAAAATACCTTGATCTTTGAAAGGCAGCAAATTTATACTAATTTAATAAATGTGACAAACAAATTGTTAATTTTTGAAATCGTGTTAAAATTCTAAAAATTACATGGTTTAAAAAAATCCAGGTTTTGGGTAAAAAAAATACTTAAAAATTCCACCACAGAAAATTCTGTGCATTCAAGAAACAGCAAAAACAATGCCCCGTTAATTTCTGTAAATAAGCAACTTAACATTAGCCCTGTAAAAGTCGAGGAAACCCACCTCATGCCGCGAGTTGTAAGGATACATACGTAGGAATTGTGAACACACCGATGTTTCACTGTGCATCAAGGTAGGTAACCCCTAGATAGAAAGGTAGAAAGGTAGAAAGGTAGAAAGGTTAGAAGGATAACATAATTTTAAAAGTGTAATAAACAAAATAAACGTGCAACGTGTAAAAACTGGAAAATTTTCCTGGTTAATATGTCAATTAGGAAAACTTATTAATTAAAATGTATGCCACAATGTAAATATATGCTGTGAATTTGTCTGCTGGTTGTGTGAACTCGACGATGTGTCAACTTCGTGTAACTTGATGTTATCGACCTGACCAACGTCCTATTAAGCGCATGAGAAATTAGCAACTTTCTTAATTTATGGATACCTGCCACGTGCTGCTTAAATATTTGAAGAACTCTACTGTTGCAGCTGATCTCTAGAGCGGTCATAATTACAGGAATGTCATCATCGGTCCGTGAATCACGAAGAATTCGAAGCAATTTGTCTGCCTTTAGCTTGCTTCCGTCGATCTTTCCCTTAAACAAAAATAGCTTAATTAAAACCATTTAAATAAGTATCACAACTTCTAATTGTAAGTAGTAAATATTAATTTACCAAATTCGCCACCTTTTCTTCGGTGATAATCTTATTCACTTCGAGATGATCTAGAAAACTTCCACTCACATCCAACGCATCTTTGAGAGCCTCGTAGTTGTTCTTGATTGTAGTTTCAAGAATTTTGTGCGATGTTGAGGATGCCATTGATAAACTGGAAAGAATTTTTTAAATTGTGTCATATCGAGATGTTTTACTGATTTGAATATTAAATATATACGGAATTAACCATCACGTTTGGACGATGATTAAATTCGTTAAATGTGACTAAACTTGTTGGACAGAGTATGACTCAAGTAGCTAATTTTTTGAGATTGTGATTGCGATATCATGGTTTATTAAATTCGATAAGTACATACATACCTAACAGGTGGTGTCAATGTTTAACTAGAATGCGGAATTTTGATCCGAAATTTCATTTTCATTAATTAATTTTGAGTAAAATGCACAACAATTGGAGGAACTTCGAAAGTTGTCGGAAATTTTTCAAATTGAGTGGATGATTTTACCCAATTTTTGTCATACTAAAGAACGTCCGGGAATGAATGGGAATGGTCTGAAAATGTGGTCATAAAATCACAATGAGTTATCGGAATTTTAAACTTTTTGCATATGTATAATACCAAATACGTACCTACATAATTTAATTAATAGCTAAGGCCGCCACACCCCCGTTGGCGACTAGTTCGATTTTCTTGCGAAGATTTTTCATTAAATTTTTTCCCGAAGTTTTTGCCACTTCCGAGGTGATTTTCTTCCATCGTCCTTTGAATTTTCGAAAGGTGTCAGGCACATCTTGAAGCCGGGAGTATACTGACTTAGAACGTGCCCAGAATTTTTCGATTGGGCGGAGTTGGGGTACATTAGGTGGGTTGATATCTTTTGGTACGAAATCAATATTTTTCTTTCTGAGGTACTCGGTCACTTTCTTTGCATAGTGACAAGTGGCGAGGTCAGGCCAAAACAAAACTTTATCATTTTTGTGAAACCTATTAATAAATGCTTCCAATCCAGCCTTGACGCAATTTTTCAGATAAATATCTTGATTGATATTCCCTTCGAGAACTACCGGGTCTGATACATGTCCGTGACTGGAGATGCATTGCCAAATGCAATATTTCTTTGGAAATTTGTCTTTTTTTCGTACTTTTTCTTCATAAGCCACTTCAGAGGGATCCGAGCTATGAAAAAAATGACGCCCTGGAAGATTTAAAGGGTCAACCGGAACATACGTTTCGTCATCCAGGATCACTACTTTTCCACGCATTTTCTTCAACAATTTTTGACAGCAATCCTTGATCCGACTTTCTTGTACGGGCTTGTAATTTGGTGCAGGTTTTTTGGTCCTTGCTTTGATTCCTAATTTATGGACCTTAATTTCCCCCAGGTAGCTTTTGGAAATTTTGACTTTCCTGGCAGCTACAGCTACTGACGTTGATGGCTTGGTTTTGAAAATTTTTTCAATTCTATTTTTCACTCGAGTGGTCGCTAGCTTCGCCGGACGACCAGCTGGCTTCTTGAATTGCACATTTTCGGAATCCTTGAACTTTTTTATGTAGGAATACACATTTGAACTTGGAATTCCTTCCTGCTTAAAAAAGTTCCAGGTCACCTTGGAGTCTCGGTTGGCTGTCGTGTTGTAGAACTCCATCACTCGTTTTGCTAACAGCTCCCTTTCAAACAAGCTTCTTCTACCCTTATCCATTTTTGAAATTTAAGAGTGATATACCAAATTGACCCTAATGAAGTGGGCTTTCAGAAATTTAAATTATTATAGTTCGCGGGTTTATTGATTTGTCAATATACTCGCTAGAGCGCGCATTCCCATTCATTCCCGGACGTTCTTTATATTTTACTCAACCTTTGGTTAATTTTGATTTTTTTCATTGACCGTATTCCCACTTAAAATACGTAAGCTATATGTTAAAAACTCGAAGTTTCTTCAGTTTTGCCGCAAATTTTGTACAGTTTTTCATCTTACTACATATATTCACAAATTTTGAAATTTCCATATTTACTCTAAACTTAATTAAAATATGTATGCATATTTCTTTTGTGAATTTTGTGCATAAATTAATATATGAATTTACTATATTATAACAGTGTTGCCTTACACACCTGTCTGAATTTTACCATACAATAATACGTCTACAAAAACTTAGACTTCATAATGTTTCTCTTACCAATTATGTATTCACTTTACATGGGTTGCGTCTTCCACAAAAATTAGATTGCTTTTCTAGAAAATGTGTTATGCCAGCACAAATTAATATCCCCATAGGTGAAGGTGTGGTGATCGAGGTGTGTGAAGTGGTGCCAAAATGGCTGCTGCTTATCTGCAATTGCGTTGCAGACTAGTTAATGACGAATAGAGGACCATAGTGCTTCTAACTAATGGTAAGTATGGGCCGTACAGCAAGCATGTTATTGGATTGCAAGAAATTTTGACCCCTACCCCCAAATGTGAAATATATGCCCCACGTTATATGGTAATTAACATATGACGTATAGGATTCCTTGACCCCTGTCGGGTCAAATCGATCACATGCTTACTGCACAGTATGTACCGTATGTACCATTAATCGGTTTACCTTACATAATTTAACTTTATGTACACATTTCAGCAATGCTGCGCAATTTACGTTATCAACGGAATAAATAAATAAGTACATATTTATATTGATAAGACAATCTTGCCTGGCTTATGCTTTGTTGGCTTATCTTGAATAAATAGATGGACACGAACTAAATATGACGATGCTTGATATTTTATTCATTGTAAACTTATTTCTCGTATCATTATTCAAGGGTAAAGAAAGTCATGGTTGACGAATATTTGTACGGTGAGGGCACCATTTTAAAAGTTAAAAAAAAATTGTTCTGTAATCTTTTCAGATATCAACAATATTCCGCCAGTTTCACCTGATAAATACAGTCATTTCCATAAAATCCTATAATCCTAAACTGAAATTTTATAATCTATTTAAAAATTTCTGAATTTGCTCGAGATAGAGTATATATATGTAAGTCGTGGATGACGACACAACAATAGAGTAAAATTTGCCCAACCGTTGGATAACTTTCACCCAATCGTTGTGTCGACAACTGTTTTGCTAAACCTTGGTTAAGTTTTCCTTTATTTAAAATGTGACATATGACTGGCTTCTATGCTTGCTTAGTAAAAAATTTTCTAAATGGGATTTAAAACAATTTTTGAGTGATTTCAAAATTTCAAATTAATCTAAACAAGCACATAAGCCAGTCACCCGCCGGGCGTAAATAATAGGCTGGAAATGTCTATTGACAACGGAAATGAAAGCAAATGTTCGGCGACGGAAGTACACAAAATCATGTTTTAATAATTAACAGATACTGAATATTCTGAATATTCTAAAATATTTTGAAAAATTATCTCATATTTGATGGTGTTTATCTGGGATTAGATAACCGCCGTAAAACAACCGTCCCAAGATAACTACATATAATCAGACTTTTAGTTTTTTTTAATTTTTAATTTAATTTGAAAATTCGCGTCATTCTAAACTTGACTTGGCTTACTTTCACTTCCGTTACGGAATACTTCCGTTGCCCACAGACACTTCCAGCTTATAATATAGATATTTATCGGTTCTTGGGTTGCCATAATTGAACCCGAACGTTGGAGACAAGAAACCGGTTTGTTAAGTTTTTCTAAATTTTTAAACGTATTTACTTAATTTTGCATGCCACTAATTTGATTTTAATCAACCTCTTGGAAGGGATCGCAATTCGAAAAACAAAATACGAAAAAAATTGTTCGCAAAACTTTAAAAAAGTCGAGTTTCAAAAAACTCGAATCGGGTTGTAAACTGAAGAAAACCTAAATTATGAATCCTTAGGTGCTAGTATGTGAATGGTAGTGCTAAATATTTTCATATCATCTCGAAGGCCTCTGCCCCTTTACGGCTTTAGTAACTTCTCAAGGAAGGGCCGAGTGAAATCGAATTATTTTTACTATCACACTAAAAAAAATTAGCTCAAGAAACCGTGTAAATCTTAGCAAAATCGAAGGTTTTTGTCTCACAATAATTATGTTTTGATTGTTGTTACTTTCTTAAAATGGTACATAAAGACCAGTGGTTTCCGCAGTTTTATCGAAAATTTAGCATGTATGTACATATGTAAAGTACATTAATGGAATACGTTTGTCTATCCCTGTACCCATAATGACATTAAAATTCGGATGTTTTTCTTTATTCTTGTGAACTTAATGTATGTGCATAGCGACTAAATAATGCCCAAATTTATTATGTACATAAACCCAGTATTGGCTTGCATTTTTGGAGCAAGATTTTAATAAAGTAAAATGTATACAAAACTTAGTAATGTTTCCCTTACCAGGTATTCAGGAAATGGGTTAGTCCGCTAAAATTACGGTGCACACATGGTTTGTTGATTAATTTTCTCACAGGCGAAAGTATAATTTCAAGGTGTGGTGAGAGAGCTGTGAAGTGTGGCCAAAATGGCTGCCACCCTTATCGGAATATGCGTTGCACCCGACTTACCAAACGAGGACCAGCGCAGTTCAACTTATCCATGTTGGAATTGGTTTATCTTTCATTACGTCACTCTTTTGCATAAGCCTGAACATCATTTCTATCCACTGCGCAATTTGTTATTATCAATGGGATAAATATATAGGCACGTAGGTATATATATTGATAAGAGGGTCTTGCCTCGTACATAGTCATTTATGATCGGTGGCTTATCGGGCAGCAGGGGTAGCACATTAAAGGCCAATTCCCGAATTAATGTTAATTTGGCCAAAATATTGTTATCAAAAGGTAATTTTATGTAAATGAAAGAAATGTAATAGAAATGTTTGCCACCATTTTTTTCATCATAGGTCAATCCCATATTACGACCTTTTATTACATACTTTTAGCTGTGCGTTAAGAAATGGAAATTATTGGTTTACATTTTGAGACCATTCTTGATTCATTTATCTTATTTTAGATAGCTTTACTTTACACAAGCATGAGAAACACGGCGCAATGTACATATGTACATTATCAATGGAATGGATAGGTACATATGCTGATAAGAAGCTCGTTCATGCTCTGGTGGCTTATCTTGCATTCGTTGCTTCGTACTTAGTTTCATTATTTTATTGCGTTTTAATTGAAATTTAGTTTGTGTAAGTTTTGACGCAGTATGAAGTTTTTATATACTTATATAGTTAATCGAAGTAGCATTCAATTTGATCTTGTCTAAGCCGGGGCCCCCGCAAACGCCGGGTTATCCAGTCTTAAATCTGGGTTTGGTGTAGAGAAATGTTTGTTTTTTATGAAGATTGGACAATATCCGCATTAAAACTCCAGCTTGCTAGAGAATCTGCAAAATCCGAAAAAAATGGATTTTTTATATGTGTAAGAAATATTAGCTAATTATTCAAACCTGATGCGCTCTGGTAATCTACACTTTCAAGGATTTTTCTCAAATCGCCAATTGTCTTTCTCCCATTAGCTGCCACCCAGTAGGTTAGAGTATTTGAGAGAAATGCGTAATATGTGGTGACGCCCATCTTGAGCGGTTTAGACCATTGGTCAAGCTTATTTGGTGGTATTAGGAAAATGTTTCCTAATAGAGTTGGGTCACTGATGATCATACCATCATCTTGTATACGGATGACAATATCATGAATCTTCACTGTCTCTGGGGTAAACGAAGAAACGTCTCGTGCTTTTGTAGATTCGAGGCATGGCGGGCTTCCAGGATTTCTTAAAGGGTCGGTTTTATTCTTAAATTCTAAGGATATCAAGCTCTTATTCGTTACATAAATATTTTTCCATTTTCCTGAATTTGTGTATGTATACCTGCCATGCGTTGCTTAAATATTTGAAGAACTTTACTATTGCAGCTAACATCGAGAGCATGCATAATTACAGGAATGTCATCATCGGTCCTGTAATCTCGTAGATTTTTGAGCAATTTGTCGGCCTTATTCTCTTTTCCGTTCGTCTTGCCCTTAAATAAAAAGACCAGAATTAAAAACTCGGGAAAATTAAAAAAAATGTCACAACTTATAAATAATACGTATGTATATAAACATTAATTTACCAGCAACTCCATGGTTTCATCGTCGATAATTTTCTTCCGTTCGAGACAGTTTAACAAAGACAGACTCATATTCAACGAATTTATTAGGATGTCTAAGTTATCGTCAATAATATTTTTAAGGATTCCATTAGATGTTGGGGATGCCATTGGTAAACTGAAAAGTTTATTTAGTTGGAACAAATCGAGATGTTTCACAGATATGTATTAAATGAAATGAAATTTTCTTTACATAAAAAAATTAATAATTAATTTTTGGATGTGGTGCCAAACTGAGACCAGTTTTATCTGCAAATGCGTTGCAGGACTGACGTAACTAGCAACACTGTGGTCCCATTTATGCTGGGGTTGATGTACCTTGCATCAATAACTTTACATAAGCAACACGGCACCAGTTATGTTATCAATGGAATAAATACGTATATACCTATGTATATACTTTGATAAGAATCTGTTGGCTGGTTCATGCTTGATGGCTTATCTTGAATCAATTTTTGGATACGAAATGTACACATGTATGTATGCAGTACGAGATCCTATTCATAATAAAGATTTTTAGCAAGTTGTAATATTTACCAACTCGAAATTATTGGTGGGACTAAATCACATTTTTTAATTGCATTATTGTAACACACTACGTTACAATTATTACACTATTAAGGAAGAAATTCATGATCATTTAAATGAATAAAAGTGAACAATAAATTACTTAATTTATTGTTACCTGCCAAGGCATTTTGCAATTCTACGACATCAGTAATAATTTTGTCACCGTTAGGTAACGTATGGAGGAATTAAAACAAGAGTTATCCACCCAACACGTGGTCTTTGTCATCGTTGTGAGTGTGAGCACGCCGTTGATGATTTTGATCGCGGTGGCAGACGGATAGTAAATCCTGCTGAGCACACAATGCTAATAAAAATATTGGTACATACTGCAGGCAATTTCTTACCCTTGAAAGACTATTTTTTACTATAGCTTTACAACGCGGTATAGTTTCACAGTACCTCCGCTCGTAATAATCGTATCACAAAATTATTGAGAGCGTATTATTTTAGCACACATCGTGACCGTGTTCTTTCCGTAGCTGTTTTGTATTTGAACTTTTTGAAGGAGCACGGGTACAAGGTGACAATATCGAATATTAGCGTCATGCATGACGTTAATATCTCGTCTCCTTATCCATGGATATGGAGACAAGATGGACGTTAAATTTGCATAAATTGTCTAGATTGACATGTGCAAACGTACGCAGTAATAAAATTGTGACATGACAATGTTGGAAAATCTCGTCTAGAGAAAAAGTATGATGAACTAGCTTATATGCCCGCCTTAAGGATGGCTGCATGCAAAATTGGAAAATACTGACATCTGACTGTCAGTGCAACTGATAATATGAGTTTTTCCTCTCCACTAGGAACTCAGAAGTGATAAAAAGTACACACATTTCTAGTCGCAAGCTATTTAAGCTTTAGTAATAGTTACATATATCCTCGGACACACGTGACAAGGCTACTAATTCAACAAGTTACTTATGTCTCTGAAAATACACGGAGCTATGTACATCCTTGAACTATGGACATTATTCTCATTTCTGTCACTTCGTAGAACGCTATAAGCTCTGAGGATGAAAAACAGGTCGAGTCTCCAGAAAAATCGTCATTTTCGAAGGCAGTCCAACTCGAAATTCCCGTGAGAACTCGACGAGCAGGAAGAAATCCGAAATTGTTGGCCGCTAACCCGGCAATGTGCGTTCGACGCCACCCGTGCTGGTGGTGGGAACACCACTGTAAATCGAAATGTATGGCGTTCTTGTGTCCGACGGTCCCATAAATCTCATCGACAGGCTTGGAGGAAGTTCGAAATTATCGCAAACCATTGTCCCGTCAACAGAAGAATTTCCGAAGGTCCTTAAAGTATATTTAGTAGTTTGTCTCATTGAATCCGACCCAGCTAGAAAAATATTGAAATACATATTTAGCATTATTAATCACCTAAAGGGTGTTGATTTAAATTGTGCCGATTTTTCCAGTCAATATTTGAAAACTTGCACGATGGAAACACAGAGGTCAATTTTTTATCAGAGATACAGTGCTAATTACAGGTATTGTATAGAAAATGATTAAGCGTGGTGGAGTTTCTGCTCGCCAAAAACACATGTCCACTTGATTAACATTGAAAGCGGGCTTAGATTGAAATCAAATCCATCAAGCGTAATCAGTTCCCAATCAATAGTCTTGGGCAATTTATTCTGATCATTCCCTTAACTTCTTTATTTTGAGTTTGTGCTAATTTTCATAAATTTGTTTATGGTCACTAAAATCATCGGGACGAATTAAGTTAACATCCTTTATCATGATTCATGATAAAGTGTTTTATTGTCTGTGATATCTACAGCTTGATAGCAATTAAATATGTAAAATTTGAGAAGGATATTTAGATCAGGGGCCGTCCATAATTTGCGTAACGCGAGAGGGGAGAGTGGATCTAAGGCGCCAATGACATCGTTTCTTTTTTTCACATATGACTAAAGGGTAAAGGGAGAAAGGAGTTCTAGAAATTTTCGATTATTTTGCGTCGCGTAATTTATCGACGGCCCCTCGTCATCCGAAACTAATTTAACTCTTAAGCAAGTATTCCTTACTATCCTGTGTAGCACCATGATTTAACATCTCTCAAAAAGACCTGGTACCCCGTAAGATCCGGCTCTTTAGTTCGGAATCGAAGCGCGTTCCCCTCATGGTCAGGCTCCGTGAAGAATGTTACCTCCTGTGTGAAGCCGAGAGCAAAATAGAGGCAGGTGCCGAAGGTAAATAGTCGAAGGAACATTATAACTGAGTTTGTCCGGTAGATAGACTGGTGAATTTGGCAAGAATGGATTACATTTTATATGTAAATATGTACCTCCAACTGATTTCGGCATTGAGGGAAATGTATCAAGTTTTGCAAATCTGAATTTTGCAAGAGAATGCTTTTAACCCACTTGAATATATACGTGTTGGCCGTATGTAAATAAATATGTTATGCAATTGAAACTATGTACAGGGTACATTAAATGTGCCGCAACGAGACTCTCGCTACAATGGACAATTTGGCAGAGGGAAAAAGCCCCAATCTCATAATGGGGAGCAAACCATGTTCAACCCAGTTTAGTTTTGACCATCGCAGTTTGATAGGTCAACTCTTTAGAAACAACATTTATTGAGGAACTTGCACGGAGGTGCAATATTCAGCATATTTTGGACCCCTTTTTCCAGTCGAATTTATGTTAATGGCGACAGTTTCACCTTTTCGCGATCTTACCGAATTCTACTGCTCAAGTTCCGGAATAAATGTTGTCTCAAAAGATTTGCTACTTTGATCTAACATGGTTAAAATAAGTATAACCTGAATTGACCATGGATTGCATTCCCACTGTCAGTTATGGGGATATGGGATTGAGATTTGTATTAATTATTCAAGTCTAGTAACAAACCTGATTGTTCACAATGACAAAATTCTTAAAATGTTGCATGTCAGAGACTAAATTTCGATAACTGAAGGAAATTTTCGAATTACTCGGGTTTTTGCTTGTAGTGAGACATTTCAATCACCCTGTACTTCTGGTTGAGTATTAACTTATCACGCACGTGTGGTGTAGTTGGCTGGAATTTTATCAGTTGGCATTGATGATTTATAAGTACGATACGTACACCTAAATTAAGAATGTACATACATTTATTAGCTCGCCCTGCGTAGCACGAGAGCTATTGAATTCCTCTTGTCCGTCCGTCCGTCTGTCTGTCCGTCTGTCTGTTAATGAGGTTTTTGCATCAATTGATGCTAATTAAAAATCCCCTTGACAATTATTGCATATGTTAGGCGCACCATTGGTATTGAACAAACCGAATAGAATTTTTTAGTAAATAAATAGCACAGTTGATATCTAACAATCGGTAACACAAAATGATGCGAAATAATTGGGGGACGGGATGCAAAACGCACCAATAGTGCAGAATATCCGGGAGAAATCATCATACAATTTTGACAAAGTTTTCAAAATTATGTATCCCGGATGGTCGCTAATGCTGCACTAATGGTGCAATGGCCGGTTCTGTTGCACCATAGACGGCATATATATAGTGAATATATAAGAGTTGTGATCTATTTTGTTGGCTTATTCCGCACCTTCAGTGCAAAGTTCTGTCTAATCATCATGACAGGGTGAGCTACTTCTAACGTTACTACGGTTTATTAGCTCACCCTGCGTAGCATGAGAGCTATTGAATTCCTCTTGTCCGTCTGTCCGTCTGTCTGTCCGTCTGTCCGTCTGTGTGTTCACGAGTTTTTTGCATCAATTGATGCTAATTAATAAGTCCCAAAACCATTTTAACCCTAATTCGTAGCACATTTGGTATGCATTAATGTATGTCAAAATTATCTAGCAATTGTGCTCGCTAATTTTTCACCATTGGTGCATAATTATATAAAAATTATGCATCTAGTTTCCATTTTTCTATGGTGCCAAACAATTGGGACAATCGATGCAAAACGCACCAAAGGTATAGAATAACTGGAAGTAAACAATCCTGACCCCGCGTTTTGCGTAGAGCTTGGGAAGAGTCGAAATTATGTTAAAATTATGTGTCAACTTTCCACCCTTATTTTCCACTGTTGGTACCAAACTGTATCGAAACTATACACCTTTCTCGGCTTATTCTGCACCTTTGATGCAAAATGAAATCCAAATTCTGCCCACTTTGTTCGTTTATTAGCTCACCCTGCGTAGCATGAGAGCTATTGAATTCCTCTTGTCCGTCCGTCCATCCATCTGTCTGTTGACGAGTTTTTTGCATCAATTGATGCGAATTAATAAGTCCCTGCTCCATTATTACCGGTCTGAGGAGCTCCATTGGTATCGAACCAGCCGTGGCGCAAATGGTGCGAATTAATTGTGCAAATTGATCAAGGAATGACTACAATTTCGGAATAGGTAGCACCGTCAGTATCGAACAATCGGTTATCCAAAATGGTGTGAAACAATTGGGGGAATCGATGCAAGATGCACCAAAAGTGCAGAATAACTAATGAATATAATAAAAATCGATCAAGTCCATTCGTTAATAAGTTAATAGCACCATTGGTATCTAACAATTTAGAACCCAAAATGATGCGAAATAATTGTGGGAAGCGATGTAAAACGCACTAATAGTGCAGAATATCCGGGAGAAATAATCATACAATTTTGACATAAAATTTTCAAAATTATTTAGCCGGAGTGGCGCTAATGTTGCACAAGTAACTAATTTGAGCATTTGCTACATTTCTCCGTTTATATTGCACCATAGGTGAAAAAATATATAACAATTATGATCTATTTTGTCGGCTTATTGTGCACCTTCGCGAAGGTGCACTAGTATAGCACTTTGCACCGAAGCTTCAGTGCAGAGTTCTATCTAAATAATTTTGACAGGGTGAGCTACTTCTAACGTTACTACGGTTTATTTTATATGCATGCATAGCTGTACTTTATTTAAGTATTTACTTATGTACATTAGGTGAAGTATTGGAACATCGGCATTCGCCATCTCGTAGATCAAATGTTTCAAAATATTTTAATCTTTAGATAAATTAGTATATAGTATAATTAGTATAAGAAATCACTTTTGTAAGTACTTCTGCATTAGTTTTATCCAAGTTTGTATTCCAATCATGAGTAACAATAATGAAAACCGGAATCTGTTCAGACACAAAAAGCTTTAATTTGGATAAGATTCTCAGCGTTCTACGTTCGTAGAGCTGATTTTTATGAGTTTAACCTATCACTAATTTGGAATTGGTCCACCCTATCGCTGAGTGGGAGGAGCTCAAAGTTGGAAAAAATCGTTCCGTCTACGATTTTTAGCACAGTTACAAGTTAACATTTTTGAAAACGGTTTTCGTCAAAAGTTTTCTAATTTTGTTCCCTACAACCGTTTCTAACCGTTTTTCTAACCAATTTTGTGAATTAATTGGCCGTATGAAAATCAAAAACCAATAGTGCAGAATTGATAAAGCACGAGTCAGGCCAAACGTGGTTATCACTCAATCCCACTTTTTGCATGAAATTTTATCGTAAATGCATATCAACCAAGTTAAAAATTTAAATTGGTTTTTCCAATTTAAATTCATATTCCTCTAACAGTATCAATTACATATTTAGCAGCATATGAGGCAAATTTCACGGGAGGGTTGCCAAGTCACGGACAAAAAACAGGTACCCTATTTCCGCTTGAGGTGATATTCCCTCAATCAAATTCATGAATATTTTTGTCCTGTTTTGGTTTGTCACATATTCTCCTCGCCGAGGGGATGAATTATGTTTTTTGTTTGTTCAAACAGTTTTCTACCGTGCGAGATAACAAATTTGCTACAACTAAAGCTATTTCAGTAAGTTCGCCTTTATGGTTTTTAGTGAAGGAGTATAATTAAAAAACTCCCATTTTTGTCCCATTGTTGATAATTGTTTTGCAGATAAGCAAATTAATACTTAATTTTGTGTTGCTGGTTGTCTTTTTATTATCATAAATTTTATGATATGTGTACACAGATATACCTTTTTAATATATGTAGTTGCATTCCTTTTATCTGCATCGCGTATGATTTTGTTTTTGTTTACATCCATGTGACGTGACAAACTTACCCAACCTAATTTAACAAAGATTTACTTGTGAGCTATGACTCTTTTGGGTGTAAATAATACATACAAAAGTCAATAATGTAATCTAAATTAACGTAAATAATGAGTTGAGTTCCTCTTACGAATTTTTGTTGTAGAGTGAAATGAAATATAAAGTGAAGCGATTATATATCAGACAGTAAGTAATTTGCAAACAGGTCAACAAAATCGCACACAATTTTATCATCCTTTTGTATTGTTTTGATTAATCCTTGATAACATATGGGCGTAGATAAATTTATTGCTTGATAATTAAATAAAGGATGACGTATTTGCAATTAAACTAATTTCTGTAAACGGAAAATTAATGAAGTATAGCTAATAATTGAACAGGACCTTTGGTATAAAAGTCAGGATGTAGCTCTCAGTCCTACATACTTCGTCTTTTTCGTCTACTACCACCCATCAAATTTTTATTGAAGAAACGCCAAAATGCCAGGGTAATTCAAAAATTGTGTTAAATTTTATTTAAAAAACCCATAACTCTTTTCGTTAATCCACAGTTGCAACTGCCTAACATTTTGCAATACGTCGTCCTGCTTTTGCAAAAACAATCGACGATTTTGCAACTCTACTTGCGAATGTTGCAGTGATGGCGATTCGTCCTGCAGGAATGGAGGGCGCCCGGCTCCTAAAATGGAAAGGACCACGACTTCTACTCCGAAAGCGAAAGTAGTCAAACCCAGTCCATCAAAGGGTGCTTGTACCAGAAAAAAATGAGACTTTAAATATGTAGATTTATTTTGAGAATTTTTTGACATTTATGTATGAATGTAGTTCTAACGTTTGTATTACTGGCGGTCTTACATATGGGAAATTAAATAAATTAAGATAAGTGTCCTGACGATATTACATAATAAAAAAGATGGGAATACTTATGCTGGATGGAAATATGTATATGGCGTTGTACAACGACGAAAAATAATAATAGTTTAGTGGCGATCTGTAGAATCACCCATTATTTACAGAGGGGTGGGACAGAAGAAGGAGCCACCTTGCCTAAATTTATTCCGGCCTTATTATTCGTTTGTGAAGTTTGGTAATTGGTTCAGTGTGAAGCCCTTTAGTTTATCTAACGAGCCTCAGTCGCTTTTTCCAACCAGTCATGACCTTTGACACAATTTTCAGAGTGATTCTGCACCACTCGTCCTGAACACTTTTCCAAAGTGCATCAAAACGCACGCGTTTTCCTTTCAAGAAGGCTCTGTTTTAAGTACTCGAATCCAAAAAAAAACATGGAACAAAAAAAAAAAAAAAACGAGGAACTAACGAGAGTTTCTATAGTAGGAATAATTGTTATACCCAAACTTTTTTTAAAAGCCTTCGTGTAGGCTGATATTTTGTGAGAAATAAGTTGGGATGAGAGCATGATCTCGGGATTTCCTACGAGTCACTTGCTGTAGGTCATTGTCAATGGCTCTAGAAATGTTCTCCTACTAACGTTTAACATTTTCGCCATGCAACTTTTAGTTGGTGGATTTACCGTTTTGGCGAAAAATTGATTTTCCGGATAGACTTTTTGGTTCAAGCGGATCTTGGGTATCCTTTCCGTGGGGGTGGAGCTCTAACCGCTTTTTCCCTCCGCTTGATTCCAACGTTTTTAAGTACATTAGAAACGTACTTTCGATCGACGATAAATCCATTTGCAGCAAATTTTCTAACAATCGCTCTCTGGCTCAGTATGTCTTTGGAAAACACTTTTATGCGTGCCTCGCACTCTGGGGGGTGCTGCAGGGGCATTTTTAACCGTAGGGAAAATCTGAATAGTGCTAAATTTTCGTTAACTATCTGGGTATGACATATGCAAATTTTGAAAATGCCGCGACTGTGCATCACACGCCACCCCTAAAATTCAAGTGGCTCCTTCTTCTGTCCCACCCCTGTATTGCTAAATAATAAATAATTTCTAAGCGTTATCTATATACATACATAAGCCCATTGAAACTCTTGTTGATCATAATTCGATTAAAACTCCCCTGATGGCAATCAATCAAATTTTCATGATTTCATTAAAAAGACAATATATTTTTCAACCAGTTTTCAATTTGGTTCTAGACACTGATCTAATAATTTGAGGTTTTCCACAATAAAAGAAACCCAAAAAAGGAAAGCCTGGATGAGGCTACGAAGTGCGATAAAAAGTATTTAATAAATTTAGGTTCATGTTTGAAGCCAGGGGCTGCATTTGATTTTCATTTTTTGCAGCTGGCAAAGAAAAGGGTCATGCATATATAAATAGAAGTAGAAAAATAACTTATAATTTATTCAATTAGTTTTGGTTTAGAATTATTATTGATTAACAATGATAATATTTGTGTAAATATGTATGTCTATCAAAAATTAATTTAATATACATAGTTCATTATTTATTGGCGACTTGAATTGTAAGTTAATCATGCTAGGTAATGAATACTGATTAATTATTGCATCAAATAAATAAGAAAAAGTCATTCATAACTTATGCGAGAAATAATTTAAACAAATCTTATGCGATATAATGACGTTGTTGTGGACACTCCTGGGATGGCTGATGAATTTACTAAAGTGTGGGCTGGGGTCTCATTGGTTGAAGTTGTTATGCATTATCTCATCATTTCCGGCGTGGTCTCGTTGTCATTGCAGTTGGACTAGTTGATTGTCCGGTGGGGGCCAGATGTGCTAAAATTACTTCACTATCTCTAGAAAAAATGGGGGTAATTTCCAATATAAAAATTTGGTCTTTCATTAGAACTCTGATCGAGTCGAGGCGTCCCGGGCTACGTACGTATCAAGCTTTTAATCGAGCTCCAATTCAGACGCTTACCTCGAGATTTTAATTTTCGAGTTGAACCTACGTACGACTGGATTCGTCGAGCTCGAATTACTCGTGTTACTCGACTAGAAACCCGACCAATCCTATCTCGACTCGATTAGTGCTCTAATCTTGCATAATCCGTTTACAAATTTGCGAAGCTAATTCTCTCGTTAAAAAAATGATTATGTATCCGCTACTTTTCCAGTATCCAGGTGTGTGCCAGTATGGGCAGAAAGCCATTTTCCGCATGTTGAACTTCACCCGCATAACTTTTGTAGAAAGTTATGCGATATCCCCAACTCTTTATGCGGGATAAAAACGGGGCCACCGCGTCCAGGGGGGGTGCTTCCATTCGTGGATTGTCCTGTTGACCTTTGACTAAAATTATTATTAAAGGAATATTAATATTTTTAAAATGTTTTGTAATTATTTAAATTACTAATTAATTAGCAATTAATAATTTCTATATTACATTCTTCAACTGTCGAATTTACCGACCACGCTCCGTATCACCTCACTGTTCAGTCAAGGAAAGAGGGTAAAATTTAGCCGAAGAAGAGCTAAATTTAGCTCCGGCTTTATTTAGCCGATCCGGAGCTAAATTTAGCTCCGAAAGGTAGATTTTGCTCCAAATCTTCCGCCAAATTTAAATTATTCAATCTATAACTATGAATTTAAAATGACCTTCACGTTTAAGTTTCTGTGACCCCGGTGGACCAGATCACACAAAGCTGGGCCATTGCGTATTTGTTACGTGAAACCTGCTTAATTTACCTAAATTGACAAAAGCAACCGTCAGTGCATAATAAAGGCGGTCGTTCTATTCAAAGTCTGACCAAGCTAAATTTAGCTCTTTTTCAGAGGAAAATTGAGCTTGAGGAGCTAGATTTAGCTCTCGGAGCTAAATCGGATCGGATAACTAAATCCGGAGCTAAATTTAGCTCTTCTTCGGCTAAATCTTACCCTCTTTCCTTGACTGCTGTTGGCCGAAGGTGGTGAAAATTGTTTCAAGTCGTATAATTCCGTGGGATTCAGACCCCCGATTTTAATATTGTACGAGGTTACGTATCGAGCTAACCAGCCACGTTGTGTACTTGCATGGCTAGATATTAATCAATTGTATATGTAATTCGTGAAATAAAGTGATATCTTAGCTTGATATATAAGTACGTATGTATGTATTTGAAAGTTTTAGTTTTTTATTACTTACAGCATCACGGTAACCACAGACATGGACGTTTCCATGACAAAAGTGTATCTTTATTTATGTAATGGTGTTAATTTTGTACGTAATTAATTAATTTTGTTAATTTTGAATCGTTAATTTTGTGTGTACATATGTAACTGGTCCCTTCTTCGAAAGTGAAAGCTGGATTTTACTGCTACATATGTACGATGATGATGATCCCTTAGGTACATAGCAGCTGAGAGGGACCAGGGTCGTGCATAAATAAATATATGTAGGCAATAATTTATGATTTATTAAAGTTTTTAACACGACCAAATTTTGATGGAATTATGTGCATTTCGAAATCAAGCTCATGACAATTATCTGCAAAAATAGCTTTAGTACTTTTTTTAAAATTAATAATAACCACATCTGTTTTGTTGATCAGTTTTTGATGCATTTTCGCGCTTTAGGGGCCATCCATATCTTACGTTATCAAAAATTCTCGATTTTATCACCCACCCACCTAACGTATACATTGAAGGATAGGAAATTTTAGCATGGGAAAGATAGGAAGACCTAAACCACCCACTCACTAAAATGATGACGTACTATATGGACGATCCCTTAGCGGAGGGGGTAGACAAATCTGTTCCTTTAGTTGACGCAATATATGAACGGGCATACTCTGTAACCTATGCAAGCTTCATATGTAATTTACATATACAGATTACATGCTTGTACATACAGACAAACATACACGGACAGCATTTCTGATATGAATTTCCACCTTTGTTGCTTCACTGGCCCTCTCTACATATCCTCCTCCGACTTCCCTCCACTTCCAGTCCAGCTGGACTGGATTCTCCAAGCCAATTAATATTTAACTGTGGTTCACTGAATCAATTGCTTAAATAATATCAATCAGGTAACGCTTAATTAAATTATTGAATCCTTTATTAGTGAGCTTCCCTTTATGAGAAGACGAAAATAAGCATTATATATTACTGTTTCATTATTTTTTTAATTGAATGTAGTCCTTGATTGTGAACTCAAACATTGCTCTTATCAAATAAATATCTTATTTTACACGAAGATGTTGAACTTTCATGTAAACAATGATGTCAAATTCCGTTTGGTACACGAGTTTTATACTTATATATTTTCCGTTGGTAAAAAAACACGTCTAATTATTCCTTTGAAATTATTGTGGATTTGATGAAATTGTTAGCATTTCATTAGGGGGGAGGGGTGTGAATTTGATAGCGGGGAATCTATTGGGGGGAACTGATAATGCGGGGAATTTGCTGTTGGGTGGAAATCGATGACGACGGAGCAATTGTAGGCTGTTAAACCTAAAATGCATAGCTCCAATCGTTAGCCAGCACTCAGCAGTTTAGTAACTATTGTTCTGCAAATAATTTATAGTAAATTAATTATTTCAGATTCCAAAATGAAACAAAATGGAAAAGAGAAAGGCAAGAAGAAGATTGTCTTCCGGTGTGATATTTGCCATGAAGATATTCCTCGTGACGTTAAACAGAAGCACATCCGCGCCCACTTTGCCATAAACCGCCGTCCACGCAAGTGCAAATTGTGTGATAAAACTTTCGCATGCCCAGTCACGTTGGAAATTCATTTGAGAAGTCACACGAAAGAAATGTTGTACAGTTGCGACACTTGTGGAAAGGAGTTTGGTCAGAAAAGCAATTGGAAGACGCATCAAAAGGTAGAAACCAGTAGTCGTTTTTTAATTATCGGAAACAATATTTAGTGCGGATCACGCAATATTTAGTGAACTATTTAGTGAAAAACTATCGATTTAGTAGTTGATTGAGGGGAGAGGTCCACTAACATAATTAGTGCACCATAAGATCAGCTTATTCTTGCCATCTTGTTAAGTTGATTAAGAAATCCCTTGTAATTTTCATCTTAACTAATCGTTATAAATTTATTCATATGCATTTAACGCTCATTTAATTCTTAGAAGGTCCACCACGTCCCGGCTGATATGATTCAGTGTGGAACCTGTTACACTAAAGTGAAGAAATCCACCGGACTTGAACGCCACGCAATTTTTTGCGGGAAGGAATCAGACTACTATTCGGTGAAGGAAGTTCTAAATCCTGACAAAAATCCGAACGCAAGGAAGAAAACTGACACGATTTGGCGATGTAAACTGTGTCCGGATAAACCAAAGAGGAGAAAGGAGTACGTAGAGGAACACGTGATTCGAATCCATCTTAAGGTGAAGCTGTACTCTTGCTACTTTTGCGGCACGAAATTCGTTCATCGAACAGAACTTCAAATGCATTTGAGGTTGCATACGGGCGAAAAACCCTTCACGTGCAAAACCTGTGGGAAGGGATTTACCCAGTCGACACATTACCAAGCCCATCTGGTGTCACATTCTGAGGAGAGATCTTTTAAGGTACATAGACTAATACGGGCATATGGCCGATCAATAAATTATGTCATGGAAGAGGGGGAGGCGGGGTGTAGTAAGGCTCCAATGGTATCGTGCCTATGTGACACATGTTAAAGGGTGTGTTTAGAAAATTGCGATTTTTGCGTGACACGATTTATAGATCTCCCTTTAGATTCTTAATCATAGTATGGCGACTTTTTTTCTAAAAGAGACTAATTATTTATTTCCTTATTCACAGTGCGCCCTCTGCCCGAAAACTTGCAAGACGCTTTCTGCCCTGAAGATCCACGCTGCTCTCCACACGCAGGAGAAGCATTTCAAGTGTACCGTACAAGACTGCGGGAAAGGCTTCCACTGCTCCAGATCGCTCGCCCAACACATCGATCGCGACCACTTGAAACGTTTCCCTTTCTCGTGTGAGGTGAAGGGATGTCGAAAAGTTTGCTTGACTCGACAAGAAGTAAAAATGCACCACATTCACTCTCACACTGATGAGAAACCCTTCCTGTGCACCCTCTGTAATGTGGGTTATAAAACGAATGGAAAATTGTTGGAACATCGGAGGAAAAATCAACGTCATAAAAAACTGGAGGAAGCAAATTCTACACTGTAGATATCCCGGGAACAGTGGAATTTCCTGGTAACGAGTTTAGGTATGTTCCTATGCATACCTGTTCACTTTCGTTTATGTGACTGATTATGATAGAGAATGAAAATGAATTTCCTGTGATTTGATTGAAAATGAGTGAAAGATTCAGGAGCTTCAGATGAGTCAATGTGAATGGAAGGATTTCTCACTTAATATGTTGAGCACTCTTATAAATTAAAAAAAAATGCTTTTGTACAACATCAATAATTGGAGTCTATGGAAATATTGTGATCTTTCATGCAAAAGTTGATTTGAAAAATAAAGCCATTTATAAAATGAATTTACCACTATGTTCTAACATGGAAAGTACGAAATTACGGCATGGTAAAAATATATGTATCTATTTACATTTATAAAAAGTTATTATTATTCCAGATAACATTTTCATCCCTGAAAAGCACCGTCAGTTTTCATGCAAAATAAATCATAACGCACTGAACAAAGAGTGATGGAAATATTGGGTGGTGGACGAGAATGCGCGAGCATGACACGTTCACAAATAAATATGTAAACGTCAACAGGTGTTTCATATTTATTATGCAGTTACTGCATTTACTCAAGTTTTAAATACTGTAGTCTTCTAATTTCACTGATTAGGCTAAGTTTAAATTTTAAGGTTGAGAAATTACTCTGATAAAAAAACATACGAGTTAATCACACATAGCAAGCTGATCAAATTCTGAGTTAATACTTTTAAGGTAACAAACGGTCGTGGGAAATATTTAATTGCGGTTAAAACATAAAACTTTGAACCCTTTGAGAAATAGGCAAAGGCGAAGTTCACCGCTTTAATAAATTGCTTTTAAAGGTGAGCTAACCATACAAACATATGTGATATATACAAGAAAAAAGATTTCAATCCAGATTCCTGCCATCTGCAAGATGCCGATCTGCATATTAACGTAAGCTCATGTAAACCAAACTTTCATAAAATAAGTGTGTGGGTAATTTCACTTCTAATTTGACACTTTGGGAATTACGTACATACAAAATTATCAAGCTTAAATGGATGTCATCCAGCGTATCACTCCGATTATCACTAAATTAAAATCCGTCGACCACAAATTTAATTAGCATTAAGTTCTGCACAAGGTCGAATATCGCAATTCGCTAGTTTGGTGAAGATCTGGACTTGTATTACAGGTCCAGATCTTAACCTAAAGTTGAGAAAATACTTATAGAGCTCGTCCTTGAAACTCGGTCACTAGTTACAGTTTGGTTGGAAGTAGGTCAAAAATAGTGTTATGAGTCCGAATTTTTTGTAAAAGGTTGCAAATGTATGAGTCTCTGTGCCCACAAAATTTCATAAATTTACAATTGAAACTAAATTTCCTATATGATTTCAAAGCGAGGAAGTCGAGAAACAAATTTTTTGAAAGTACCAAAACTTGAGTTACAAAGACTCTCAGAAGACTTGACTAAATTTCAACAGGGCAGGGTGTGGCTTTGCAAAAATTAAGACATATATAAAAAAAGTATGTAGAATCCGAAAATGTCAACTTCAAATAAGCAGCATCTTAAAAAACCATCATATCGACCCCTCGAAAGTTAAAAAAAATTGAATTTATTTTTGGAAAATGTCGCTCCACGTCCATGTTTGATGCGGCCATAAAGTCAAAGATTAATACAAACTACTTGCCTCAAATCAAAGCCAATATATTGTGGGTCGAAGCGTATGCCAAAAGATCTGCACCAAAACATATGGAAGGTCGAGAAAAAATGGTAAACGCAAGACCTCCAATGCTTTATAAAAAAATTTCACCAACAATGTTGGCCATTGACGACAAGTCCTACATCCTTAAAAATGTGATAGAAACTCCACGAATGCAATGTTTTCATGGCAAATATATGTCTTTAGTAAAAACCAAACGGAAACTAAAATGTTGTTCAAAATTGTCCAAGAAATTTCTGGTTTGGTTTGAATCAAAAAGCATGGTAATCAAATGGGGGTTTGATTATGAAAAATGAAAACCCTTCAAATTTCCGTTATCTTAGCCCCTTCGAAACATTTTGGACTCTAAGCAAGACGTTATACTTCCAGCTTTGTGAAATAGTCGATATTTAAAAAAAAATTGGTTCCGGTAGGAGAAAATTAACAATGAATTTACAAAGTCTTCCGGAAAAGTATCATTGGCGGACGCGACTAAAAAGACTAAATACGAGATATATAATGGACTTCAGTCATCTTTGTTCGCGAACACATATGGCCTGATATATTTAACATATTCTGTGAAAATTTAGGATTTCTACGTTTATGTTTGACTACTCCACCATTAAAATACTAAGTGACCGAGTATATAGGACGAGAACCTTAAATGAATGTGTGAAGATTGGTAAAATTGTCGGTGTTGTTTCGTCCTATTTGAATGCAAATATCTCAGCGAAACGTGCGCTTTGGGAGGTCATGTCTTCCACATATTTCATATTAATCAAACTTGTGATCTACTGATATGCAGTAATAAATGAAAAAGGCCCCCCATTGTTAACCTCTTTACGACGAAGTACACACATTTGTGCAGTTATTAAGTAGCTTCAGCTACTTTATGTGAAGACTTTGTCTGTCTGTCTGTCTGTCTGTCTGTCTGTCTGTCTGTCTGTCTGTCTGTCTGTCAGCAAGATATCAGGAGAACGGATCGAGATAATCGAAATCGGTTTTCGCCATCATACATAGGACCCCAGGGGGAGGATCCTATCAACTTTTGGGGGCAACCGGACCACACCCCCTTTGGCGAAAGGGGGTGTGGTCGGGGCAAAATGAGATTTTTAGTGCAATTTAATCTATAGGTGAAATAGAGTAAAATTATGTGTTCCGGAGTTGTGCCACACCCCCTCGGCGCCAGGGGGTGTGGTTGGGGCAAAATGAGATTTTTGGTGCAATTTAATCTATGGGTAAAATTAGGTGAAATTGAGTGAAATTAAATGAAATTAAGTGAAATTAAGTGAAATTAAGTGCTTCCCCGATTTTGCCGCACCCCTTCGGCGCCAGCGGGTGTGGTTGGGGCAAAATGAGATTTTTAGTGCAATTTAATCTATAGGTAAAATTAAGTGAAATTGAGTGAAATTAAGTGAAATTAAGTGAAATTAAGTGTTTCCCCGATTGTGCCACACCCCCTCGGCCCCAGGGGGTGTGGTTGGGGCAAAATGAGATTTTTGGTGCAATTTATTCTATGGGTAAAATTAAGTGAAATTGAGTGAAATTAAATGAAATTAAGTGAAATTAAGTGAAATTGAGTGTTTCCCCGATTTTGCCGCACCCCTTCGGCGCCAGCGGGTGTGGTTGGGGCAAAATGAGATTTTTAGTGCAATTTAATCTATAGGTGAAATAGAGTAAAATTATGTGTTCCGGAGTTGTGCCACACCCCCTAGGCGCCAGGGGTGTGGTTGGGGCAAAATGAGATTTTTATAAAAAATTAATCTATAGACGAAATAGAGTGAAATTAAGTGTTCCCGAGTTGTTCCACACCCACTCGTCGCCAGGGGGTGTGGTCGGGGCAAAATGAGATTTTTACAAAAAATTAATCTATAGGTGAAATAGAGTGAAATTAAGTGTTGCCGAGTTGTGGTGGGACCGTTTGGGGTGAAGTACGTCTGAAGCTACTTCCGTATGCGCGTTTGCGACGGTTTATTCTATTTCTCGTTCACGGCGAAGGACACACCTTTGTGTAGTATTTTATTTTTCCGTTGACGACGAAGTACACAAATGTGTGTACTGCATAAATTTCCTTGACATCAAAATTTCTTTAAAAAAGATTATTTCTTCTGTATTTTGTGGAAAACTCGATGGTGAAAAGTGGATTTTTTTCTATATTTTTCTCCTAAAATTTTGGAATTTTCCCTATACCGACAAATGCTAAAAAGTGGATTTTCACTTTTTTCGTCAAAAACTCGAATATTGAAAACTGGTGGAAAATTTTAATTGGTTGCTATCAGGTATAACCAATAGTTATTAACTATGAAATCAAAATCGTACCGAAGGGAATTTTTTTTAAAATTATAGTCCGAAAGAGGTCCGTATCAGAGCTCCATGCTAGTGAAATATCGCAGGGAATGTCGTGGGCCTATATTTTCACGCTAAATTCTAATAAGTGAAACAATAATATTGCTTTAGCAATACCAAATAATAAACCGTTACTGAACTATTGACCTTAGAAATTTTAATTTGTTCAATAACTAAAATAAGCAGCCCAAATTTATTTAACTGGTACAAATAGAAGAATTTTTCTGCGTGGCAGAATTAAAAAAAAATATTCCCAAAGGTATGGGAATTTTCGAATCTTGGTACAAACTCAAAAATTAGAGAGCTCTATTTCGGCTTAATTGTTCAAATATCCACTTTCCAACTTTTTCAGAGTTTTTGGTTCATTTTTTTAATGGCGTCAAAAATCGATAAGCATCTAATATAGATCTAGTATAGAAAACTAGAAAGTTAGGCTGACGCTTTGCATGATTTAAAAATTCCACTGCATGGGAGAAGGCTTGTTAAACAAAATCTACGGATTTGCTGGTTTTGGCCTTCGTTGAGCAATATAAATAAACTCATTCCAATCTAAATCTACGAGGAATACCTCAACCCCGGAATTGTTACTTCAGTAGAAGCAGCATATACACATCAAAATTGCTTTGATTAGGGTACGCCACGGAGAAAAAATATTCGTGATCTCAACCCCAAGTGGCCGTCAAAACTCGAACTTTATCATTTTTAATAAGTTTAACACTTTTTCTCGGCATAAAACTAATTTTCCCCGACACCGATCCGAAAACTGTGCGGCTGGCCGAGTCGCTCCGATGATTTGGCCAGGTTTCGCCCAAAAATCGGGTCGGCGTCTGTAACAAGCTGTGGTGCCGTGATGGGATTTGTTTTACTCCCCAGGGCCGGGCCTGACTCACTTAGTCCCTGACAATGGAGGCGCCAACCATGTTCAGCCCAGATTATTTTTTGACCATATTAGTTTGAAAGAGCAAGTCTTTCGAAACAACATTTGGTTCAGCACTTGCGCAAATGCGCAAATTTCAGCACGTTATGGGCGCCGCAAGTTCGCGAAAACGCAAGAAGTTGAGCTCGCGCTGGGCATTGCCCGAAAAATCATCTGAGTTTTGAGTCCGCAATGCGTGAAGTTTTGTGAAGTTTTTAGAAAATGTGTTCGCCCTATCTTCGTAATGTACTATGAAAAGTTTACCCCACGGGTACACCCGAGTGGGTGTAACATTTGGTTTTGTATTTTGCATGGAGGACATCTTGGTTCTATACTACACGTTGAAATATGTGAATAGCCAATTCAAGATACCGCCTTAATGGCCACATTTTTAGGCTCCTGGCCCATTGTGCGTCAGGTAGCGTTGGGAATGTGTCAGATTACCCCTTAAAGTGTCACCGTATCCGAAAATTATTTATTTGTGAACCTTGACCTCGTCCTCAAGGTCATAAGGTCAAACAAGGTAAAAATCGCGGTCAAATTTCCGGTAAAATGACACCCCATGTGACAGTTATGTATACTTTGACCTGTGACCTCGTCGCCACGGTCAAAAGGTCAAAAACGTTGACTCCATTGAATTTGTGGTGAAATTTCCTTTAAAATGACACCCCATATGAAAATTAAAGTTTAATTTAATTTGGACCACACCCCCTGTGTCTGTAGGGTGTGGTCCGATTGACCCCATTTTCGAACTCGACCAAGAACTAAAAATTAGAAGCACAATGGCAAAACGGGGTTTGATTATGTTGACTCGTTCTGGAGATATCCTGCTTACAGACGGACGGACGGACGGACAAAACGATTCGTAAAAAAAACACCCAACAATGCATTTGTTGCAACTCTTTGAGACATTTTGTAATCTTGAATATTGTGAGTTTTGTACTTTTGTGCAGAGGTGCAAAAAGGCGCCTTTTTGAGAAAAAATTCATGCCTTTTTGCCGTTTTGCCCGTTTCAATGCCGAATTGCCCGTTTGCGTGCCTTTTTGCCTGTTTGCCCGTTTCAATGCCTAAATGCATATACTTAACTGCATACACTGACACTTGAAATTTTTCTTTATTGGGTGAAAGTTGCACTTAATCAAGTTTAACTACGCATTGCTGTTGGACACTTCACCCCAATTCAGCGCTTCATTAAATGAATTGCACCTGATTTATATAATTTGCCACGCATTCCATTCAACTATTTGAACGCTGTTCAACAAAACTATTCAAAATCAATATTAATCTTGAATAATTGTGAAGTGAACAGAATGAGTCGGCAAATGAGTCATCTCATTCTTGTTGGGAGCCAAGAAATTTTAAACGAATTGGATAGAGTTGGTAAGTTAGATATTTCTTCTATTTCAAGGCGCAAGCAAAACTAATTTTATTATTAATTGTTTCCAGATGATTTCGACTGCAATTCTGATACTGGAGAATTGGCCATATCCGAGGAGGATGTTCTGGAGGTGTTGGGCGACCGGGACGAGCAAAAATCCACCGAAGAAAACATGGAAAGTGGAGACGACTCGGACTATACTCCTGAAGAACTTTTGGATGATGACGAATCTACAACGCCACGGAGATCAAATCAAAACTCGACGAAGCGATCGGGTGGACGATTGAAAGACAAGATTTGGCAAGAGTTCATGGAATCATACGATTCGCCTGGAAGTTTTACATGCAAACGATGTGATTGGACCGTGAAACAACCAAAACGGGATCGCCTGAAAAAACATTTTGAAACAAAATGTGGGCGAAAGAGGGCAAACGTAGAGAGTTTGTCAACTGTCCCAACCAAAACAAGTGCTGTGTCAGATTGGAGTCCAGATCGTCCTTCTCAACATCCTCAAGTCAAGGGTAATGAAACGTGACCCACAACAATCAAATATAAAATTTATGATTAAAAAAACTAAAACATTATTACTCTGTAAGCACATATTTAAAAAAGTTTAAACCAATTTTTAGTATTTATAAAACGATAATATCGCTTCACATAATATGTGATTGTCCCCTTGGACTCACAGTATGCAGTTTTACATACTCAGTCTTACGCAAGTCTTACGCATTCTGGTCGGACATGAGGTACGGAGGTCCGGGCAGAGAGTGAAGGCTGGTGGGAACAACAATTGGCATACTGTCATTCAAATATGTATAGATTCATTCATTCAGAAAGGACGTTCGTACATTATGTGGCACTTGTTAAGGGGATGCCTGTAAAAAAATTGTCTTCAAGAGTCGACCGTCTGACTAATTCAAGGTCATTCACCACCCGAAATGATGGAATACTTCAGTCATTTTCATTTAAATGAGGGGAAAATTATCCTCATTCCCTGTCATTGTATGTATGTATTAGCATATTCGTCCGATGAATAAAAGTGAACAGGTGTGCATGGTGAACGGGAGGGGTGAAATGAAATCTTGATCTTTGTCCGAAACAATTAAATCTGTCTGGCAAAAATCAATTGTGACAGTTTATGAACGTCCCCAACCAAACCTGATTAAAAAACTTATTGAGAATTACTTATCTAGGTAATCGAGTTTGCGGACTTGTCGTAATCTTATTTATTTTTTATTTTAGTACACATCGCGACAGTGTTCTTTCCGTGGCTGTTTTGTACTTGAACTATTTGGAGGAGCAGGGCTACAAGGTGACCAAGTCGAATATTAACGTCATGGATTGGGAAACGAGATGGACGTTTACTTTGCAGAAATAGTTTAAATTGATATGTACAAACGTATATTTGTATATATGCAGTAATAAAATTGTGACATGATTCCCTGAAACAATTTTTGGAAAATCGGGTTTAGAGAAAAATTATGATGAACTAGCTTATAAGCCCGTCTTAAGGACGGCCCACAAGCAAAATTGGAAAATATCGACATGTCAAGTATTACCTAAATTAAGTCAGTATAACTAAAAACATTTTCCTCTCCATTAGGAACTTAGAAGTGATAAAAAGTACACGCATATCTAATCCCAAGCTATTTAAGCTTTATTAGCACAGTTATACCCTCAGACACATGTGGCAATGCTACATACATACATTTTAAACACACGCGTGCTATTAACTCAAGATGTTATTTATCCCTCTAAAAATTTATACTCGCCCTCATACACGGATCTACTGATAAAGTACCAAATGTCACCATAAATCACGACACACTCGAGAGAATCAAGGGTCTCTCGTTCTTACCAGAGGACAATACGGGTCGGCCAACCGGAAATCTAAGGTGAGAGTCTGTACACACTTGAATAAATTGTGATGGTCATATTTGGAAGGGTCGGCGGAAATGTACTCCTCCATCCCGTGCTTCCTGGCTCGATCGACGTCTGAAAGGAGGAATTGACCATCGTCATCCATAATTTTTTAGGCATTCTTGCACCTTCACTTACCTCCTTGAAGTTTGGAAATTGTCGAGTTTTTCGCAGCAGGTGTTAAGGGTGGGGCTGGCTTGTGAGCCTGGCCTGTCGCCCGGTACATGGCCATGACCCACAAGTGGCTCTCGTTTTCATCATCACAGGCATAAAGAACACTATCTCCCTCCTTCACGGCATTGAAAAAGTAGCGACCCCCCTCCAAATCTGGTTTCATGCGGGATTACCAATTAGCATAAAATAGCTCATACCGATTAAAAATATGTTAATCAATCGATAAGTGAAGTGGTTGAAAAAAATCAATCAATCTGGCACCCATTCCCACCATTAAATTGGCTGAAAGTGAAAGTCATCAGATTTTTTAGGGTTTTTTTTTATTTTGCAAATTTTTAGTCAGTGAAAGTACTCACCACTGGCAGGTTCGATGTAGTCGACGGTGTACCCGTCAAGTTGTAGCATTTCTGTAGGTTCGGATTTTTTCTCTTTGTAAGAGCACATTGCAAAAGCATATTGCGAAACTTGAACTAGAATAAAATATCTGTTTTTCCACTTTTTCCAAACGCCTTTCCCCAATGCGTACAGGTATCTGTAAGATTCCGGTGAGACATAGGAAACGAGTCTTAAAACGGTCTTAAAATACTAATAAAACTTACAAGACTGTCCATAATGTCACGTATGTACCGTAATGTACATTCCGTGGCCGTGCTGCTGTCGTGAACACTGTTTTTAAGCAAATATTTGCTCACCCGCAGTGCTTCGTGTTCAAAGGTTTATCCATCCTGCATGCAATCTTGATTCTTAGATCTTGATCCGCCGCGCTTTTAGGAACAGTCATTTTATGCCACTCTGGAGTCTGTCAAATATTAAAATTGATGTCAGCAAACATAACCCGACAAAGTCACACAACCGCCACCACAAAACCACATCATCATTCATGCCCTTCTGCATCAGGCGTCCTTTTTCTCCTCCGCCTACTTCTTCTTCGTCTTCTGTTACTTTTCCCTAGGTATTCTCACCTTTGAAGTAAGTGGAGTGGGTCGTAAACCACTTTCCCCAACTCTTTATCTTCCAGGGCCAACATGCCAGGATTTTCCGTCAAGAGCTTTACTTTCACTGCAGGCAGTGGGTGATTAGTGCTAAAATCTCCTTGTGTATCCCACCTAAATCGTCAAGCATAGCAGAACCTTGTCACCCACCACAACCACCACACAAATATTCATGTCACCCTCTTTAAAAACTTTCATGGGGCTCACATCGGCTTGGATGCTCCCGCCTGATCCGTGCACAGTTTGTTTGTTTCACCTCCAGGGTGAAAGGCAAGACGACGTCCATTTTACTCAACTGCGAGTCCCCATCATTCCAGTTTGGCCAAAGAAAGCTGAGATCTGGACCGCCAGGAGAAACAAAACCAAAAACTCTGACAAAATTTGTGCTCTTTGACAAGACAATTTGGCGCTACGGTCATAATAAGGATGACATGACATTACACAAGAACAACAACAACGAACGGAATAAAATGGTAAAAAACTGAACCAAGGAGATAACCAGAGGTTAGAAAAAAAACTAAACGAGAACTTAATCATAATTAGAATCATATCATAACGAACGAACCAACAAAGACGAGAGGAGAAAGTCATTCATCATATCACACACGGTACTACGCACGTAAGTAAAAGGTGGTGATACAATTTACAGTATCGTCACACACAATGACAACAACAACAAATACTACAACCCGTATCGTAAGCATTATCATGATCGCCATGACCGTCCTTATTATGACACACGCATGACAGGAGACATTCAAAGACATAACATAGATCATCATCACCACAGGACAAGAAAAATAGACAATAAGAAATATACACGTAAAGTGAGATAGAGAGAGAGAGAGAAGGCAAAAATATGAAATACACATAATAATTATAAAAATAGATAGCACAGCAGCAGCTCAGCAGCAGAAGTGGTTGGTGAATTGGTTGGTTTGGTGGTGAATTATAGAATTTGGTGGTGTGAAAAACATTTGAGGAATTTTAGCAGCAGGGGAACACTAATACGCGCGGCGTCATCAAAAATTTTACAACTACCTTAACACTGAGCTTCTCCTGAACCGGGCGAAGAAGAAAAAGTAAAATCAACAGCTTTTTGGTTAACAGTTACAAACAGAAGTCAAAGGACACTAATTAGAATATGTAATGAGAGAGATAGAGAGAGCGAGGTGGATGATATATTTATAGTGGCGAAGAGTTTTTTTTAGATATCAAATACTTTTTTCGCTTTATTAGAGAGAGATAAATTACTGGAGAAAAGAATACGTACTTATGATGAGTAATTACGATATAAAAGTTGTGAGTGAGTGAGTCTAAAATATTCATATCTCCTTTTTTTCTTCTCTACACAACTACTACTACATATACGCCATGTTTTTTTCTTTTTCAGGGTCGAAGAGTATATAGAGATCCCGTACTATATAGTGGCGATGGGGAACTTTGGCCTAAAAATAGTCAAAAAATGATTTTTGAAATCTCAAATTTTGGTATAATATGTCAAAAATATCTGACCACGTGTCCTCAAAATTTCATAAGCTTTCCTTGAAAAACAAATTTCGTACACAACTTCAAAGCGAGGAAGTCGGGAAACGAGTTTTTTGTAAGTACTAGGTGGCCCACCCTACGTGTCTTTGAAATGAAACGCTGTAGTCTCAACAGTTTTTATGCTACAAATTTCTGGTTAATTTTAATTGAAAGCCAGTTAAATTCTGACAAGTGAGTGGAAAACAGTTTTTGGTTTTCGAAATTTCCTCCCCCCGCATTAACTCAGCGCTGAGGAGGCGACCGCCAGCCCTCGACGACATTACGCACTGAATCCGTGGACAAATTGTCTCATTCCGTGGTTAAAGATTTTTTAAAGCCTCCAAACTTCTATGGGGCTTAGAACACACCTTTGCCCCTAACTTTCATCATTTTTCATAATCCGAGGATTCAAATCCAGCGAAGAGGATGACCATTCCGAAGTGGAGCTAAAGTCCGCAATTTGTTTTTTTAGTCACGCTTTGGTCATTTTTCGCACTATGAGCTGGTGCTGAGCCCGGTGGAAAGTCTACTAGATTCCATTGAACTGGATCCCTTTGAGGGGATGTATGTACTACGGACTCAAAAACGTATTTTAAGAAATTTGATTCCATCACCTTCCCCCCATCTGCGACAAAATGAGGCGAAATTACCCCCAATCAGCTAGCAACAGCCAAAACCTTCACAAAACCTGGATAATGTGAACTTTTGACCTTCTTCTTCATTGGGGGATAACTTGGACAGATTCTGCGTGTACAGTGCATTTTTCTTTGTTAAAATATTTCCTCACAGTCAAAATCTCCTCATCTGTAAACAGAATATTCTCAACCTTTTTGGCGCGTACCGCTTGAGGTGCGCCGTTCATTTCTTTAGTGTGGCCCTATTAAGGGGCATAATCAGGAGGTGGCGAGTGCTACGTTTCAAAGCCCCAACCCCTAGGTTCAGTTTGAGCGCTCGTTGGATTATTTACGTCAACAATGTCAGCTGTGAGGCTATTTTCCGTTGAAATTACGTGAATTTCTTAGGATTTTAGCCTTCAGCGCCTTCACGATGGGGTGGTCCTTGGACGTTTTGAAAAAATCTTTCTTCGACTGTCCTTAGTCGATCCTATCCCCATGAACGTTTTTACATTCCGTTGAACTCAATCCCAGAGCACGTTCGACTCCTGTCATAGTTTTCAAATTCGCTATTTCTCTTCAGGTTTTTTTGGTGCAAAATTATCACCACCCGCGTCCTTTCAATACTTTCGCTGCTGATAAGCTTTGCAAGTATTAAAAAATTGATTGGTGATATTTATGCAAAATCGCATGAGGAATCCAATGGGCTTATCAGATTTTGATAATCTCCAGCGGTTTTAAAGATAAAAGCTAGTTACACTTAGCCTAGGACCAGTATGTACCAAAATCTGAGCGACAAAGACTCAAAGAAGGCTTGACTAAATTTCAACGGAGAGAGGTGTGGCCGTTCAAAAATTAGGACATACATAAAAAAGTATGGCGAATCCGAAAATATCAACTTCAAATACTCACCACAAGAAAAAACCATCATATTGACCCCTTGAAACTGAAAAACGATTTAATTTATTTTTGGAAAGTACGGATCCACGTTTGTGTCTAATGCGACCATGAAGTTGAAGATTAATCCAGACCAGCCTTCACTCTCTGCCCGGACCGCTGTATCTCCAGTCCGACCAGAATGCCATAAGACTTTTAACTATGTGGAACTGCGTACTGCGAGTCACAAGGGGACGTTCACATAAGGCGTCATCAAAAAGCGACTTAAAAGTACAAAACTCAAAATTAATTTTCTCGATATGTGTGTAACATATCGTTGTTAGACAATTACTGAGATAATTGGTCAAAGATAGTGCCACATTCTGTGCGTACGTCCCCCTCCATTCATTCAAAAATATTTAAAGTTAGCTGGCAACCTCACATAACGAGATGGGAAAAGTCCAGGCAGAGAGTGAAGCCTGATCCAGGCTATGCGCATCATATGAAGGCTCACAAGTTGTGGGTCAAAGCGTATGCAAAGGAATCTGCAGCAAAGCATGCGGAAGGTCAAGAACAAATGGTGAACGCAAGCCCTCCCAAGCTCTACAACAAAATTTTACCAAAATAGTTGGTTATTGGCGACGAGTCTTACGTCTTCAAAAACGTGACAGAAACTCCGGGAAGGCATTTTTTGTGTGGGAAATATATCTCTCAACTGAAAACCGAAAAGAAATTAAAATGTTCTTCGAAATTTCTAAAGAAATTTCATGTTTGGCAGGTGTTGGGTAAAGTTGGGCATGTTTTGATCCCCCAATTCAAAATGGCTGTGTGGAGGCATAGGTTTGTTTTCGGAAATGTGAGATAGACCGTCTGATTCCTTTCATCAAGGAGTATCAGAAAATATGAAATGTAATTTTTTGGAACGACCTTGGACCAATCCATAATGCAATGACTATCAAGGAAGAAATTCAGTTTGACGCTGAAAAATGAAAACCTCACATTCAACCCTTATCTTCACGCAATAAAAAAATTTGGGCCACATGTAAGAAGACATACTCCCAACTTTGTGAAACAGCCGAAACTTAAAGAAAATTTCAATTCAGGTAGGAGATAATTACCCTTTAAGTTGCAAAGTCTTCCGAAAAAGCAGTAATGGCGGGCGTGAAGAAAAAGGTTAAATACGAGATGGACAATGGACTTCAGTCTTCTTTGTTCGCGAATATCTGTGGCTGGATATATTTAGGATATTATCCCAAAATTTGAGATTTCTAGAATCATTTTTTGACCATTTTTAGGTCAAAGTTCTCCATCGTCACTATATAGTACGGGATCTCTAATTACTTATTATGCATGTTGTGATTAATAGAGAAATTTAATTGGAGTGTATAAAATTGGAGCAGAGCTGCTTACCTATTATTATACTTTTTCAGTTTTGGAAGGCCGTATTTTGAGTCGGTAGAGCTTTTCGATACTGGAAGCGATTCCAAGTTTGCCATCAACATCTGCAAAATAAATTACCTAGGTTTTTTTAATGTCAAGGGCAGTCCTGGCGAATGGGTGCATTGCATATGTTCAGGGGCCGCGGAAGCCGTGGGGACATTATAGGGGAGGGAGGGTTGATATAAGATGGGGAGATGATGCCGACATCGAACAACCGTGGAGACATTGCCCCACGCTTCTGCGGTCACTGCACATATTTATGCAGTACGGATACTACATATTACATAAGTAACGAATATGCACGTACGTTAATTTCAGATCGGCACTCTTCGATGTACAACGACTCCATCTCTTTGAGAACAAATCGCGGCATTAGTTTTCGATTGCGTTCCATGTCTGACACCTTCTGACGCCGGCCGTCAAGTTCGCGACGAATTGCGGTAGCCTGCTCGTGAGCAGAGTCCAACTATAGGATCGAATGTATACAGAGCGGAATATAATGTAAGGGAGTAATTAAGTAATAAAGTCAATTAAACTGGCCTAGTTCCTCAACAACTCGTCGACGCCTGGCTCCATTATTATTAACAACTGCCCAGAAGAGCAAAAGCCTCAATTCATTAAAACTTTTCTGTTGTGAGTGACTGAGGAGTCACTCACTCATCCGGAGTGAGTATGAGACCCTTGCTCTCTCGGTGATATGTGCATGCATGCATACGCACAAATTAATTACGTACGACGAGGTGGAAAAAGTAATTAAAGTGATCCATCCATTTACCTGAAGGGCATTAAATAGGAGTTGATGTTCAAACTTTTTTACACCTAAAATTTGTTGGAACATGTCGTAAAGTTGTTCTTTGGAGAGGAGGATGAGTTCGGTTTGCATGGATGGTTGGAGCCGGGTTCGCTTCGTGTCCTCGTCCCCTTTCAAAATGCAGTCGAATTTGGCCATCCAGGACGCCAGGACGGTCTCCTGTCAGGTAAGGATCTGTAGAGAGAGAGAGAAGCGATGACCCATGAAATACCAATATCTAACTGGAAGGGGAAACAAAACTCTATGGGGAAATAATCCTCATGCTATATGAGTTGCCGGGACTAGTCCCCACGAGAAACTTGCTTATGCAAGTGGCCATCTATATAAGCGTAACTTCTTCAGTCATCAATGGCGATGACCATACGATAAACAACCGCAGGACGCATATGGGGGAGCGCTCCTTCCCCTGCCCGCACTGCGAGTATGCCTCCAAAACCAAGAAAACGTTGCGCACCTACGTGGACAAGATGCACAGCCCGGCTACGTCGCCCCGCGCAACTTCCGGTGCGCCCAGTGTGAAAAAAGATACCCCTCCAACGTCGAGCTGGAGGCGCACGTGCGACAAGTGCACACGGGCGAGCGGCCCTTCGTCTGAGAGCAGGATGGGTGTGGAAGCGCATTTGCGCAGAAGAGATCGCTCGTCTTGTATTTGAGGAACACGCATAAAATAGGCGAGCGGAAGAGCGGGTTGAAACTGCCGAGTAGGAAAAGAGAGGAGGTGCGAGAAGAAGAGGGTGGAAATGAGTAGTGGGGGATGATTATTTAGCGGAAATTTAATTGCTTAACTATGATAACATGATATATGTATATATATATACTTACCATGTGATTTCTAATTTTTGCCTTGATTTGTTATACGTACATATAAATCGCTAGACAATCCCGGCACAGCGTGAAGAACGTAGGGCATCCAGAATCGGAAAATTTTGAAAAACCCAATAATAAAAGCATGGGAAATCAGACTAATCGGCGAATGTGAAGAAATCCTAAAACGGATTCAATGTTACCATGACGAGCTGGATATTGATGACGTGCCTCAGAAAGGCATAAGTGGACAATAACATTAACATTGACGATCACAAGATATGCAAATAAATGTAGGTTAGACTAGAACTTGTTGCCATAACGAGTGAAAATAATCACAAAACAATTCTTACCCAGGTAAAGTACACAAATTAATTATAATTTGTTTATTTTTTGGACGCTACAAATAAATCTCATTGCACGTTAAGTTCATTTGATTTCAATTTCTTAATGAAATCAATAATTATATCTAGCAGGTCCCTTCTATCTTGCCAATACTCATCATCACTTGAAGATACGCTTCCACTAATATCGAGTTCATCAGGATTTGAAACGTTACACTCGTGTATGTTGTCTGGTTCTGCGATGACCCTTTTCTCATCTAATGGTATCCGAACATCCAATAAACTATCGCCATCACTACTTTCATATATTTTGAGTTTCTCAGCAAGTTCCACAACCGTCAGACCCTCTCCGTTTTTGCAATAAAATATTCTTTCCAAATTATTTGAAACGAAGAACTCCAAGAACTGAGTAATATAGGGTTTCAGCATGTGGAGATTATCGCTGATCAGAATCGAATGAAAGAATGTACGGCCTTTGTTATCTAATAAATCTGGTGAAACCTCATATTCTAGTAAGATTTTGAGTAGAGGGAATAATAATTCGGATTTTCGTACATTGCTCCAAGAAAATGCATAATCCCACGTATTGTCTTGAGAGAATAATAATTCGGGTTTTTCTAACTTGCTCCCACTAATTGCATAATGCCACGCATTCTCTAAAGTGTTAGGATTTATGTAATGAATGTCTGCTCCGTGCTTTACCAAAACCTGGATGACTTCCGAAATTGGTCCCCTATAAGCATCTTTAATGGCAAGTATCAGAGCAGTATTTCCATGCTTATCGGGACAATTAATGTGAGAATTTGGGTCTTCCATATTGTCCAGTAGAAAATTAAGACCATTTAGATTTACATACTCAGCCGCTATCATGAAAGGGAATTTTCCGCCATGATCCTTTTCGTATATTAATTCTGGACATTTTGACACAATTCGGGTTGCCAGGATATTCGCCATACTTGCCCAAATGTGTAAGGCAGTTGCCCCACCTCTGTGTTTGATACATGGATTTGCATTCTTGTCCAATAAATAGTTCGCAATGTCTCATTTCCGGTTAACTATAGCTAGCCAAAGTAAAGAACGACCTTGGTAAATCTCATTTGTGAAAAAAATGAACTCAAATGCGAACTCCTTCACCAAGAAGGTTACCACATTAACGTTTGTCCTTTCTACGCAAAAACCTAAAGTCTCTTTTATCACCTCGGTCAAGAGTGGTTTGGCAATATCACCTCGGTTGTCTTTTAGTAGTCGTACAAAATCACGTCCAAGTCCATTAAAATCCTTTAGTAAGGCTAATTGCAATCCATTTGGATCGATCCACCCTTTCTGTATTATTTCCTTGGCTGCGTTCTTTCCTCCTAGTAATTTAACTATTTGTTTGACTTGGCTAAAAAGACCGCGGGAAATCATAACTGGCAACGATCCTTTATCCATGAAATGCTCTCTGAAATAAATTAAAAACAGTGCATTTTTTAAGCATATCATTAGTAGGGTAGGTCATCCGGCGAATCGGACCCGATAAACAAGTCATCGGATAAGATAGCCTATGATGATGGATAATCGGATCGGGTACTATGGCCAAACCGACCCGAATCATCTAGTCCAATGGATATCCGGTCGGATAAAATAATTCAATATGCGAATCAACATATATTTACAAGGCCGTAAAATCCATGCAATCATACATAGATAAATACGTACATAATTAACTTATCTCAATAAATCATTGCAAAAGCCGGATTTGACAAAGTAGCGAAATCATTTGTTACATGATGTTGTTCAGATGTTGCATTCTTCAAGAGGGATGCCTATAAATTATGCCACGGGTATTAGGGTACAGGTTTTGCGTCACAGCCCCATTCGCGCGATATGTTACCGTAGGTTAGCCAGGGGTGTAACTCGTGACAGTTGGGGGGAGGGTCTGGAAAATGCACATTTTTGTGCCACATAATTTATAGGCAGCCCCCGATAATAATTTAGCAAATTTTTGAAATATTGTGAGCATACGAGATAAAGTTGTCAGACCTAATTTGTTATGAAGACAGAGATTTTATGCCCCCCAACACCAGTTATCGTTTACAATGATAAGCTTAAATTGCCCTCTTGTGTTGAACACAGACGCACGTGAATTATATTTTAAGTTACAGTGCAGGCTTAATATAGCCCGAGACAGGCCAAGTTGTTGCTATCGCGCAGCACATATTTTCAGGAAATCTCTCTCTTACTTCTCGTGAATCGATGTCAATAAAAACTAATTTTTTTCAATCCAAATTCAATTTTGACCTTGGTAGCAAATGACAGGATATTTAATACAGTTTGGTTCGTATATACGGCGATTAAAAAGTCTGTATGGGTCGCCCAAATGAATTTTTTAGATTTTTAATTCACACTCTTCCATTATGAATCAAATTACCAAATTATCGACCATGTTTCAGCTCAATTTGATGAATTTGAGAACTCCACAGGGTCTGTTCAGACGAAGATTTTCTAATTTGAAGTTTCATTTGAATTCCTCCATTATGAGTCAGTAGCAACCTCAACTTCAGGTTTCTACGACGATTTTAAAATTTTGGTGCGTAATACATCACACACCTACAAATTTGTGTGTCATATTTACATGACCCAACCTGTCCAGTTGGGTCATAATATTGTCCAGTTGGGTCACGACCGATTTTCCAATCTTCGAACTTAAATCCACATTTGCCCCGCACTATATGTGCACCAAATTTCAAGTCGATAGGATGAGTTTAACGAGAGTTGTCACAAGACAAACAGACGGACAGACACACGACATGACGGTTGACAGTTGCATAAGCCTCGACTAGGGCTAACAACTGACATAAACCTCTAAATTTAAAATTTACAAAATGTAATTAAAATATAAAAATCACGAAACTCTATGCTATTTGTTAGTAAGATTAGAATAAAAATTAATTTTGCTCAATTGCAGTCAGTTATGACCATTCGAATATTCCAACGCGGTCACCGTTAATACCTTGTAAAATGATAACAAAAATCGGATGGCCGAAGTATTCGGATCGGATTTATCCGGTCGGATGAAAGTTTAATATGATCCGTTTCGGTAGTATTCGGATACTACCTTTTGTTATCCACTCCGATGATTATCCGATTCAACATGACGGATACGATATTTTCGTATCGGATAGATCAACCCTAATCCTTCTCGTTAGTAAATAAATTGCACTAACCTGACCAGGTCTGCATGGTTTGCTGCATGGGACCAAAGAATTGCGATGGGAGTAGAGTCAAAAAACTTGTCTCTCAGGAAGTTGTATCCCCTCAGATTCACGTCTGTGCTAAACTTATGGTTTGGAAAATCCTCACAGACGATGAGTTCCTTAATTATGGCGTGGTCTCGTTTCTCGTCCTCCTGTATTAACCTCAATGTGCTGTGAATGAGGCGATGTATTTCTACTTTAATTTTATAGTTTGAAAAGCGAAATTCGTAAGGTCGGACGTTGACCAAAGATAATGATGAAAGAAGATGACTGGCATTTTCTAGCATTTCTTGTGGTTCAAGACGCACCAATGCTTTCCTTGATATCTCTTTTATATCTTGTTTGATAGTGGTGACATGATCCAGGAAATAGTCAAGATCACACTCATGAGAGAAATAGGCACATCTTTCAATAAAATGCATTGCAAGGGTAGCATACTCGTGGTTGGATTTTTGTAATTTTTCCAGGGAAATCTTGACACAAACGTACAAGCTTTTCTTGTATTGCAAGTTGAGATCATCTTTGGTATTGGGGTCATTTGGATATCTAAGATGAAGACTTGATTTATCCTTCATTTCTTGCAGATACTGGGTTATCTTGTAGGCAGAGCCTCTATGGTTACAAACGCTGGCGATGGTTCCTGCCATGACACGGATAATTACTGGTATTCTTCCAGACTCTGAGACAAGATGAGATAACTCATCTGGCTCGCAATAAACTTTATCTGTAAATAATTAATTTAACCAACTTAATATAAAAAGTTGTACCCCAAATTTTTAACTAAATACAGACATTAGGAGAACAAAATGATTCATTGGCATTACCATTGGTCGATATTTATCTATTCCTATGTAGAAAATTTCTAATTACCTTGTAATATTTTACGAAACAGTTCCTCAGCTTCAGCTTCTTCCAAAATGTCCACCCTGAACGTCTTAACTTCACCCATTTCATCTTGAATTAAAATTTTCTCCACCGATGTTAGTAAGACGGCAACATTATTCAAATCTTTGTTAAGTGGTAAGTATTTCTTGATTTCTTCAAATGACTCGACATTGTCAAATATTACTAGGAATTTGTGTGGATTTTTTGAAATTAGTAACTCGTAAAGTTTATTGGCAAGTAATATCCCGTCATTTTCTGACAAGTCTTTAATTCCTTGGTTTTTTAATTCTCTTGTGATTTTATCGATTATTCCAGATTGTTGTTCGGCATCTATCCAGATCACGCCAGAAAATAATTTTTGTTCTGCACATATTAGTGCGATTTTCTGTGCAGTTTGTGTTTTTCCATGACCCCCGAGACCGTGTATGTCGACAAAAGGGAAGCCGATCTGATGACTTGAGTTTTCTGTGCTCCATGACGTGAGGGATTTGATTATTTCACTCATAAATTTAGTCCTACCTGTGAAATCTTTATCAGGTTTTGGAACTGGTAAGAACTGAATTTCTTCTTGATTAGTTTGTATTTGTTTTCGTTCATCATCTAGATCTGCAGAAAATGGTTTGTTGGTCGTTATTTGGCAAGCTTTAATTAATTATATACACGTATCAGAAATAAGTAAACCCAGTATAATCAAATTACGTGTGGAAATGGATTGGTTTCCATGTTGGCCTGGGGAACCGGCTGTTAAATTAAATTATTTCATTAGGATTAAATATGTTCATTACTAATTATAATAAAGTAAGACTAAATTATATTTTTAGCAATTCTATGAAGAGGCTACATTTACATATTTAGTTGTTCCCTACTTATTACTTCCCTACTACTTACGTTTGGGCAAGTTGTTACATATTTAATTGTACGAAATTTAAACGATTTTTGCTCTGTAGGCGATAGTTCTAAATTTTTGACTTATTTAATTCTAGAATCATAAACAAACAGGCGAAAATACACACATGGAGTAAAAGTATGGGGCAACTTATTTCTGAAAGTGAACGATTAATCTGGTGAGGAACGGAGAAATCGACTCCTTCGTAACTTGCCAAAGTCCGGAAAACCCCGGGTTTTTATACAAAAACCAGGGTTTTTCCGGTTTTCGTGGGTTTTTGGGCTTTTGTGCGTTCTTGAAGAGATTCTCGGGCGGGTTGACAAACATTTTAAACCTTTGTATAAGGATAAAACTAATATAATATTCGAATTCAGCATAAAATAGTAATTTAAAATTTTTAAATATTTGTATTCGCATAGAATTAAAAGTCAAACGTCCATGTGTAATATGTAAACCTAGTCGGACACCAGGAAACATGGTTTGACACTTGGAAATCAAGTCGCACATAGAAATGTTCCGTATTTCATGTTGAATCCGAAAACCGGATTTTAATTGATTCAAATTGTTTAACGGATTTTGTTCACAATCTGAAACATATTGTACAAATACTTCAGAGAAACCAGTAAAACCCCCAAAAAAACCAGAGTAGCGTGCCTTGCGTTTGGACATCGTAAGCACACGAGTTTTATGAAGCCCATGTCGCTTCATTAAGTATACATAAATTTATGGTACTCGGAATACCATGGAAATGTGAGCCCCTAGTTATTTAATTCTTACTCATAATTCATGAGTCAAGGAAACTTAATAAGCTCGAAAAATTTAACTAATAAAGAAACACAATGCAAATGCAATGTCGAAGAAATTTTTAAAAAATGATAAAATCTTCCCTAGTTAATATCTGTCATAGTCAGCTTATAACCTCGATCAAAATTTTGAACACAATTTCTTCATTTTCTAGTCACCGCATTTTATAGTCACCGACTGTCCCCTCAAACATGTTCATACAAACGAATACCCACTCTCAAAACAAGTATGCTATAGCGTGCACAATATCGCCAAGGGAATATTTTACAAGGAATGGTGAGTCTGGGGGCATGAATGTTTTCAAAATTTTGGTCTATGGTATACGCTTGCAAATAAATATTTGGAAATAAAGAAAACCTGAGATTTAAACAATAAATTTTTATGAGAAACGTGCAGGTGATGTTTCCCACGGGTAGTTGAACTCTTAACTTATGTATCAAGCTGATCAGAGCAGATGAATATTAACCACTTCACCCCTGAGAGACGAATATTTTCATACCTTTCACCCCTAGTAACGGCGAATTTTTTCTTCCCTTGATCCCGAAATTTTCACCAACTGCATGACGTTAATTACTGGGAGATGAATTAAAAAATGGTGTTCCCACCGGAATTATTCTGGACGCTTTTTTATGAAAGTTGATGCGAATAACCATTTGGGAACGGATTTTGAGTTGTAATTTGCCTTTGTGCATTTTTGTGAACCACTAATGTTTATAGCCGAAAATAGCCAACACGCCGAATTTAAAAATGATTGTAATTGCATGGAAAGTTGCACAAACATTGATTAATACGTGCATAATAGTACATATATTCGCAAAAATCGAATATCTCGCCTCAAGGGCCCCAGAAGCCAATTTAGGCGGGAAACTTAAACATAGTAAATATGGCTTTCAATTCATGACATTGGCTATAAATAATTTTGTAATTAGACTAAAATGTGTAAAAATTGCTTCTTGTACATTTAACATGCATAGAAATTACGCATACTTATGGCGGGAAAGCACGTTTTCTTACAGTGACTTTAAATTGATAGCAATGGTAATGAATAATTATAGCATCAATTGTTCGAAACCATACTTTAGCGCATTTTGAATATAACTCAATTCTAACGGGAAAATTAAATGCTACTTTCCAGACAATCTCTTAATTTTCCCGCACAACAAGATTTCATCGGCTCCAGTGCTTAGTTTTCCCGCCAAAAATGTCGTAGGGGCGTTCTAAATCCGAGAAAACAATTTCACTAATTTTATCTGAAAGCGCTGTTGAAATATGGGACGAAAATTCCATACAACAGCAGTTTCCAAAACTGGGCGTGTTAGCTAGAAATAGCCAGTTGGCTATAAATTGTTTTTGCCTCCCTTTATAACATTGGTTCCGAAGAGGCAATTCATCTTCCCGCCCAAATGGCGGATTGTTGACTCAAAACTATACTTGGAAGAGAATTGACTTATTTTTTTCTGGATACGACACATAGTCGTATGCCGGTGGGAACGGAAAATACGCCACACAATCGTTTCCGTTGTCAAGGGTCAATACGACACATCGTCGTATTTCGGAGCCAAGGGAACTTACGCCACATAGTCGTATTCGGCGTAAAGGTCAAATACGCCACATAGTCGTTATAGGGGCGAAGTGGTTAATGGTGTGGTACTTGTTAAAGGAGAGATTACTTTTCAGGAGAGCCTTATGTCAGGCAGGCCTTAAGTTTAAAAAATCCAACCGTCTGACTTTGTGGATACATACCTGCCATGTACTGGTCAAATATTTCAAGAGCTTTGCTGTTGCAGCTATCATCGAGAGCACGCTTAATTTCTTCTATGTCTTTATCGGTCCTACAATCTCGTAGATTTTTAAGTAATTTAACGGCCTTATTCTCTTTTCCGTTAGTCTTGCCCTTAAATACAAAAACCTTAATTACAAACTCACAAGCTATAAAGACATGACACACAAATTTACCAGCGAGTCCACGGTTTCATCGTTGATAATTTTCTTCCGTTCGAGATAGCTTAGCAGAGACTCACTCACATCCAACGCTTTTATGAGAGCCTCGTGATTCTCGTTAATAATATTTTCAAGGATTCTACTCGATGCCATTGCCAACTGGAAACATTTCTTTAAATTGTAACAAATCGAGTGGTTTAACGGATATGGAAATAGTATTGAATTACCACGTTTGGCCGATGATTAAATCAGTTCACGGTAATTAAACTTGTAGGACAAAGTATGACTCAAGCAGCTTGTTTTTTCTTAGATTACGACTTATCGTCTCGCGAGTCCAGGGTAATTTTTGCGCGCCATCATGATTTGGTAGATTTGACAAGTACGTATTTCTGCATTGTAAATAATTGTATTTATTTTGATACATTTTATACTAAGGTGGAGAGCGCTTCTGGATGCCCCGCTCATCGTCAGATATTGATGACCCCGGACTTTGGCTCTTTCGGCCACTCCCATTCGGACCAGGGGCGGAGTGGAGTCAAATTATTGGTATCGTTTCACTAACAAAAATTAACAATACAAAGTGTACTCGTTTCTGCAGTTCTTCCGCAAATTTTGCAGAGAACGTGGCTTTACTATTGATTGGGAAAATGGCTAAGGGAGATGGATTTGATTTGAATTTCAAATGGGCATGTGTTTTTGGGCGGGCAGAAATTCCATCACACTTAACCATTTCCTAATCAATAAATATAAAGACATGTCTGCATATTTAATTTAAATGACGTACATTAAAATACGGATATTTCTTTTCCTTTACTGAGTTTTGGGAATAAATTGGTGTAGGAATTTAGTACAATGTTGGCTTACATACATTGCAATATTTCCATAAAATAAATGTCTACAAAAATTTAGGACTAGTAATATTTCTCTCACCAATTATTGACCACATTGGGTTGTGTTTTCCACTAAAATTTGGTTACATTTCCAGAAAAATGTGTTATGCTGGCACAAATTAATATCCCCAGAGACGACGGTATGATGAGCAAGTTGTGTGAAGTGGTGCCAAACTGACGGTCGGCTTATCTGCAATTGCGTTGTACATTAAATATTTTTAATGACGACGAGAGCATCATCATGATTCCAATAAACCGTTAAACGCATGTAACGAAGGGGTGAAACCGAGAACTTTATAACATTTGTGAGGTGACATATGTATCAAATTTAACATTTGGTGGCAGTTAACAGTTAACCAATAGTCATTTAACAAATGAGTGTTCATGTTCCTTGAGGTCAAGGTGAATGTCACCATTGAATTCGGGGTTAAATTTCAGTTAATATTGACATATGTATCAGACATAACGATTAGTGACCTTTGAGTGACCTTCAAGTTATCTTTCGTGACCTTTGAGGTCAAAACGAATGTCACCATTGAATTCAGGGTTAAGTTTCAGTTGGCATTGATATATGGATCAGATATAATGTTTAGTGACCTTTCAGTGACCTCTAAGTGACATTTAGATGACCTATGAGGTGAAAATGAATGTGACCATTGAAATCGGGGTTACATTTCCCAATCTGCCACCTGGTCGTACGACGTCTTAAAGTCATCCTTAGGATCTCCCAATGTCCGCCGAAAAGTCGTCTTTAGGATATTCCCCTATCTTAATAGCATTGGGAACATCCTAAAGACGACTTTTCGGCGGACATTGGGAGATCCTAAGGATGACTTTAAGACGTCGTACGACCAGGTGGCAGATTGGGTTCCTATTGGATTGATATACATATGCAATTTGACCTTTAAATGACATTTCGTGACCTTTTGACCTTGAAAGGGGTGACCTTTAGGGTCCATCTTCGAACTTGATCTTTGCTTGGATATTTTTGTTCAAAATTTCAAGTCAATATGTTAAACCGTTCTTGAGTTATCGCACGGACAGAGAGACGGACAGACAGACGGACGGACATATCAATCTTATAAGGGGGTTTCACCCCTTAATAAAGTATGGGGGGCGTACATTTGATCGATTTTCGGGGAATTCTACCACCCTGGTGTGACATATTTATGTGCCCCATGTTATAATTAACATGGAACGAATGGGATGCCTTAACCCGCATCAAGTCGATCACGTGCTTTCTGCACAGTCCGTATGAGATCACCTTGCACCTTGCGGAATTTTACATTATGTAAGCATTTTAGCAATACTGCGCAATCTACGCTATCAATCGAATGAATAAATATATTGATAAGACTGCGTTGTCTCGCTTATGCTTTGTTAGCTTATCTTGAATTAATGGATGGACACGAACTATGTAAATATCACAATGCGAGATATGTTGTTCATTATTAAGTAGCGTCAGCTATTCATTGTGATCGTTTTGTCCGTCCGTCTGTCCGTCTGTCCGTCCGTCTGTCTGTCCGTCCGTTCGTAAGCAGGATATCTTCAGAACGAGTCAACATAATCAAACCCCGTTTTGCTTCTAATTTTTAGTTCTCGGTCAAGTTCGAAAATGGGGTCAATCGGACCACCCCCCACATCGCCAGGGGGTGTGGTCCAAAATTAAATTCACGTTAATTTTCATGTGAGGTATCATTTTAAGGGAAATTTCGCCATGAATTCAACGACATCAATATTTTTGACCTTATGACCTTGACGACGAGGTCAGAGGTCAAAAGATTCAAAATTGTCATATGGGATGTTATTTTAAAAGAAATTTAACTGCGATTTCAAGGACGTTAATATTTTTGACCTCATGACCGTTAGAACGGGTCATATACGGAGAAACGTTAAAGGAAACTTGAATCATTCTGACGCTACTTATTTACATTCGTTTGGAGGGTTTATTAATTTAGTCCTCAAAATATTATTCAAGGGTCAAGAAAGTTACGGTCGATGAATATTTCTAAGGTCACAAGGTTAGGGCACGAGTTTATTGCAAACAATTTTTTAAATTGTTCTGTAATCATTCCAGATATTAACAACGTTCCGGTAGTTTCATATTATATGCACATCATTACAGTCAATTCCATAAACTCTAAATAAAAATATCTAAAATTTACTCAAGGTAGAGTATAAATCGTGGATGACACAACAATCGTGTAAAATTTGCCTAACCGTTGGATAAAATTCATCCAATTCTTTGAATTCTTGTGTCACCCACTTTTTGTCATATGGAATTAAACTGGATCACTGGCTAAAATCTTCCGAATGGAATTTAAAATATTTTTTGAGCGATTTCAAAATTTCAAATTAATCTACGTATTTATCGGTTCTTAGGTTGCCATAATTGAAGCCGAACTTTTGAGTAAAAAATTGATTTGGTTAGGTTTTTCAAAAGTTTTTCAAAATTTGTAAACGTAGTTATTTTTTTTGAGGGTATGCCAATAATTTGATTCTACTCAACCAATAGACCGAGTGTAAGAGGTCGTAATTCGAAAAACAAAATACAAAAAAAAATTGTTCGCAAAAATTTAAAAAGTCGAGTTAAAAAAACTCGAATCGGGTTGTAAACTAAAGAAAACCAAAGTTATGAATCCTTAGTTGCTAGTAGGTGAATAGTAGTGCTAAATATTTTCATACTATCTCGAAATCCACTGCCTCTTTGTGGCCTTAGTAACTTTGGCCCCCTTCCCCTCAAGGAAGGGGCGGAGTAAAATCGAATTATTTTTTACTATTACACCAACAAAAATTAGCTCTGTAAACCATTAAAGTCTTACCGAAATAGATGTATTTGACTCATTAAAATACGGTTTTGATTGTTGTCAGTTTCTTAAAATGGTAAAGACCAGTGTTTCCGCAGTTTTATCAAAAATTTAGCGTGTACCTATATAAAGCGCTTGAATTCAATAAGTTTGTACCCTTAATTACATTAAAACTCGGTTGTTTTTATCTGTTCTTGTGAATTTACTGTATGTGCATAGAGACTAAATAGTGTACAAATTTATTATGTGCACAAACCCAGTATTGGCTTGCATTTCCGGAGCATGATTTTCATAAAGTAAAATGTATACAAAACTTACAAATTTTTCCTTTTCCAATTATTCACTAAATGGGGCAGTCCGCTAAAATTACGGTGCACACAAGGTTTCTTGTTGCATCAGAAGTTAACTTTCTAACAGAAGAAAATATAATTTCGGGGTGTAGTGAGCGAGTTGTGAAGTGTGGCCAAAATGGCTGCCACCCTTATTGGAATGTGCGTTTCACCCGACTGATGAAAGCAGAAGCGTCGCAGTTCAACTTATCTACGTTGGGACTGGTTTATCTTTCATTACGTCACTTTACATAAGCCTGAACATCATTTCTATCCACTGCGCAATTTGTTATTATCAATGGGATAAATATATAGGCACGTCGGTATATATATTGATAAGAGGGCCTCGTACATATTGATTTATGATCGGTGGCTTATCGTGAGCAAATTGACTGACACAAAACGAATTAATTATGAGGTTTGTGGGGTGACCAGACTACTCATTAACAGAGACAGCCAGGGTAGCACATTAAAGGCAAATTCCCGAATTGATGTTAATTTTATCAAAATATTATTATAAAAGGAAATTTATGTATGTATGTAAGTTAAGGAAATGCAATGGAAATGTTTGCCACCATTTTTTTCATCCTAGGTCAATCCCATATTACGACCTTTTATTACATACTTTTAGCTGTACGTTAAGAAATGGAAATTATTGGTTTACATTTTGAGACCATTCTTGATTCATTTATCTTATTTTAGATAGCTTTACTTTACATAGGCATGAGCAACACGGCGCAATTTGCATGCGTTATCAATGGAATGAATAGGTACATATGCTGATAAGAAGCTCGTTCATGCTCTGGTGGCTTATCTTGCATTCGTTGCTTCGTACTTAATTTCAAATTTATTTTACTTCGTTTTAATTGAAATTTAGTTTATGTAAGTTTTGACGCAGTATGAAGTTTTTATGTACTTGTTAATCAAAGTATTTAGTATTACAAACGCCCGGGTTATCCGGTCCTAAATTTGGGCCTGGTTTGTAGAAATGATTGTTAAAGATGATGATTGGACAATTTCGGCATTAAAACTCCAGCTTGCTAGAGAATATGCAAAATCCGAAAAATTGGAGTTTTATATGTATGAGAAATATTAGCTAATTATTCAAACCTGTTGTGCTCTGGTAATCTACACTTTCCAAGATTTTTCTAAAATCGATAATTGTCTTTCTCCCATTAGTTGAAACCCAGTAGGTGAGAGTATTTGAGAGAAATGCGTAATACGTGGACACACCCATTTTGTATAGGTTAGACCATTGGTCAAGGTTATTTGGTGGTATTTGGAAAATGTTTCCTAATAGGATTGGGTCACTGATTATCATACCATCATTTTGTATACGGATGATAATATCATGAATCTTCACTGTTTCTGGGGTAAACGAAGAAACGTCTGGTGCTTTTGTTGATTCGAGGAATGACGGGATTCCTAGAAGGTCGGTTTTATTCGCAAACGCTAAGGTTATGAAGCTGTTATTCGTTACATAAATATTTACCACTTCCCTGAATTCGTGTATGTATTTAAACCTGCCATGCGTTGCTTAAATATTTGAAGAACTCTACTATTGCAGCTAACATCGAGAGCGTGCATAATTACGGGAATGTCATCATCAGTCCTGTAATCTCGTAGATTTTTAAGTAATTTGTCGGCCTTATTCTCTTTTCCGTTAGTCTTGCCCTTAAACAAAAAGACCTCAATTAAAAACTCGCCAAAATTATAAAAAATGTCACAATTTAATAATATGTATATATAAAAATTAATTTACCAGCAACTCCATGGTTTCATCGTTGATAATTTTCTTCCGTTCGAGACAGTTTAACAAAGACAGACTCACATCCAGCGAATTTATTAGGATGTCGAAATTGTCTTTAATAATATTTTCAAGGATTCCACTAGATGGTGGGGATGCCATTGGTAAACTGAAAAGTTTCTTTAGTTGGAACCATAGATATAGAGTAGAGTAGATTCGGCTACTTTAAAAAAAACGTCTCGGCATGAAGGAGAATTTGGGGATAATTTGGGGATAACGCATGGTTGCCCGGTAGCGCATGGAATGCTTAGCACGCTTGCACATCATTAAAAAATTCCAATTTAATTTTAATTCACGTCAGCTGAGATTTTGTTATTGTTTTTCATTTAAACTCCGTTTCACGCTATCTGATAGAGTACATTAGCCAAACGACCTGAATTATTTTATTATTTGAGACCTGTTATTTTTATTTTGGCGTTTAAATCATACGATATTGAATAATTTAAACGCTAAAATAAAAATAAGTGGTGTCGAATAATAAAATAATTCGGCTCGTTCGGCTAATGTACTCCATGTGATGAACTCAGATAGCGTGAAACGGAGTTTAACAAGCTTGGTTTGTATAAACAGGCAGGGTTTAGTCCCACGTCAAAATCATTGCCGAGTTTTTAACATTGACTATATGGAAGAAGCCGGATCTATTCTACTCTATATCTATGGTTGGAACAAATCAAGATGTTTCACAGATATGTATTAAATGAAATGAAATTTTCCTTACAGGAGGGAATTAATAATTAATTTTTTGGTGTCGTGCCAAACTGGGGACCAGTTTTATCTACAAATGCCTTGCAGGACGGACGTAACTAGCAACACTCTGGTCCCATTTATGCTGGGGTTGATGTACCTTGCATTAATAACTTTACATAAGCAACACGGGGCCACTTAAGCAAGGCCATATGGCTCAGAGGTACGAGGGTAGGATTGTCACCACGCAGTCACACGTTCGATTCCTCTGGCCGGGAAGCTATTGCTAATCCTACTCGGCTCGGTGTTAGTACGGGGTAGGTGCTGTCTCGTGACAGGGTGAGCCCAGCCATACGGAATGGCAATGTCACTGTGTACAGCCCCTAGCAGAGTCCGTTCTCTGTGGGGATGAGACAACTTGCTACGAAATTATGGCAAGAAGTCGCCATCTGAGGCTGAAAAGCAGAGAAATCTGAGTCCTGGCGATGTAAAACTGTCACATTTTAACATTTTAACATTTTAACATTTTATCAACACATAGAATAAATAGGTATATATATACTGTGATAAGAACCTGTTGGCTGGTTCATGTTTGATGGCTTAACTTGAATCAATTGTTAAACACGAAATGCACATATGTATGTATGTTTGCAGTACGAGATCCCATTCATAAAGATTTTTAGCAAGTTGTAATATTTACAAATTTCTTATATAATTTATTTTTCATACGACATAAATAAATTATTGCGGACATATTACGCAACGAAATGCAAATTAAATATTTGCCAGTCTAACAAGAATAGTTTCAGGTTTCCACTATGAAATTACGCTACCCCCTTTTTCCATAAAATTTATAAGACCTTAAAATTTGAAATTATTGGAGGGACTTAATCAAATTTTTGAAATTTAATTATTGTAACACACTACGTTATGGATAAGGAGACGAGATGGACGCTTAATTTGCAGAAATAGTTTAGATTGTTAGGTACAAACGTGTGTATGGAGTAATAAAATTTTGACATGATTCCCGTAAATTTGTTTCGAAACATCTCGTTTAGAGAAAAAGTATAATGAACTAGCTTATATGCCCGTCTTAAGGATGGCTGTATTCAAAATAGGAAAATACTGAAATGAGAACTAATACACAAATTACGTCAATAAAACTCAGAACATAAGTTTTTCCCCTCCAATAGGAACTCAGAAGTTATAAAAAGTACTCAAATTTCTAGTCGCAAGCTACTTAAGCTTTACTAATACACTTATAACCTCAGACACATGTGACAAGGCTAAGTTTTATACAGACGCGTGCTACTAATTCAACAAGTTATTTATGTCTTTGAAAATACACGGAGCTATGTACATCCCTGGACTATGGACATTATTCTCATTTCTGTCACTTCGTAAAACGCTATGAGCTCTGAGGATGAAAAACAGGTCGGTTCTCCAGAAAAATCGTCATTTTCGAAAACAGTCCAACTAGACATTCCTGTGAGAACTAGACGAGCAGCCAGAAATCCGAAATGGTTGGCCGCTAACCCGATAAATGTGCGTTCGACGCCACCCGTGATGGTGGTGGGAACTCCGCTGTAAATCGAAATGGATGGCGTTCTTGTGTCCGAGGGTCCCATAAATCTCATCGACAGGGTTGGAGGAAGTTCGAAATTATCGCAAACAAGTGACCCATCAAAAGAATCATTTCCGAAGGTTCTTAAAGTAGTGTAATTTGTCTCATCAAATCCAACCCAGCTACAAGATTTGATAATATTTCACATTATTCATCAACTAAAGGGTTGATTTAATTTGTGCCGATTTATCCGGTCAATGTTTGACATGCACGGTGGAAATATCGAGGTCAATTTTTTAGCGGAGATACATTGCTATGTAATTAGTCTTTAGGCAATTTATACTAATCATTCCCTTAATTAACTCATTTATTTTGACTTTGTGCTAATTGTCGTAAATTTGTTTCTGATCGCTAAAAATCATCGGCTCAAATTAAATAAAAGAGTTTATCATAACAACGTGTTTTATTATTTGCAATAACTAAAACTTGATAAAATTTTTATTTATTTAAAATACATTTAGGTCAGGGGTCGTCCATAATTAACATAACGCGAGAGAGGGGAGCGGTACTAATCATAAGGCTTCAATGATATCGTGGGATTTGCCCAAATGTTAAATGGGGAAAACGGGTTGTAGAAATTCGCGACTATTTTGCGCCACGTAATTTATCGACGGCCCCTCGTCATCCGAAACTAATTAAACTTTTAAGTAAGTATTCCTTACTATCCTCTGTAGCACGATGATTTAACCTCTCTCAAAAAGACCTGGTACCCTGTCAAATCCGGCTCTTTGGTTCGGAATCGAAGCGCGTTCCCTTCATGGTCAGGTTCCGTGAAGAATGTTAACTCCTGCGTGAATCCGAGCGCAACATGCAAGCAGCTGGCAAAGGAAAATAGTCGAAACAACATTGTGACTGGGTTTTTCGTGGAGATAAACTGATAAATTTGGCAAGAACGGATTGTATTTTATACGTACCTCCAACTCATTTCGGCATTGAGGGAAATGTATCAAGTTTTGCAAATTTGAATTTTGCAAGAGAGTGCTTTTAACCCACTTGAATATGTACGTGTTGGCCGTGTGTACATATGTTATACAATTGAAACTATATACAGGGTACATTAAATGTGCCGCAACAAGACTCTCGCTACAATGGACAATTCGGCAGAGGGAAAAAGCCCCAATCTCATAATGGGGAGGCAGACCATGTTCATCCCAGTTTATTTTTGACCATCGCAGTTTGATAGGTCAACTCTTTAGAAACAACATTTCCTGTGGAACTTGCACGGAGGCGCAATATTCGACATATTTTTGGGCTCGTTTTCCAGTCGAATTTGTGTTAATGGCGACAGATTCACCTTTTCGCGATCTTACCGAATTTTACTGCTCAAGTTCCGGAATAAATGTTGTCTCAAAAGATTTGCTACTTTGATCCAATATGGTTAAAATATGTATGGATAACCTGAAGTGAACATGGATTGCATTCCCACTGTCAGTTATGAGGATATGGGATTGAGATTTGTATTAATTATTCAAGTCTAGTAACAAACCTGATTGTTCACAATGACAACATTCTTAAGATATTAATTGAATAAGTGAACTTGTTCTATTCAAAGACAGATTCAAACTATTATTTATTAGTTCATTTCAATGTGCTTTTATAACATTGAGTTTGCATTCATACAAAAAGGATAATTTGGTGAAGCTGACCGAGGGCAGCGGAAATAGATCTAAAAACAGAATTAATAACACCCTTGAGTGCTTGGTTAAGTGCTAGAAGAATGCTAGCCTTCAATAAATGCATACCGACATTCCTGTAATAAAATGTCACCCGACATTTTAGCACATACATACAATACATCATAAAACATGTGTTCAAATTAGATTGCACTTAAGAACAGTTGAGGTCCTTGATCTATATTAAAATAGCCTAATATTCCACATTTTTCACATTCTCCCTCAAGCTAATTTGGAATGATGTTTTGATCCGGTTCCACGCTATCGGGGCTGAATACCCATGCTGGTAATTGATCAGGTCCTGGTGGTGCTCGTGGTTTTGGGGTCTTTATAACCTCAACCTTCACCTTTCTGTTGCAGTAGTAGCACAGGATAATCACCACGACAAGGATGCCAATTATGATCAGTAGTCCGACCAGGAGTCCTATCATCAAATGACCATGATCGTCGGTTCCAAAGCGATGTCCCTCGGCGTGGGGGTTGAAAATGTGTGTCAGCATTGGGTCTCTCATTAGCTCGGACATGTTGAGTCTTGGGTTGAGATGATGATTCGTTTTGATCGTGAACGCTGGATCAGGGCTCTCTTGGTGGATGATGTTGACCACTGACCCCACAAAGTCCTTTTCATTGATTTGGAATCTTGTCCCGACGGGCAGGATGAAGACCTCTTCTGGACAGGGCTGCAGTTGGTTCTCAATCGTGATCTGTGATTTCCAGCAGTAGATGTAAAGAAAGCCGTGATGTGATTTCACTTGAATCAGTTCTTTTTCATCTCCTGGTCTCCGAGTTTTGCAGGAGTTGATTCTGAAATGTGATCGGTCCTCCTCCTTATCGGGTAGGCACTCTTGTGTGGCAGCGTAGACGAGTTCATACGCACCAGTGATCTTCACGTTCAGAGCCACTGGACACCCGGATGGAGACAAGACTGCTGTCGTTGGACCGGTGTAGCTGGCTCGGCAGGTTTGATTTTCCGTTTGGACAATGAAATCAAATGGGTCCACGACCACCAGCGTCATGTTCGGGTCAATGGTTGGGATTGAGATTTCCATCTCCAGTGCGTTCCCATCCTTTGCTGTGAAGCCGCACCCATCTGCTGTAGCATGTTCCATTTGGCACGTTGTCGTCTCACACGGCAGGGAAATGTTGAGGTAGTCAAAGAGGAGTGGTGAGACAAATCCTCTTTTGAAATCTCGAGCTCCAGCCTTGATTATCGGGGTTCCAATCGTAAGACCCGACATGATGGATGACAGGACAAAGTGGGTACTTGGAGATTTGCTTTTGAGTTCATGGAAATCGCGTTCGTGGCTTTCCAGTTCTTCAGCCTATTGATTGAAATCTCTCCTCAGCTTTGGCAGGGCCACCTCGGTGAGATTTGTTTCTTTGTTCAAAACTTCCATCTCTCTATCCTGGGCAAGGATGACATCTTCGGCTTGTCCAAGTCTGCGACTGTTGGACACCGAGAGGAGAAAGTCGCCAACTGCTGCTCCAGCCATTACCAGTCCAACAACAATGATCGCGATGATAAGAACAAGTCTCCTCACTCGCTTGGACCTTGGTTTGCGTTTGTTGACCTGATCAGGTTCTTTTCGTTTGGAAGCAGGGCACATCTTCTCTAGTTCCTTCAGGAATTTGTTTTGGTAGGCCTCTTCACACATCCTTCTGGCGTCTTGCAGGGTTTCGTAGTGCATCATGCTTGCATTGATGAGGATGCAAGGGCTGATTAATTGGAGCTTCACAAAGACCTTCTCATACCCGCTGATGATGGGAATCTTTGACTTTCTCCACAGGATTGGACGTGAACTGGTGATGTGGACTGCGTCACTTGGGCTTGTCACAATTAGAAACATGACCAGCAACCAATTCAGCATTCCCAATTTTCTCGATTGGCGAGGTCCCCTTTCATTTCCGGTATTGGCTCGTTCATTATCCTCCACGGAGAGGTGAGCATGAAGTGGACTTGCAGGTTCTGGGGGTTCAGGGTTTTTGTTGTTGGGGTCAATTTCTCCCTCACTTTCTCCCTCAATTTCTCCCTCAATTTGAGCATGGGGTGCTTCAATCATTCCCAGGCGAGACCGATTTTCCACAAATTTTGCTCTCCCAAGTGGTTTGGTGAAGATGTCTGCTCGTTGTTCGTTGGTAGACACGTATCGGGTTGATATCTGATTGGATTCATTTAATTCCCTCACGAAGTGGTACTTGACATCGATGTGCTTTGTACGCTTGTGAAACTCTGGGTTTTCAACAAGTCGTATTGCACTCGTGTTGTCCGCGAAGACGGGGGTGGGGCCCTGTGGTAATCCCAGCTCCTTCAGGAAAGCTCGCAACCACATTCCTTCTCGTGCACCATACGCCACGGCTATGTACTCGGCTTCTGTTGATGATAATGATACCACCTCTTGCTTCTGGGCTGCCCATGAGATGAGACTTTCCCCCAGGAAAGCGGCGTATCCCGATGTTGACCTTCGGTCGTTTCGATCGCCAGCATAGTCCATCCCTGATGCGGCTGCGACATTCTCTGGCCCAATGTCCGGGTTTGCTACAATAGTTGCAATTCCCCTTTCTCTTTTGATTGGAATTGCTGTTCTGAGCTTGATTTCCATTGTTGCCAGATTTATTCTTGCCACCGCCACCTCCGTGTCGGTGCTGCTCTTTATGTCCTGGTCCAGCAGCGAAGGCAACATTGGACGGAGCTTGAGAATCAGGTTCACTGCTGCTGGGATTGTGCATGAGGTCCAGGTTCTTGAGACGGATGTGAAGATTCTCAAGAGTTTGCTCGGCTTTAGCTACCGAATCCCATGCCATCCGGAAAGATGCATATTTAGACGGAAGAGCTGTCAGGATTCGCAAGATTATGGCAGATTTGGCCTGTGGGACACCCAGCTCAGAGAGGGAATTGGCCATTTTCTCAATCTCCCCCATCCCTTCAACGGCAGATTGCTCATTGCCAATTTGGTAAGTGAAGAATCTGGTTTGGGTCTGGTCTTTGTTTAGCGACGAGGTGTCATCATGCATCTTTTGCAGCTTCTCCCAGATTTCTTTTGCAGACCCCAGGTTGCTGACGTGATGTATTTAACGATCGTCCAGCAGTGGGATCGTGCAGCTTCTGGCTATTGCATCGTTTTTCTTCCACTTTGCAATGTCATCCTGGTTGCTGCCACTGGGTGCTGGCTCGACCGTAGTACCCGTGCAGTGGCCCCAGAGTTCAACAGCTTGGAGGGCGGTGCTCACCTCCAACTTCCACCGAGGATAATTGTCCCCGTTGAGTGGCTTGATGTGAGATGTCAGTGGCTTCACTTTAAAGAACTGCAACTGCACTCTCAATTTATTTGTGAACTTGTAATATGAGCTAACTCACTGCTCTAATTACTCACAAGGTTCGTATCAAGTATCAAGTTCAACAGCAGGAATGCACAATTTGCACTTTTTGTGTATCTGTAGAATCGACTAACTCACTGTCGTACTACACACAAAGTTTATCCGATGCACTTATCGTGAATAACAAATTGTCAATTCTTCACTGCTCTTTTTGTCTCGATTTACCTCACTAAGTGGAAAAACTCACTATGTGGAAAACTGTGTATTGAGAGAAGTGATTGGAACTACTTCGTCTCAGTGTGCCTCACTAAAGTGGAACTGTATAATGAGAGAAGAGTAATTAGAACTACTTCATCTCAGTGTACCTCACTTAAGTGGAAAACTGTGATGAGAAAAGTGATTGGAACTTTTTGTCTCAACTAACCTCACTCGTTATTAGAGTGGAAAACGTGTGATGAGAGAAGCTTGGACTTCGTCTCGCCTCACTTGGAAGTGGAAAACGTGTGATGAGAGAAGCTTGGACTTCGTCTCGCCTCACTTGGAAGTGGAAAACTTGTGGTTCGGAACCACGCTTTGCTACCAAATTGAATAAGTGAACTTGTTCTATTTAAAGACAGATTCAAACTATTATTTATTAGTTCATTTCAATGTGCTTTTATAACATTGAGTTTGCATTCATACAAAAAGGATAATTTGGTGAAGCTGACCGAGGGCAGCGGAAATAGATCTAAAAACAGAATTAATAACACCCTTGAGTGCTTGGTTAAGTGCTAGAAGAATGCTAGCCTTCAATAAATGCATACCGACATTCCTGTAATAAAATGTCACCCGACATTTTAGCACATACATACAATACATCATAAAACATGTGTTCAAATTAGATTGCACTTAAGAACAGTTGAGATCCTTGATCTATATTAAAATAGCCTAATATTCCACATTTTTCACAATATTGCATGTCAGAGACCAAACTTCGATAACTAAATGAAATTCGAATTACTCGCATTTTCAATTGTAGTGAGACATTTCAACCACTCTGAACTTGTAGTTGAGTATTAACTTATCACGCACGTGTGGTGGAGTAGTTGGCTGGAATTTTATCAGTTGGCATTGATAATTGATAAGTACGATACGTACACCTAAATTAAGAATGTACATTTATTTTATATGCATACATAGCTGTACTTTATTTAAGTATTTACTTACATTACATAGATCAAGTATTAGAACATCGGCATTCGCCATCTCGTAGACCAAATGTTTCAAAATGTTTTAATCTTTACATAAATTAGTATTTAGTATAATTAGTATAAGAAAACACTTATGTAAGTACATACTTCTGCATTAGTTTTATCCAAGTTTTTATTCCAATCATGAGTAACAATAATGAAAACCGGAATCTGTTCAGACACAAAAAGCTTTAATTTGGATAAGATTCTCAGCGTTCGTAGAGCCGATTTTTATGAGTTTAACGGTACTACTAATTTGGAATTACTCCTCCCCATCGCTTACAATGGAACCTTTTTTCAAGCTACACGAGATAAGCTTAGTGACTTATACTAAAAAATCAAGCTAAAAATTAGAAATGACGTGGTACTTATCCTTCCGTTGAATGGGCACTTGGAGGTCAAATATTTGAGGGCAAAGTTCACAGTAGCGGCCTGTTTTTTTCTCAAGCGGGCGAGCGGAGGAGTGAAAATTTTCTCCTGCGAGGTCACTCCGCTGCCTTCACTCTCGCGTTTTCGGGTTTGCACTTTCATTCAATGCACATTATTCTTGATAAAATTTCACAACCTCGTAAATTGGTGCATACATTCACATAATTTTATATTTACTTTTTAAATCGATCCTACTATCCACCGATGCGTAATAAAAAAGTATCAATTAATTCCCCGTTTTCGCAATCAATAAAATTAACATCATGCACTATACCACCTAATAAGAATAAGAGTAATTTCGTAATTTACATAAGTGCTAATAGCTATTCATTTACCACCGATTTTCATTTTCTTCAATAAGTATGTAATTGTAAGTTATCTCGTGCAGATTTTCTAGTAAAACTTCAGCAATTAAGAAATGTTCTTCATCTGGGTCCGATTCATCATCCTCGAAATTGTATTATTTGGATGAATGTTTTAGCGACGCACTTATAATTTACCGCACCCATCGTCACTTTTTTAAGGATCGATTTAAAAAGTAAATATAAAATTATATGAATGTATGCACCAATTTACGAGATTGTGAAATTTTATCAAGAATAATGTGCATTGAATGAAAGTGCAAACCCGAAAACGCGAGAGTGAAGGAAGCGGAGTTACCTCGAAGGTGAAAATTTTCACTCCTCCGCTCGCCCGCTTGAGAAAAAAACAGTCCGCTACTGTGAACTTTGCCCTCAAATATTTGACCTCCAAGTGCCCATTCAACGGAAAGATAAGTACCACGTCATTTCTAATTTTTAGCTTGATTTTTTAGTACAAGTCACTAAGCTTATCTCGTGTAGCTTGAAAAAAGGTTCCATTGTTAGTGGGAGGGGTTCAAAGTTGGAAAAACTCGTTCCGTCTGCGATTTTTAGCACTATGACGTGTTAACATTTTTGAAAACGGTTTTCGCCAAAAGTTTTCTAATTTTGTTTCCTACAACCGTTTTTAACCGTTTTTCGAAATTCACAAAACCAATTTTGTGAATTAATTGGCCGTATGAAAATCAAAAACCAACAGTGCGGAGTTGATATAGCCCGAGTTAGGCCAACGAAGTTATGAGTCAATCCCACTTTTTGCATGAAATTTTATCGTAAATGCATATCAAACAAGTTTCAAATTTAAATTGGGTTTTCCAATTTAAATTCATGTTCCTCTAACAGTAAATATGCATTAGCAGCATATGAGACAAACTTCAGGATAGGGTTGTCAAGTTACGCGCAAAAAAACAACCCCTAACTTGTAGCGAGTTTATGGAGCAACGTTTACATAAATTTGGACGCATGCCTAATGGCCCGCGAAATTTAGTTGCGCCACTGTTCACTTTGCCGCAATTTCTGTAATTTCTTTCGAAACTTGTGTATCTGTACATGGCGAAACACTATTGCACGCAAAAACATATGCCCGACTGTTGCGTAAATTTGCAAACATATAAATTTTTGTCTTGCCAGTGTTCCGAAATATTTAAACTATCGCAAAATATATACCAAATTTTACGTTTGTACGTTCACTTAGCATAGAAGCTAGCCAATGTATTAGCCAATATTAAAAGTATATGTATGGACTATTTAGTCCTACTTATATACATAAGCAGTGGCGGCGGAAGATGACTCATCGGGGGGACATTTGATATCCTGTCAATTTTAATAAGTCTTCTTATATCCTACAACGCTAATGCCCCCAGGAGGACGTCAGCTTCCGCCGCCACTGTACTAAAGTATGTGTAACTAATATTTAAACAACCTTAATTTCATCTGGACTACAAGTGACGTAATGGTAGCATCAAAGGAAGGCGATTAGAATATTCAGGAATTTTGGGAAAATGTTTAGTCAGGCGAACCCCAGGTACCCACACTCAAAACAAAACGGTGTCAATATATGACTTAACCGCCTTGGTTACAATTGTGAGTCCGAGTAGTAATGAAATTTTTCCGTCCGTTCATAACATTATAATCATAACATTATAATCTTGTTCATAAGGTACCGGTATCAAAATCATCATAACTCGGATTCAACATTTTAACCAAGGTGGTTAAGTCATATATTGACACCGCCGCGGCGGTGTTGATTTAAAAAATTTTTGTTTTGCATGTTTCCCCCTGTGGTGGTAGTCCCCCAATCAAAGTCCTGAACATTTTTGTCTTTGTTATGCGTGGGAACGAATTATGTTTTTTGTTTGTGACGGTGTCCATACCAAACCTTGAAGCCTTGGCAGCTGGATTTTTTATTTTTGAATTTCCATCAAAAATAGGTAACAGACCATGAAATTAGTGTAACAGAAGAAAAATTTTGAAAAAAAGTTGATACAACCCTCCGTAATGAGGATTTTTGTGATCTAGAGTAGGGTTCGTAGTACGGCGATGTTTTTGCTATTGTTTGACCTAGAAAGCTGAAATTTCGGATTCTACACCGTCTTGAGTGTCCCCAGGCGGGACTTTTTCGTTTTAAGGTCTAATGTCGAAAATGACCTCAAAACCGGTCACTTTTCGACATGCACATTTCCACATTGTTTTATACATAAATATGATGTCAAGTCTCACATAACCCCATAAATTGGGTATCGTGAGAAAGGTCTCGGCAAGTGGATTAAGAATATATATACTTTGTGGGGTCTGAGACCACCCTCTGATTTTCTAGAATTCAAAAAATGTTGAGAGTTTTGGGATACAAAACTTAACACAGGAGCAGATTGAGAGCCAACATAGCAAAAGAACGGTGAAAACTCAACATTACTCATTGGCCTCTAACTGATCAGGGGGTGGTCCCAGACCCCACAAAGTATATATATTCTGAGACCTTTCTCACGATACCCCATTTATGGGGTTATGTGAGACTTGACATCATATGTATAAAACCATGGGAAAATGTGCATGTCGAAAAGTGACCGGTTTTGAGGTCATTTTCGACATTAGCCCTTAAAACGAAAAAGTCCCGCCTGGGGACACTCAAGACGGTGTAGAATACGAAATTTCAGCTTTCTAGCCCAAAAACTGACGAAAAAATCGCCGTACTACGAACCCTATTCCAGATCGCAAAAACGGCCATTACAAAGGACTGAAACAATTTTTTTTCTAAATTTTTCCTCGATTACACTAATTTCATGGTCTGTGACCTATTTTTGATGGAAATTCAAAAATAAAAAATCCAGCTGCCAAGGCTTCAAGGTTTGGTATGGACACCGTCTTGTTCAAAAAGTTTTCTACCGTGTGAGATAACAAATTTGCTACAGCTACAGTGTCGGACAGATGTCTACGTCCACATAGTCGCGTCAATTTCATTTTCAAATTGTCACTGAACTACTGAACCAATTTTCATCATTGATATATCTAATTCTCACAAATTTAACGTAATTTCATAAAACATATGAGTTATTTCTGAAAATTCTGGGAAAACTGAGAATCATAGTGCAGAGCGAGAGAGGATGAAATTTGAGCGGACAAAAGTCTACGTCCACTTCACTTTAATTGTCAACAACAAAAATCTCTCCAATTTATAAAATCAGGTAACTTAATAAATCTATCAATAACATATGCCGCATTAATTTTTAAATAATTTTCTTCCAGAAAAATATGATGGCGTCGACACGCAAGGAAATTCCTATCGCTATTCGAGATCTTGTCATTCAGGACTGGAAGGGTGGACAAAAAGGGGGCTGTCGCAGAGACAAATATGGACCAAGTATAAATTAGCAAGGACAACCATCCAGACAATCATTAAGAACTTTAAAGCTAATGGTTCAGTCCAAAACAAGGTCAGAAGTGGTCGAAAACCCATTTTGGCTCACCGAGAAGTACGCCACAGAGCAGTCCGGAAGCCTCTTATTGTACCGAGGAATGCAACCAAACGAGTGAAGTTTGCCAGAGACCACATTTCCAAGCCACAAACATTCTGGGACATATTTTATGGACTGACGAGTCAAAGTTCAATGTCTGTGGGTCAGATGGGCGTCGTAGAGTGTGGAGGTATCCAAAAGAAGCTTTGAATCCAAAAAATCTCAACCCCACAGTTAAGCACGGCGGCGGGTCGGTAATGGTGTGGGGATGCATGGCTTCAAGTGGGGCAGGAAAAATGGAATTTGTTGACGGAATTATGGACCAATACAGGTACCAGGGAATACTTGACCGTAATATCCAGGAATCTGTTCGAAAACTTGGACTTGGACGACGATTTGTCTTCCAACAAGACAACGATCCGAAACACTCTGCCACGTACACCATGGAATACTTCAAGAAAAAAAAATTTCGAAGCTAGAATGGCCTCCCCAATCTCCAGACTTGAATCCCATTGAGCATCTGTGGGACCACATTGAAAGAGAAATAAGAAAACAATCTTTTTCAGGAATTCCGGGCCTTAAATCCAGAATTCGTGAAGTTTGGGAAACCATTTCTGAAGATGTGACCAAGAATTTGGTAAACTCTATGACTCGACGCCTTGAAGCCGTCCTTAAAGCGAACGGAGGCCCAACCAAATATTAAAAATTAATTGTTATAACATTCCTTATAAATTACAGTTTTTTTTGTATGTTTTCTCTTACTGGACGTTGACTTTTGTCCATCCAATTGTTTTCATTTTGAATTAAAATACATCTCTGGCCTAAAATAAATTTTTTAGCGGAAAACTAATAATGTGCTATGAAATTACGTTAAATTTGTGAGAATTTGATATATCAATGATGAAAATTGGTTCAGTAGTTCAGTGACAATTTGAAAATGAAATTGACGCGACTATGTGGACGTAGACATCTGTCCGACACTGTATTTCAATAAGTTCACCTTTCTGTTTTTTAGTGAAGGGGCGTAATTAAAAAAACTCCCATCTTTGTTCGATTGTTGATAATTGTTTTGCAGATACATAAGTAAATTAATAATACTTGATTTTGTGTTGCTGATTGTCTTTTTATCATCATAAATATTATGATATGTGTACACAGATATACCTTTTTTTAATATAGTTGCATTCCTTGTATCTGCATCGCGTATGATTTTGTTTTTGTTTACATCCATGTGACAGTACAAACTTACCCAACCTAATTTAACAAAGATTTACTTGTGTGAGCCATGACTCTTTTGAGTGTAAATAATATTTCCAAATACATACGAAATTCATAATGTATTTAATCTATGTAAATTAACGTAAATAATGAGTTGAGTTCCTCCTATGAATTTTTGCTGCAGAGTGAAATCAAATGTAAAGTGAAGCGAGTGTATATCATATAGGAAGAAAGTAATTTGCAAATAGGTCAACAAAATCGCACACAATTTTATCATCCTTTTGTATTGTTTTGCTTAATCCTTGATAACATATGGGCGTAGACAAATTTATTGCTCGATAATCAAATAAAGGCTGACGTACATATTTGCAATTAAACTAATTTCTGTAAACGGAAAATTAATGAAATATAGCTAATAATTGAACAGGACCTTTGGCATAAAAGTCAGGATGCAGCTCTTAGTCCTACATACTTCGTCTTTTTCGTACACTACCACCAATCAAATTTTTATTGAAGAAACGCCAAAATGCCAGGGTAAATCAAAAATTGTGTTAAATTTTATTTAAAAAAATCCATAACTGTTTTCCTTATTCCACAGTTGCAACTGTCTAACATTTTGCAATACGTCGTCCTGCTTTTGCAAAAACAATCGACGATTTTGCAACTCTACTTGCGAATGTTGCAGTGATGGCGATTCGTCCTGCAGGAATGGAGGGCGCCCGGCTCCTAAAATGGAAAGGACCACGACTTCTACTCCGAAAGCAAAAGTAGTCAAACCCAGTCCATCAAAGGGTGCTTGTACCAGAAAAAAATGAGACTTTAAATATGTAGATTTATTTTGAGAATTTTTTGACATTTATGTATGAATGTAGTTCTAACGTTTGTATTACTGGCGGTCTTACATATGGGAAAATAAATAAATTAAAATAAGTGTCCTGACCAGTGTTTCTGCTGTTAAAAAACACCTGCACGAACTTAGGAGGGGAACCTCACTAGTTGCCACCCACAGATCTCGATGCCCTTTGGATATGTTAGAGCACCCCATGAGTGAACAACAACCCCCAAGTGGTTTGATGCCATGGCGACATTTGCGCCCGCCACACCCTCTTAAAGGCGTCAAAAACACGAAAAAAGACCTGTTTTCACTCAATAAAACCCTCGCCAAAAATCCAATTTCTATAGGATTCTGAAAATATTGCACCATTATACCCTTAGATAGTTGTGTTATCATATCCAGTATCAAACTCAACTTTTTTGAAATTTTTATTTTTTCGAAGACGTACACCTGGTCAGGAAATTTTCGAAAATATTAAAAAAATTTGAAAAATGTATTTTGGTGTCGGATATTATAAAACAGCTATCTGGGAGTATAATGGTGCAAAATTTTGAAATTTCGGCCAAATTTGAATTTTTGGCGAGCGTTTGAAGATGCCGATTTTCGTGTTTTTAACGCCTTTGAGTGGGTGTGGCGGGCGCAAATGTGGCCATGGCATCAAACCACTTGGGGGTTGTTGTTCACTCATGGGGTGCTCCAACATATCCAAAGGGCATCGAGATCTGTGGGTGGCAACTAGTGAGGTATTCCTCCTTAGTGCATAAAAATGTTTTTCAACATTTCATAACCCCCAATAAAAATCCAAAAAAGTGCATCAAAATGCACGAAAATTCACGAAAATCGTTTACATCCAAATAATATTAGACTAACGGATTTTTACAATAGATAGATAACTTGATATTACCCCAATTTTATAGGTAGTAAACTGTATTATTTCTTGAAAATATGAAATTCCCTACATAAATCGCACAACTTATTTTTACACATTTTCGTGCCTTTTCGCGTGTATTTATGCGTTTTATGCATTTTGTGCATTTTTATGCACCATTCATAAATAAAATTAATTTCGTGTGCACAAAAAGAAACACTGGTCCTGACCATATTAATGGAAAAGATGGGAATACTTATGCTGGATGGAAATATGTATATAGCATTGTACAACGACGAAAAAAATAATGTAGTGGCGATCTAATTTCCAGTAGAAATATTAGAATCACCCGTTATTTATTGCTAAATATGTAATAAATAATTTCTAAGCGTTATCTACATAAGCCCATTTAAACTCTTGTTGACCATAATTCTATGAGAAAAAAACTCCCTTGAATACGATATTGATTCCATAACTACATCTGATAGCAACCAATCAAATTTTCATGATTTCATAAAAATACCATATGTTTTTCAACCAGTTTTCAATTTCTAAGGTTGTCTACAATAAAATAAACCCAAAACAGAAGAGCTTAGATGTGGTGAAGAATGGTGGAGAAATTAACTTTTTATCTGACAAAATACTTCGTGACAAATATCGCAAAACATGTATTTTGACGGCTATAAAAAGATAATTTATTTTCGTACGACTGCGGTATTCTCCATGTAGATTGTTGTCTCTTTGTGGTGTAACGGCCCTTAAAACCTAAATCCTGGGCACAACGGTGCTTAAAACACGGCATTTTGACCAAGTAATTTTCCCACCCCTGTCTTTTTGCTTGTCTATTCGTCCTTCTCTCGGTGGACGCGATAACTCCTAAAACACGTTAATTTGTCGAGTTTTGCTTTGTTATATCAACACATAATTTGTAAAACAGGGATAGGTTCGTTGGCCAATCTTGTTACACTTCTCCTGATCCCTGAAACCAGGCCCGTAGCGACGTGTTGTCCGGCCTGGAGAGTTTTGCCGTGGTACGGCCTCATATGCACCCGAAAATTATTGAATCCCTAATTTTACCTAGTGTACATTATTGCTGACCCTGATTTTACCTAGTGTACATTATTGTTGACCCTGATTTTACCTAGTGTACATTATTGCTGACCCTGATTTTACCTAGTGTACATTATTGCTGACCCTGATTTTACCTAGTGTACATTATTGCTGACCCTGATTTTACCTAGTGTACATTATTACCTGATTTTACCTAGTGTACTTCATTTCTGACCCTGATTTACCCAGTGTACTATATTGTTGACCCTGGCGGTACGGCCCCTCGGGCCGTACGGCCTGGAGAGTGTCTCTCCACCTCTCTCCACTGTCGCTACGGCGCTGCCTGAAACGCCCAGCACCTTAGCTAATTAAGAAACACTACTATCTTCATATTAACTAAGGAAAACATAGGGCTCTGTAGATACACAGCCTGTCTCTGACAATAACTAGCAATGCGCTACCAAATTTATCTATCTAAACCACTTGCCTAAGTTCTCGTAAAGCGTTTTGCAATATGTCCAGAAGCTTCTGCGTGCACATTTTATATTGATTTTAAACTTAACAAAAACTAGAACATTTCTGGCACTATGTTTTAATAAATATAGTATATGCTTCCAATTTCTACTAATTAGTATAACGATTTCTACCCAAAAAGTAAAGACGGATGTCAAAATCAATATCCCAAATAGATAAAATACCACTAGTATATTTCCTTTCAAACTTAGCGGTGTGCTATCCTTGCTTTTGTCTTGCTTTCCCTTTAAGCTGTTAAAGTACTCAATTATAGTATACCATTTCCTCACGATCCCCGACTGTACCAATTACCGTATTCTGTCAAGTATTGCTGGATTTTCCCAGTCTTTAAGGCTGAACCCTCTCATTGCGTTTGCAATGCCTTGTTTCCCCTTAAGGACGACATCAGGGGCAAAGGTTTCTTTACTTGAAGATTTAAGCAAATGATAGACCTCGTCAGCCTCATCTTCTCTACCGATAAATGCTGTCCTACGACAACCAACTAAATCGGAAGCATATGTTTTATTCTCGCCCAAAATTATTTCCTGTATACTTGGTGGAACCCGGAGTAGCTTGTCAATAGAATAAGCAAGCATAAGCTGCGTGTTGTTCTTCAACGCTTCTCTTTCATACGTTTTTTTATATACTTCCCACCAACCAAAGTTAGTATACCTTCCAATTAACAAATTGTTCGTTAATTTTGTTTTTGGTTTATCCACTTCAGCGAAAAAGTATTCGTTGTAAGGTTTCCCATAAAAGGTGAAATTAAGCTGGACAAGTTCCTCAAATTTGGTAAATAATGTTGGGGGATAGGGGAAAGTTAGATCCGTGATATTGCTTCCTTTATACGCATTTGTTAGTACAAGAAGACTGATAATCCAGGTAAGGGTAACGAGTATTTTCAACCTATTTCTTGTTCGGATTTCTGTATTATCGTTGCCTCTGTCTAACTCCCAAAAGTTGTCACCTTGTCCCAACAAGGAGTTGAAAAAAGGTAATATCAAATCACCAAGCTTATAACTCCTTACTGCGAAAAGGATAATTAGTACGAAACATGAAAACAAGATAAAAATCCAGGTGACAATATCGTACGAACTTGTGAAATGTTTCCATCCCAAACTTTTACTGTATTCTTTAATCCCGTCACAAGTCACAAATTTATAAGAGGATTCTGCAAAAATCCCAAATCTAGAAAAATAATTCGGTTCTTCGTAAAATGGTAGGGCAGATTTGTAATAATAATTCGAGTGATTTTTCTCTAGTATCCATTCCCTCGGGTAGAATCGTTTCTTCGGATGAGTTTTGTTGCCAAGAGGTTTGATTCCTATGCTCACATTAGAGGGTTCCACAAGATACTTGAGAAACACCAGGTTGACATTCAATCGTGCAAAGTTAAGAAATGTGACTGGCTCACTGTAATTATTCAATTTTACGGCACGTTGTGATCGACGATGCATATAAAGATCGTACAGATCCCAGTATCTGTTGCTGATTTTATGCATTTCTTTCAAATCCGTGATCACTTTGTCATACGTGGTTAGAGAATGTGGGATAAATACGTGATATATATAATCACACTGCTCACATACGAAATAGAACCGATTTTTTCCCAACAAGTAGACAAATGTGGGGGTCATTTCTCCGAAATTATAAAAAACATGCAGCCACTTTGCCCAGTCTGTTGGGTAATCCAGACTAGTTATGAGGATCCGATAAGTACCGTGGTATTGCTTAAAGGGCAAGTCATAGAAAGCTACTTTAGTATAGAAAATATTATAATATCCGATAAACATTGAACTGGGTATGCGAAACGGGGTATAAGGTGAGAGTAGCTCGTGGGTATAGTATAATTTGAAAGGGTGCCCAATATGGGACTCAACAACACAGTTTAAACGGTAATTAGGCTTTGGACTGAATCCTGGAAATAATATGGTGTTGAAACGAGACGGATGGAAATAGGAGTAGTAGTTTGTATGAAATTTATGATTATCCACCACACGTTTTGAGTAATTCGTAGCGTATATTACCGGACATGGTGGTAAGATTAAGGTGTCAAGGGTAAATTGGTAGATAATTAGGAGACACTTGCAAAATGGTGGCAGGACTGCGGAAATATTTTGCAGTAGCATATTAGAACAGAATATTTAAAAGAAATTAGATATTTTTGTTGTAGTTACAACTTTTTAAGCTAATCGTCGTTTTTCCTAACCTGAGATATTATAAAGTTTTTGAAGTTAACGCTTTGGATCATGCACTACATCGTAAGAGCTGCGTTCGATTGGATAAATAGGCTACTTTTTTAAGGAATAATTCTACCGGAGTGGCTCGCAAACAAGTTGTAAATCCCCACAGTGCCAAAGATAATGTCGTTCATTGGTAATGCCAAAGTTGAAGTTGAGCAGACGAAATTCCTAATACACAAAGCAGCTTTCTACTTACTTATTTACGGAGACGCAATGCAGCTTAGACTTGAAAGTCTAGGCTGCGTCGGGTCTCTTGCTAAATGCATTAGGCTGATTAGTTATTTTACATGGTCGGAATCAGTGAATACATACATGAATAAATTATTAAACCTACTTTCATTTATTGGTAGCAAGCGAAGCAATTGAATATATTTACATACATGTACATACACACATAAATATGTTCATAGACACCTCTGTTGTGAGAAATATGGACGTATTTTGTCCCCAAAATTACCCTAAAATCGATCACCTGCTTACATTGAATATATGTATATAGTTATGTACGCAAATATCATTAGTCACCGTCGGTCTTTAGTGATTTACGTAGGGTAAATACTTATCACTTTAAATAAATACATAGAAAGACGGAGATCTGCCTTGATATTTTAATTACAGTTTTATGTGTATTTACATGCTCCAGAAATAAGCTACGGCAATCGTTTGAAAAAATAAATCATGCATGGATTGATTGATTGTACCCATATATACCTGATTACGATTATTATTATCATCACTTCGGTATGCTAAAAACTGAATAATCCATCCATACTGCTAAAATAAACTAACGTACCAATGTACCTACGTACCCTCAGACATACATATCTCATTTAATCTTTCACATGGTTTAAAACCCAGTAGATTTTATTCATTTGCAACCCATTAACACCAAGAAGCTTTAAACCCTGTTGAAATACTTTACAGATTAGTTCCCAGATGTATTTACTTATTTTTAACCAACCCGAATAGAAATATGTACCTAAATAGAATACAAAATGAAACACACGGTCGAGGTGGATGCGTTGAACAAAGTAAGTTCTTTCAAGTAGGCTTACTATTAGCAGATTAAATAAGTAGAACGACAGAAAATTAACACGATAACCATTCATGATAACCTAAATACAACCCTTATCATAACCGTTATCAATGTAGTAAAAGAATAATCCAGGGTAAATACTTACATTTATAAGTCAAGTCATGCATATGGAGATGTTAATTCTCTCTCACTACTCTTCACTCCGATTGCACATGTCAATTTGGTACAAGAAAAGGGACTTCAGCCCAGATTTGAGAAAGATGCCAACCTGCATATTAACGTAAGTTGGTGTGAATAAATGTACATAATATAAAATATGTACATACGTAATTCTCACTTCATTTTTAATTTGTGACAATTATGTCAGTAAAAAGTTATCAAACCTACAATCTGCATATTCGATCCGGTATTTAGCAATTTGGTGTCAATCGATCACAAATTTAAATAATACCATATTGACAAACAGCACTATCTGCCAGTACCCAATCTTGATCCCAAAAACAGAAAACGACACGCAGTAGATCTGGAAACCAAAAAAGTTTGTCAACGTTAGAGCATGTTCACTTCTTTCTAAACAGATGCAAATATCTCAGCGAAACGTGGCGATTAGATTGGGAGATCTTATCTTTTATGTACAAATGTTATATTAATTAAATTTATGATTGATTAGTATGTACTATTTTTAATAAAAATCGGAGAGCATACGTTAGGAGACCTTCGTACAACTTCAAACAAATGTATTTGGAGATCGTGCATACATATTTATTAAATTTACTGGTCGATACATATTTATATTTCTGAAATTGCAGTTGTCAATCGAGACTAAGGAGCTACACGGATGATTCATGGGAAGTGAATATTTTCGGTCTAACTTCCGCTGAGGAGAAATTGATGAGATCTTCTTATCCAGAAATGAATGTGTGTGGAGAAGGGGTCTCCATGTATTTGCACGTGGGTTCACAGTATTCAGTAGATTCCACCTTAAAAGCTTATCGGAAGAGTGTTCACGGCTCGAACAGGTATTTAATTATTATTAACTTACATTGAGTATTGTGAGTTGTCTGGGAGCAATAATTAGTGTATTTAAATGCCACTCAAATATATGTATATTAAGCCATACGTAAGGGAAGTCCGTAAACTATGTCACACATAGCAGGAGGTAAGGGGGGGGGGTTCTACAATCCAATGATATCGGAGTACTTATACACCTGTTCAAAATAATGACTTAATTGAAAGTCTGTCTTCCCAATTTTGTTTTCATTCACATTTAGTCATTTTTTAAAATTAGTTCATCGATTTCATATCTTAAATAGACCCAAGTGGTAAATACACCAGATGTTTTCAAATAAAAGAATTGACACTCCCTTCATCTATGTGTGGCCATTCATCGAGATCCTTCAATCATTTTCATTCAAATGAAAGAAAATCCATTCTCATTCTTTCTCAATCATAATACATACGGTGGGATGACAAATATGTAACCGACATTTATGTAACGACATTTATGTAGCGACATCTATGTAAACGACATTTATGCTACCCGACAAATATGTAACCCGACAAATATATAACCCGACGAATATGTAAGCGACCAATATGCAAACGACAAATATGCAACCAAGAGGATTTGGTATATATATTTCGGATTAGTCAATCACATTTTTAGAACTTTCTTATTTTCTTTCTTATGGTATGCATAGTTAAATAAGGGGAAAGAGGGTTGGAAAATGTTGATTTTTGCATTTCATTATTTATGAATGTCCCCAAGTCTGATTGACATATAATTACGTAATGTTATTATTTGATTTTGTGATTTTAGCACATATCGCGACGGCGTACTATCCGTGGGTCTGCTGTATTTGAACTTTTTGGAGGGGCACGGGTACAAGGTGACCAAGTCGCATATCAACGTCATGGATATGGACACGAGATGGACTTTTATTTTACAGAAGTAGTTTAATTTGCCAAGTGTAAACGTAAATACATCGCATGAATTAAATTGTGGGATGATTAGAGTTATGTACTTACATGCGTACGTGTGGTGCAAACTACGTTAGAAATAAATAAATTCTGCAAATAATCGTCCGAATTTAACAACGTTATGATCAGACCGTGGATATGTATTTATTTATAAGTTTTTCATACCAAATCAGATTGTACTAAAACTTGGCCCCAATCGAAGCATGATCATCGCCGTTGATAATTACCTAATTAAATTTACAAATGTTTAATAGCAGCAAAACGTTCTCGTACATATTTATGTTCTACTTTTCCAGCATCCAGTGGCCGTATTCACAACACAGGGTAACCCGAAAAGTTACCCAAATTTTCACTTACCCGATTCACAAATTTAGGTTACCTCAAAAAGTAACCTAAAAAGTTACATTTTTCCTCATTTTACCCCGGTTTCTGAATGATTTCATTCAGAGCACAAAGTAAAAAATAAGTTACCCTCAAAAGTAACCCAAAGTAAGCAAAATTTCTCCCCTGCTCCGAGGCAGGGTTAAAATCAATATTACCTCATTTTCCATCTCCAAAACATGGTTTCTCGCTCCATTATATTTCATAAAATTGTCCATCTACTTAATTATAACCCAAAGTAATTGGTTTTGTGTGTTTTAATAAGCAAGTATAAGATTTAGTGAAGCTGAAATAAAATTTGTGTCAAGATGTTAGCTGCCACGGCCAAATAATTCAACATAAATATTGGAAGTTTAATTTTTACTGCGATAAGATTGAGTTTAGCGACTTGTTTGAATCTAATTTTGATCAAGACTCGGCAATTCTGACAGCGGATGGAATATATTAAAATTGTGCGAAACGAATAATAATCCCAGAACAGTCATTCCTTATCTCCACACTACGTTAAGTTTTTAATTGATGCGGAAGTGATTCATCGAGAGGAATATTATTCTCTAATAAAGTTAACTATTTCCTATATTCAAGTGTATAGCATTAAGTAGAAACTTTCTAACCAATTAGAGGACTATAAGCCAATTGAGAACGACGAATGAAAATAGTGCGACAGGTTTATGGCAGTACTTCTGCTTACTCTTGGCGACGAAGCACAAAAAAATTTGGGATGAAGAAAATTTTTAGAACACTTCACGGATTTAGAAATTCAGAAACAGTTTGGTATCGGTAAAATTAATTTAAAATCCCAGTGGCCGTGGCATGTGTATACAACCGTGACACACTGCAACTTATCTGCAACAATTGATCTTACTACAACACCTGCATCAATCGATTCAAAAACACAAGAAGTATCGCCGAGAGAGCTCTTTGCGGTTTGAAATCACGCTTTCGGCCAATAGACAAGTAAGTTACCAATTTCAAGATCATTCTGTTCGCATCTTTTGCAAGTGTCAAGACCTATAGTGTCACGACCTTTCCATCTGTGATGCTCCAATAATGTTGGGACAAAACATTAAAGCTAAATCTGTTATTTTCAGGACTGGTGGGGCTTTGCGTTATTCGGAGAGGAAGGCGTATATAATTACAGTAACAGCAGCTGTTTTACACAACATTTGGATTAATAAAGAAATTCCATTCACGGAAAACGGGCATCATAGCATGTTCCAAATTATCAAGACCACTCACTGCCACCACCACAAGCTCGTTAGACAGCTCAGCGACAACGCCACCACTTGGAAGATTCCTTGTAATTACGCCAAAGTTTGAGGTACCAGCTGTGACATTATAGCCTTGACATGGTAAAATGTATTTAAAATTTAAGTGATCTTTTTAACAGGATGGACAATCTCAATGCTATCCAAAGCTGGCCCTCATCGACGCTGTGAAATATAAAAATGATGTCTCTTTGGAAAATTGAAATCGAACTTGACGAGACAAAACGAAACATTGGATAAAGCTCTGGCTCCAGGAAATGCAGTTTCGGCAGTGACACAGATTTCGAGGAGGTGCAAGAAGAATTTAAGAATATGACGAAGAACAAAGGCCAATGCATCTAGCAAAAAGTAGGAAACAATAAAAACTGGGTGAGGGGATGATGAGGAAATGTGGTTTCAAAACGTTCCGATGACCCTCCCGGCTGCTACGATGATAGGAATATTTGGTGACCAGGTTATTTATTTGGACAATAATGTATTTATAGTTGCAACAGCCGTGACACTAATGCATTGTTTCATTAGGCCGTGACATGAAGAGAGGCAACATTCATGACGTTTCAGTCGAAAATTAGAAATGCAGGATTATCGTACTGACGTTGTAATTAATGGCAACGAATCTGCCGTAGCTCGCTTCGACAGAAATACATAAATAGGTTAGCAGAGTCGAGTTTAAGAGGTCTAAGAATACAACTAATCTAAACTCACAAAATTTTCTGTGTAACGGCCAATTTGTGCTAATACTAGTAATTAAATTTAGAGTAGATATAAATAGAACATGTTGATGATTTTATTTTAAATCCTAAATTATGTCAATTTCTGTGTAACGGCCAAACTGTGTCAATGCCAGTAATTAAAAAACAATAAATTGTGATTTAATGAATGTACTCGTTTCGTTTAATAATAACTCATTTATAATTTATTATAATAATTTTGAATTATATTAAAAAGACTGGCACAACTTTACAATGATAGTGGGTGGAGGTAGTAGTGGATGGAGGTGGTAGAGAGTAACTGCGGTAGTGGGTTTTTGACAATGTTGACATAAATGTAAGGAAATCTTGCTGTTTCGCGGAGCGCAGGGCAGCATTTAGCTCCACTGTTCAAATAACCCCCAGAGTAACCTGAATTTTTACCTTACCTAAAAATTAAGGTAAGGTAAAAATCTTCTGAATGAGGGTAAAAATTTCAGGTAACTCGAAAACAAAAGTAACTTTAACTTTTTACTCGAAGCTCTGAATACGGCTCCAGGTGTGTGACAGAATGGGCAGAATGTTATTTTCCGAACGTCCAACATCGCCGGCATAATTAAGTGTTGTAAAAATTTATCCGATACCCGCAACTGCGTCCACGCCTGATGAAGTGGAAATGAGATGCAAACATAACGGTTGAAATGTGAAAGGTTCATTGTTGTAGGTTTCATTTAATCTTAAATTTACACAGTTCACAGCTGACGGGAAAAGGGTCGTGCACAAATAAAGGTAGACAAATTATTTACGATTTATTCAATATTTTTGGTTTTAAATTACATTGTTATTGGTTAAAGCAGGTATGATTTACGTAAACAAGTATACCTATCAACAATTTTTGAATATATATATATATGTATATATGATTAATTATAAATTAATCAAGCTAATGATCTGGTAATGAATACTGGTATTGAATACTGATTAATTATTGCATAAATAAATTAAAAAAGTCATTATTCAATTATGTAAGAAATAATTTAAACAAATCTTATGTGATATAATGACGTTGTTGTGGACAATCCTGATGGCTGATGCATTTACTAAATTTTGGGGTCTCATTGGTTGAAATGGGTGTTGTTATGCATCTTCATTTCCGGCGTGGTTTCGTTATCATTGTAGTTGGAATAGTTGATTTCCGGGTCGGGGCCATCGGTGCTATAGTTACTTCACTATCTCTAGAAAAAATGGGGGTAATTTCAAATGTAAAAATTTGGTCTTTCATTAGAGCTCCGATCGAGTCGAGGCATCCCGAGCTATCAACTTTTAAATCGAGTCGAGTTCCCATCCAGACGCTAACCTCGATTTTTAATTTTCAAGTTGAATCTAGTTTGGCTGGGCATACAACGACTCGATTCGTCGAGCTCGATTTACTCGACTCGAAACTCGACCAGTCTTATCTCGACTCGACTCGATCAGTCCTCTGATTTTAATCTGTAATAAAATTAGTGAAAATAATTCTCTAGTTACAAAAACGATTATGTATCAGCTACTTTTCCAGAATCCAGGTGTGCGCCAGGATGGGTAGAAACCCATTTTCCGCATGTTGAACTTCACCCGCATAACTTTTATAGAAAGTTATGAGATACCCCCAACTTTTTATGCGCGACAAAAACGGCGCCACCGCGTCCACGGGGGGTACTTCCATTCGTGGATTGTCACATTCACCCCCGACTAAAATGATTATTAAAGGAATAGGTATCAACATTTTTAAAATGTAGCGGAATTGTTTTAATTACTAATTAGTTAGTAATTAATAATTAATATCTTACATTCTTCTATTATCCAATTTGCCGACCATGCTCCGTATCGTTGCACTTCACTGTTAGCCGAAGGTGGAGAAAATTGTTTCAAATCGGATAATTGCGTGGGATTCAGACCCCCAACTTTTATATTGTATGATGTCACGTATCGAGCTAACCACCCACGTTGTGTGTTTGCATGGCTATTGGTCATTATGGAATAAATGATCGCAGGATATTTTCGCGCGAAAATCACGTGCCCACTTGATTACATTGGGAGCGGGGTGAAATTCAATTTAAACCTGCGATCAGTTATTCCTTACTGTCCAATAGACATAAAATGGTTACATTATTCGTGAAATTAATTGCAATCTTACCTTGATACATAAGTATGTATGTACGTATTTGAAAGTTTTTACTTACAGCATCACGGTAACCACAGACATAGGCGTTTCCATCACAAAAGCATGTACGTAATGGGGTTAATTGTGTACAATTACTTAATATTTCTATTGTAACAATTATTTTTTGTAGATAAACTTGCTCCCTTGTTCGAAAGAGAAAGTTGGATTTTGCTGCTCACATACACACATATGTGCGATGATGATGCTCCCTTAAGTGTCGCAGCTGACAGGGAAAAGGGTCGTGCATAAGATAAGCTAAGATTTGAAAATTATTTGTTATTTTTTCAATGTATTAACACACCGCCAAGTTTTTAAGGGGTGATGCGCATTTCAAAATCTTTAAAAAAATATAACAATTTTCTGCAAAAATAGTTTTGGAGCTTTTTTGTAGTTAATAATAACCACGACTGTTTTGTTGATCCGTTTAGTTTTTGATGTATTTTTGCCTTGGGGGCCGTTCGTAAATTATGCAACGCAAGAGAGACGGGAGCGAGGGTCAAGGAATCAATTAGGGCAATAGGTGGGTCTGGAAAATCGCGATTTTTGCGTTACGTGATTTATGAACGTCTCCTTGGGTATGAAAGGTTAAGTAAGGGACTGTTCATATATTATGTAAACATTTTTTGGGGAGGGGGGACGAGAAAATGTGGACGATTATTGACGAGCGAGGGGGTTGGAGGTTTTGGTATGTCGACGTAAACTTTTTTTTCAAATAAAATTTGGTGACTTGATTGCCTGATTTTTTTATCAGAGATTGACGCAAAATTAAAATTTAAGTTGACTAAACTCGCTTGTTTAATACATGTTTAATACATGGAATACTTCGTGTTCCCAAATGTTTGATATTTTTTGCCATTTTCCCAGGATTTTAAATCATGTTAATAGCATATTAATTAATTGTTACTGCTAATTCCCACAATTTTCTATGGTTTTCCCATCTTGAAGAACAGTTTACGCCAAAATCAGGGTCAATGGAGGGGGTCAACCCAATGTTGACGATTAAGGGTAGGGTGTGGGTCGAAAAATCCTTCCTGTTTGGTTGACGCAATGTATGCACGGGACCTATTCTATTAAGTACGTATACACATTCCATGCCTTTACATACATGGGAGGGCATTTCAGTTATGAATTTCCACCTTTGTTGTTTAACTCTGTCGCTTGGCCCTCTGTCGCTTGCCACATGTATTTATCCTCTTCCTTCCCTCTACACCAGCTGGATTCTCTCAGGAAATTAATACTTAACTGTGGTGCAGTATATCAATTAATTAAATAATATAAATCTGGTAACGTTTAACATAATGAAGAAGAAAATGAGAGTTGTAGCTTTTAATTTTGTTATTCATGTTTAATTGAATAAACTAAAAGTACGTCTTTCTACATATTCCGATCGTGACGGAAAATAAATAGTGCACGGAACGGATGTGACATAGTTATTTTTAGATATTTTTAGCAAATATAGATAAGATCTCAATCATTACCAGGCAGTTTCTTTAGTACCGCCTTGGGGTGATGATTTATCTCTACATTATTTAGAGTGAATTAATTATTAATTTACTAACGGACAGATACTAACGGACCACTATGAAGAGACAGGACAAAAAGGAATCCCGTAAGAGGGTTATCTTTCGATGTGACATTTGCGATGAAGATATTCCTCGTGTCCATAAACAGAAGCACATCCGTGCTCACTTTGCCACAAACCGGCGTCCACGCAAGTGCAAATTGTGTGGTAAAAATTTCGCATGCCCGGTCACTTTGGAAACTCATGTTAGAAGTCACACGAAAGAAATGTTGTACAGTTGCGATACTTGTGGGAAGGAGTTTACTCAAAAAAGCAATTGGAAGACGCATGAAAAGGTAAAAACCAGTAATCATTTTTTCTATTATCAGAAACAATTTTAGTGCAAATTGAGTGAAAAACAAATCGAAGGAGTTGTGTATTAAGTGGGAAAGGCCTTTAAAAGATCGTTATATCGGTCGGACAGATAATAACTCGTGAACCGAACCACATTCAAAGCTTAAAATTTTACTTAAATCTAGGTTAAGATTAGATTATCAAACAAGGAATTTTTCCCGTTTTTTTTCGTTGTTTAAAAATTTTGTTGTTATTATTCAGTTCATAATAAAAAATAAGCAATATTCCAACCCAATCTTATGAACTTATATTATATGTTGTGATGGTTTATAATTTCACTGCGGTTTAAACTGGTAAATATTGAACTTCACTAAATATTCAGCGGTATTTATATAATTAGTGCACAATAAGATTGTTCTTGTCATCCGAACAGGTTGACAAAAAAATCCCTTGCGATTTTCAACATAGCAAATTGTCATAAATTTATTTACCACATTTATGTAAATCAGCATTGAATAATGCTCATTTAATTCTTAGCAGGTCCACCACGTCCCCGCTGATATGATTCAGTGTGGAATCTGTTACACTAAAGTGAAGAAATCCACCGGGCTTGAACGCCACGCAATTTTTTGCGGGAAGGAATCAGACTACTATTCGGTGAAGGAAGTTCTAAATCCTGACAAAAATCCGAACGCAAGGAAGAAAACTGACACCATTTGGCAATGTAATCTGTGCCCCGATAAACCCAAGAGGAGGAAGGAATACATCGAAGAACACGTGATCCGAAGCCATCTTAAAGTCAAGTTGTACTCTTGCTACTTTTGCAATATGAAATTCGTGCATAGAACAGAGCTACAACTGCACTTGAGGTCGCATACGTGCGAAAAACCTTTCACGTGCAAAACATGTGGGAAGGGATTTTCCCAATCGCCACATTATCAAATCCATCTGGCGTCACATTCGGAGGACAGGGCGTTTAAGGTAGAATAATAATTTTAATTGTATTTTGATGGTGAGTTGTGTTGTTTTGTCGCGTTTTAAATTTAATTGAACATGTTCGTACCAGGCTGTATTCAGACATAACTTTATTTAAAAATATTAAACTCTAGACAAATTAAGATCCGGGGAATTAAGAAATTTTTACCAGAAGATATAAGATATTCTCAGGGCCCATTAAATTTTACCCTTTCTTAATTATCTGTTTCTCTCCTCGATATAAATAGTGTGGCCTCTGCCCGAAAACTTGCAAGACGTTGGCTGCCCTGAAGATCCACGCTGCTCTCCACACGCAGGAGAAGCATTTCAAGTGTACCGTTCCAGATTGTGGGAAAGACTTCCACTGTTCCAGATCGCTTGCACGACATATCGGTCGCGACCACTTGAAACGTTTCCCTTTCTCATGTGAGGTAAAAGGATGTCGAAAGGCTTGCATGAGTCGACAGGAACTAAAAATACATCACATTCACTCTCACACTGATGAGAAGCCGTTCCGTTGCAACCTTTGCAACGTGGGTTATAAAACGAATGGCAAATTGTTGGAACATCGGAGGAAAAATCAACGCCATAGAAAATTGGAGGAAGAAAGTTCTACACTTTAAATAATCCGGTAACAGTGGAATTTCCTGCTGGTGAATATACATATTTATGTATGCATACCTGTCCAATTTCATTCATGTGACTGATTTATAATCATCAAAATGCATTTTCTGCGATTTGAATGTATTTAAATGAATGAAATATTCAGTAATTTCAGATGAGTCAGTGTGAATCAAAGGATTTCTCACTTACCTATTTATGTATGATATGTTGAGCACTATTATGAATTTAAAAAAACGCTTTTGTACCACCTCAATAATTGGAGTCTATGGAAATATTGAGATCCTTCATGCGAAAGTTGATATGAAAAATAAAGCCGTTTATAAAATGAATTTACGACGATATTGTACAAAATTACGGCATGTGTATGTATCTATTTACATGAGTTTATTATCATTCCAAGATTGGAGGTTGCTCCAGATAACATTTTCATCTCGACGCAGTGTCATTTTTCATGCAAAAAATAATATAATGCATCACGCACTGAATAAAGAGTGATGATTGATGGTGAACGGGGACGATTGCGCGAGCAGGACACGTGCATAAATAAATACGCAACCGTCAGATGTTTTATATTATGCATTTACTCAAGTTTTACATAAATACGTTTGGTCCTCTAACTTCATGTTTGTAAGGCGAAGTTTCTGATTTAAAAAATACGAATTAATCATATGTATAGGAAGTTAGCCCAGCCCAGCCCAGAATTTAAATTTTTAATTTTTAAGCTTTCCCGCTGTCGCTGGGGATGATTTGACGACTGAAATGTGTTCCCTAACACTTCTAAATAATTCCCTAAAATTTTCAGCCAAATCGGTGGCGGGAAACTTTTGAAAAATACGAAAATGTCGTTTTTTGCCCCGCACCCTCGATTTTAATGAATTTTCATAATTTGTAAAGTGCGCGCGGGCGAGTTCTGATTTCTGAAATGTCTTCAGGGATACTTGACGAGTATTTCCTGAAAGTTGCAACAAAATTGTACGTCGGGGACCCCTTCCAAAATAGACAAATGTCCTATTTTTATCCCCCCAAACCCTGCTTTCTCTTTTCTAATGAATTTTAACAATTTCAAAAGTGCGTGTGGCCGTGTTCGGATTTCTGAAATATCTTCAGGGATAACTGACGTGTATTTCCTCAAGGTTTCAAAAAAATCGTACGTCATGGACCCCTTCCAAAATCGACGAATGACATTTTTATCCTCTCTGTCCCAGCTTTCTCTTGTTTAATTTGTTATGACAAAAACTATGCTAATAATTGTTTCCCATTTTTTGAAATAGTTACATCACGGGCAAATAACTTCAGAGCTAAGCCATATTTCTTTAAAAATGATGTTGTTAACGTAATTTATATAAATTTGTTCAAGCTCTTATATATAGTATTTTACGATTTTGGCAGTAATTTAGTTATTCGATATTTCAGTTATTTGAACCCTTTACCAACAGCAACGCAAAATTAAACAAGTGTTGCCCGAGTTGGAACTTGACAAGGTTCCCAATGGCAACGGGTCGTCATGTTTAGGCAATCTATTAATGCTCAACTCGGGTTTTTGACTTTACATATGCATGCACGTGTATGAAAAGTACATACGTAGTCCATTTACGTTGTCATGGAGACGGACTGACTTGGCTGTTTACCGTCTTGCTGTTATATTTATGGTAGATTTACATATAAACAGTCATCGTAGTATTATGCATGTTGTAATATTTCACCTACCGAATTGGCATTCTCTGGGTTCTGAGTGGTAAATTTTTTATTACCACGACATTTCTACACGGTAATGTTCGTTATTGTCCTGCGGATAGAGTCATACTGAAAGGTAGTGCGGTGAGTAATGATTTATTGGTTCTTTTTTAATAGTGCGTTTAGGTGTGGGGCCTTACATTAGTCATGTGATCTATTGGGAAACTATGACCTCTACCCCTTGTGTGTGACCTATGTGGAGGGGCCTAGACCCTTGGTTTCTCCACAGTACTCGGGAAGAGATATAATAACTATTTCTCGCACGTACAAGGATAACCACCCGGATATCCAAGCTCAAGATGGAAACACTTTTTACGTATTTTCCCAGCTTGCACGTTGATAATCACATCGCTGCTATTTTTAATAATTTTGAAAGTTGCTTGCCTATATGAATTACTTTGCCGTGCTTCAGAAATTATGCCTGCGTTTAACAGAATTAAAATACTTAATTAATTTACAACTTACAAGGGACACTCACGACCTGTCGTTTGAGTCCAGGGTACCCACTATGTTTTTTAGAATCTACTGGGACCCCTGATGAAGGATTCATTCTTATTTCCGTGTAAAACTCATATTTGGCACAATGGCGTGGCGCCAAACTTAAAAATTTGCATTTTCGACCAATTTCAAACCCCCATAACTTTTGCAGTTTATGTCGGATTTTCAAGTTTTAAGCTTAAAATGATCAGAAAAGTCGAAATTTTTGAGAAAAAAATAAAAATACAAAATTTCTAATTTTTGAGATAATTTTAGCATTTTTTCGACGAACCCGAAATTTCGAAATTTTGTGAAAAGTTAAAAGTGATAATTTTGGAAAAAATTTCATAGAATACCAAAGTTGAACTCCTTGTCATGATTTTTGCATGAAAAACCATCAAATTTGGCGAATTTGGCGCCACGCCATGGCGCCAAATATGAGTTTTACACGGAAATAAGAATGAATTATTCATCTGGGGTCCTAGTAGATTCTAAAAAACATAGTGGGTACCCTGGACTCAAACGACAGGTCGTGAGTGTCCCTTGTTAGATAAATAGTTACATACATACATAGTTTATTATTATCAATAAAATTTTCTCATTTATTTAAGTATCATTTTGTCGTGTCAATTTTATTTGTTTAATATTCTGAATTTAATACATACAGTGTCGGACAGATCTCTACGTCCACATAGTCGCGTCAATTTCATTTTCAAATTGTCACTGAACTACTGAACCAATTTTCATCATTGATATATCTAATTCTCACAAATTTAACGTAATTTCATAAAACATATGAGTTATTTCTGAAAATTCTGGGAAAACTGAGAATCATAGTGCAGAGCGAGAGAGGATGAAATTTGAGCGGACAAAAGTCTACGTCCACTTCACTTTAATTGTCAACAACAAAAATCTCTCCAATTTATAAAATCAGGTAACTTAATAAATCTATCAATAACATATGCCGCATTAATTTTTAAATAATTTTCTTCCAGAAAAATATGATGGCGTCGACACGCAAGGAAATTCCTATCGCTATTCGAGATCTTGTCATTCAGGACTGGAAGGGTGGACAAAAAGGGGGCTGTCGCAGAGACAAATATGGACCAAGTATAAATTAGCAAGGACAACCATCCAGACAATCATTAAGAACTTTAAAGCTAATGGTTCAGTCCAAAACAAGGTCAGAAGTGGTCGAAAACCCATTTTGGCTCACCGAGAAGTACGCCACGTGCTCAACAAAGTCAACGTTACACCCTCACTTAGTGCTCCAAAGCTATCTACCGAGATCAAGGAGATGTTCGACAAACAAGTTAGTCCTAGGACCATCCAAAGAACACTGAACAAGGGAAATTTGAAATCCCACAGAGCAGTCCGGAAGCCTCTTATTGTACCGAGGAATGCAACCAAACGAGTGAAGTTTGCCAGCGACCACATTTCCAAGCCACAAACATTCTGGGACAGTATTTTATGGACTGACGAGTCAAAGTTCAATGTCTTTGGGTCAGATGGGCGTCGTAGAGTGTGGAGATATCCAAAAGAAGCATTGAATCCAAAAAATCTCAACCCCACAGTTAAGCACGGCGGCGGGTCGGTAATGGTGTGGGGATGCATGGCTTCAAGTGGGGCAGGAAAAATGGAATTTGTTGACGGAATTATGGACCAATACAGGTACCAGGGAATACTTGACCGTAATATCCAGGAATCTGTTCGAAAACTTGGACTTGGACGACGATTTGTCTTCCAACAAGACAATGATCCGAAACACTCTGCCAAGTCCACCATGGAATACTTCAAGAAAAAAAAATTTCGAAGCTAGAATGGCCTCCCCAATCTCCAAACTTGAATCCCATTGAGCATCTGTGGGACCACATTGAAAGAGAAATAAGAAAACAATCTTTTTCAGGAATTCCGGGCCTAAAATCCAGAATTCTTGAAGTTTGGGAAACCATTTCTGAAGATGTGACCAAGAATTTGGTAAACTCTATGACTCGACGCCTTGAATCCGTCCTTAAAGCGAACGGAGGCCCAACCAAATATTAAAAATTAATTGTTATAACATTCCTTATAAATTACAGTTTTTTTTGTATGTTTTCTCTGACTGGACGTTGACTTTTGTCCATCCAATTGTTTTCATTTTGAATTAAAATACATCTCTGGCCTAAAATAAATTTTTTAGCGGAAAACTAATAATGTGCTATGAAATTACGTTAAATTTGTGAGAATTTGATATATTAATGATGAAAATTGGTTCAGTAGTTCAGTGACAATTTGAATATGAAATTGACGCGACTATGTGGACGTAGAGATCTGTCCGACACTGTACACTATAAATACTATATAATATTTATAATTCTTTCAGAATAACTGTAAATTAATAGAAGAATTTTGGCGAAGGAAACAAAATCACGGCAAGGATGCCTGAGCACTATGTATTTAATTTAGACAAAGCTGTAAAATTGAATACAAATAAAAAGTTTGTGACGATATCAAAAGATCCAATTTAAACTCTAAATTCTATTATTAAGTTTGGAGCATTTTAGAAGAAAATTCTTCAGTGTGACTAACTGAATTTAAAATGTAATTTACAAAATATAAAACTTCATGAAACGATTTTATAATGGCATAAATTAACAATATACATGTTCAATGTGTGAATAAAACGTTGACGTGAATAAAATGTTGTACAAAACTATTATCTGCATATGCACATATTCATATATAATTTTTTTACGCAAGTAATAATTTTAATCCCACAAGAACGACCAAACCTTGAGAAGGCGACGAAGGAACCGAGGTGTTTTCTTCTTCCCATATTTCGTGCACCTCTTGCACTCGACCTCAACATAAATAGGGTCCTGCAATTGAAGGGGGTCCACTTGAAGGATCCGAAAAATTTCTTCTGAATTTGCATTCAGGCGAGAAAGAAGCTTTTTCCTACTAGGTTCGCCTAATATGGAGAGGTCCGGACGGATTTGATGTACTACAAGGTAAATAATGTCAGGATTAGGATTTGAAATTATTATACAGGATTTAAAAATATCTGTCACATGCGAAATACAGTTAGCCAACTTTTATGATGTATGCAAATTACACGATTTAACTTACAAATCTCGAA